AAGATCATTTCACAGTCTTTCTGTTAGTGAAACATTAGAGTTATCTACATCTTCTAAAAAGTTCTTAATTCTAAAAAACCTCTTTATCATCAAATATGTACTTTCTTATCGCATTGCTTTATCAATAATTGCTCCTTTTCCTGCTTGCTTCCTAAGAATGGCATCAATTTTAGGAGTTCTTGCTGCTATTGCTGCTTATTTAAATTTACCAGTGATATTTGTAACTAAATGAAGTAACTAAATGAATCAGTTTAATCATTAATGGCAAATATCACGTCCATCCTCCTCCCTTATATTTATTTATTAATAGGTCAGTAAAATAGAAAATAGCTATTTATTAATGTATACAGTCCATAAATAAAAAGAATAACTCAGCTTGTCATTAATTTTTTTCAATTAATTTTAATTTCATTTCAAATTGAAACTGTCCATGGAGTCGGAGTCGACCTGTTTTAGCGACTCCAGCTCCAACTCCTTTTACCCCAAAATCTGCCCGACTCCACAGCCCTGCTATTCTTGGCGTAAACTTGAAAAAAAAAAAAAAAAAAAAAAAAAAAAAAAAAAAGACAGCAACATAAATTGTTGAATTTCTCCATAAACTTTGCACCAAATTTTACAAAATTTCATATTTAGGCATAATTTTAGTCGTAGAATCGAAATATGTAAAAAATTGGTATGTTATTTCAGAAAAAGTACGATTTTTGTGTCAAAATACCTATGTTAGAATAGTGCTATTTATAAATCTAATATACATCCTAAGTTGCGTTTTCGAGACATGAAGAATGCAATTTGAATTTCATCAATCGTCCCAGTAGAAGAGGAGATATAGAACTTCCCTTTTTGTGTGTGTGTGGATTGTACATCCAAAATCCAATACAAAATCTAAAATCCTGACATCCAATATCCAGAATAATCTAAAATCAGGACCTGCTGCAACACTTTTTTTTGTATGCTTTATGCATGCATATATGATATTTTTTCATAACAAAATGTAGAGTGTCCTGTTCCTTAAATTAAATTTAGCACTAAATAAAAGGTCTCCATATTGGAGAAACAATCATTTATTATTATAAATCAGTATGATCAATAATTTGGCTCTACAGCCAGCTTTTTGCATATCACACATCTAGAACTGATATATTTACATCAAAACATCATTGATTTTACACCTACTGAATAATTTATGCCAACTTGGCAAATCATTATTTATTATTTTTTGCTTTTATCACCGCATGACTATCAGCATGCAGCAGCTTGAGAAGTGATTCACCCAGCGATGTCGAAACTTTTGTTAGTAGTAACTGAATACAAAAGAGCACCTTTCATGTATGCTTGGTGATGATTGCATACTTCAGCTTACTGTGCTAGGAAGTAGATGACAAGAAATTTAACAGAAATTTCTCTATGTATGCTAAAAATACATTTTGTCAGTGGTATTCATAGGCCAAAAGCATTTAATACTCTGAATTCAGAGTAACTGATTTGTTATTCAGATAAGCCCAGGATGGCAGCAGAGCTGGTTGAGCTGCAACAGGCAACAGAATTTAGGAGAAGCAAAATTTTTAGAATTTAAGAAAAGCATCTAGCAACAAAATTAAAAGAATCTTTAGAATTCAGGAAAGGCAGTGGAATGCAAAATTAGGGGCAGCAAAATTTTTAGAATTTAGGGAGGAACTTGGCATCAAAATTTAGGACCCGCATAGACTGAGCCGATCCTGGATAAACTTCAAGTATGGGTAGGAATTTATTTATTCAGAACTTGGATAAGCCCTTAAGTATGTGCAAGAAAGAGAGTGTAAGTATAATAAATAACTAAACTAATCTAATTCAGGCTTACTTTCATCAGCATGGGATAGAAGCAATACAAATTTTTAAAAAACAACATGTCTTTATTCTCATTCTCATGATACATCGCCAATAGTATTTAGTGGATGTAGCTAAAGTCTTATGATGATAGCTGTAAATCTGATAGTTTTTAAATATTGCAAACAAAAAGTGAAATTTTCCAGATAATGGAATTTGTAAAGAAATGTGGAGATGTGGTAATTTGAAATGAAGCTGATATGACAAATTTTTTTCATTATGATGACAATGCCCTATAAGCATGAATGCATATTCAGTTTTTCAGTCAACTAAAGGATGGCAAAAATCTGTAGTATTGACTTAAATCCAGAAAATATTTCTACCAATAGTGAAGAAAGTGATAGAGGAGTTGCTGAGAATGAAAAAAATTCAGTTGACAATTTAGTGGGAATTCTCAATGTGGTAATTACAGGACTCGAACAATGGAACTTTATAACTGAACAAGAAATTATGTCTATAGATAGAATTAAAGAGAAAGTATTAGCACAAGAAACAAACAACAATGAAAAACAATTTACTTTGAAGGGAATGTTAAATAAAGCAAATAAATAAATAAATATTGAGCTTTTTTTGTAAATTTTGATTCCCTTAAGGTCATAAATGGTTCGCTATTTCATTAGTTTTGTAATTTCTACATGCCATCTTACTAGATCTAAATTGATGATCTAATACCAAGAAAAATCCTAAATCCGGAATAGATGACAGTTGAATTATAAGGATACCTTTAAGAGAACTAGTGATATGGGTAGAGAAACCCTCTAATGTGCCTTAGCAACAATTTTTATGTGCCAAACAGGTGACATTTTGCTATGTCAACTTGATGACATTCTGGATGTTCCCAGAAAATGCATATTCAGTTTTTTAGGAATGGTTTTTCTTGAAATATTCAAAAGTGCACCTGATACTTTTTTGTTAAAGAGACACCATTTGACGTGTGTGTGTCTCTGTGTGTGATTGTTTTGTTAGAGAGCATTTCTCTTGGGTTTATCTGCTTTTGTTCATATGTGATATTCTTTGTGCACTTAGGACATTGTTTCTGTTTTTCTCCTTGGGTTATTTATTCCTAGTTTAAATTGCTGTGTGCACTATTATTTATTTAAGTTTGAATTTCTTTATGTTATCCAGTATAGTTATTAAGAAAGTCTTTTAGGAACTGTAGCATGCAACAGTATCTAGTACTTTCTATTTATTCACATCCCGCTGAAGAGTTGTGAAATTTATTCACGAGGTAGTACAGTATGTCTTCAAAATAGTTATGTGGCAGCTCATTGTGTCACCAAAAAATCATATATATGGCAGCCCAGCTATGCATGTAATACACATCTGTTTGAGTATATTAGTGTTTCTTTTGGTATTGAGTATATTTGTTTTTCTTGTAATGCGATTGTGGAGTTTGCTGGCTGATGAAAAAGAAAACATTATGTATCTGCAGAAATGTGGCATTTACCCCAACAATAGAAAATGCAAAAATTTGCATTCTATGACATTATGTTTCTAAAACGACATGATTTATGAAAATGCAATGTGAAAAATTGTAAGCAAATTGATCAAACACAGCTTGGAAATTGCTTTGAAGATAACTTCATCTTGTTTACTGCAAATTTTTGCTTTAGTTATTGTTGCCTAGTGCACAGTGCAAAATTGTGTGCACTGTCTAGTTCATGCAATTCTGTGAACTCCCTGTAAGAACAGATTGCTGTTTCCATGGGGCAAACAGCAGTGCAAAAAATTAAAAAATTACTGAAGGATTTCTTGGAAAAGTGTAGATAATCAGAAAGTATTAAAAATCTAAAATATATAGGATAATTTTGTTTCAATTCATCGATGGCTCATAAGGTGGAAAGAACTTTATAACACCATGCTTTCTATTAATATACTCATAGTTTCCACAAGCTGCATAGTAAGGAAAAAATGCAGATTTCAGAAAGTGTAGCTAAATAGTGGAACAAAACGGTTGAGTCAAAATTTCTGAAAAATCGCTATCTGCATCAAATATGCAGTACCAGTAAAATTACAACACCAGTGAAGCTACATTATTTACACGGATCTTTCAAAGAACAATTTTATGTTCCAGTTATTATTATTATTATTATTTTATGAAAACAAATTGCTGTGTAAATGGGGTGAGCAACAGTACAGAAAATTTGCAGAAGGATTTCTTGGAAAAAGCACGTGTTTTATTACTGATGTTTCTCACTCTTTCCCATTTTATTGATTGGTTGCTCTTTTATGAAATACTTCGTGCACTGCAATTTTGAAAATGGCCCTTATCTTTGGTGTTATCAGCTTGGTGAAAATTTAATCCTCAACAAATTTGCAATTTTATAGTAATGGTAAAAATAATCAAAAGGTACCCAGTGTCCTGACTGATATGCTGAGTTGTGAAATAACTAGAATGATTAGCTCTATTTTTTTTAAACTTGAGTGTGGCCCCTTAAATCATAAAATTTTTCTGTGCATTGAATTGCATTTTATGCTAATTGTAACAATTTAAATTTTGCTGTGCCTGATAATCATAGCAATACATGAATTGTAACCAGGATGATTAAATAGTAATTTTTGAATTTATCATTTATAATGCTATTCTAGTCTAATGATGATCTTGATTTAATGATTGCTGTGATTTGTGCAATTTCAAATGTATAAAAAATACTATGGAATTTTTTTCGTATTCAAAATATTTTATAAAGAATAATATTTTTGCTATGTTTTAACTAAAGCACATAAGAGGTCTAGTTAAGTGATAAATACAAACAGAAGTTTTATCATTTTATAATATATGTTTAAAAGTGTATTAAGACTTTTCTTCAAATTAATATAACCTTAATTTAATTATAATTTTCAAATAATTATATTATAATAACAATTTGCATATAATTATGTTTTAATTATTATTTTTAATTTCTAGGCGATCATTAAATTGGGATTTAAGTGTACTTGCATATGATTTGAATATTAAGTATGATCTGATATCACATTTGAATTTTAGTAGATTATTATTTCATTTCTAACAAGAGTCAAAATATATAGTATATCAATTGCTGAGCATTTTGCTTTGCTAAAAAATGTAATAATTTATCTAATTTTGTGATAATGTGATAATAATTTTGCTTATGCAAAATGAATTTTCTTTAAAGGTGTCTATAGGTTGTTATTCACAGTTTGCATCTGGCTTATCATATCTGGTTATCTATGGGAAAATTTGTTCTTGTGTAAAATTAAGCATAATGTTCCTGCTAATTATATATGTTATATACTTGCCATTCCTGCTTCAGCAGTAGTTTGGTACATCCATCCATGGAGTAAGTTCAAGTTCTTTATTTAATAATATTAATATTGTGTATTTGCTAAATATTATTCTTTTAATATCCTCAATTTTTGGCTTATATTTTATAGAATATTTATATTCTTTTTTTTATATTTTATCATATATACTTCTTATACTGACCCTCTCTAAAAATGGCCAATATTTCTTAGAACTTAAATTAACACCAGTATTGAATATCACCTCTCTAAGTCAACTATTTCTTTCAAAGACCAGTATTGCTTGAAACTGTAAATTATCTTCTTAGGGAATATACTACAGTAGAAAGTCTTTAATCCGGACTCGTCGGGACTTCAGCGATTCCGGATTAGGGTTTTTTCCGGATTATAGGTCATCAATTTAAATCTGGTAAGATGGCATGCAGAAATTATAAAATTAAAAATATGAAACCGTAATTTATGAAATAAAGAGCAATTATGATCTAAACAGTATCCAAATTTACAAAAAAAAAAAAAAAAAAAGCTTCAAAGACGGAGTACATCGAGATGAAATACTACATTTAGTAAGGAATTATAAGTCGAATAAAATAAAAACATCTGCCCTGAAGATGAGGATAGTGCTGACAGATAAACTTCCAGTTCATTGCGCGCTCTGATTCCCCCCCCCCCCCACAGAGCACCGTGAAACTGATAAACAGATTTCGGAATGGTTAGAGAAACAAAGGATATGCCTTTATCCATTTTTTGTGGCAATTCCACTTTTTGTTTGATGGACATCGAAACATGCTTTCGCTTTGTAGATCCTTCGGCAGCTCCAGAATCAGAAACTCTTTTTGACGTAATCAAAAGTTCAAGCTTACTTTTTATAAAACTGTTCTAACAGTCTGATAAAAATAATAAGCCGTATCCAATTAGAAGATTAAGGAACAACGCAACCTGCAACATTAACTGAAATAGATAATTTTAGCCTAGCTTATACTGTACGTTATACATTAAACGTGCATGCGTAAAGGTATTATCCGCATGCATACACTCATTATGCATTTATGCTTGTGCAGAAAGTTTGTAGCTTTGAGGTACGGATTATAGATCATTTTGGATTATGGACGTCTGGATTAAAGACTTTGTACTGTATATCTTAGTTTAATAATCCAGTTTTTTACATTTACCATTTAAGAAATAAGAACTATTTCTTCTCTTATGTCAGAATCATATTATTGTCTTTGTTATCAAAAAAACACATTTTATTTGAATCTTATAGGACAGTATTTTAATATTAATGAGCAACACTTACATAAAATTTACTCTATTTAACAGTATATCTTCAAAAGATAAAGAACTGTATATATACTGAGAAACTAAATTTTATGAAGGAAAATGTTTTTCATTGGTATTTGTAAATCAGAAATAAGTTTTGAGTAAATGGCAGTTTTATTCAATATCAACTTAAGTTATTTAATTAATACACATAGAAGGAATTTAATATGAATTTGTATTTGATATTGTATTTAATAATTTTGCTCATTATATTAATTAAATAAATTATAAAAGTTTATTTATTATATTATTTAATACAATTCTGCTAGTAGTTTGTTTTAAAAAGTAACATAGATAAACATACTGTGAAATTCATTTTTTGCAAATTCATTTTGATGGCCACAGTTTAGTAATTGCTGCTAATAATGCCTCAAACACATTATCATTGCTGACTTGGTGCTTGGATGTTGCATCCCCAAATGGTTTCTTTTCTAATATATGATTGCATATTATGCTCATTTGTACAAATTCTCTTGTTTTTTAAAATAATTTTTCTAGGAGAAAAAGTATAGCATCTATTTCAGTTGGATGTTAAATTAAAAATAGAAGCCATAATAAATAGTTGCAACAAAAAAAATTATATTTTAAAAGTGAATTTTTTTCCCTAGCCAAAGAAACCTGAACTATAAGCATGCATGAAAAACCACTATATTTTAAAAGGAACAATAGAAGAAACGCACATATGCAGATCATTGCCATAAACATTGTTTCTTGCATTTGCAAAAACCCATCAAATCAACATTTTTGCCAAGGCTACTACTGAAGACAAATGCCATTTTGTAATCTATCAACACTAAAAAGCTGAGACATTAACTGATTATTCACTGTTTCAGGTAATTCATTAAGGATTTTTCAAGTGATATTTCCAATCCCATAACATTCAGAAGAATATTCTTTATTAATAACAGATCTTGAAAGGGCTTCAAGTGCTCTTAATAAATCATCTTCAGCTGTTTTTTGTGGCTTACAATGTGTGAACTGTAGCTATTGAATAATTTGCTCATAGTCCTACATTTTCTGACTAAGTAATTTCATTGGGAATAACTGTAATTACTAATTCTTAATGTGCCTGTTAAAGTATGCAACCTGTCTTTCATGTTTTACTGCTCACTGTATGAGTTTGTTCAGTACATCATATTTTGCCATTAACTCAAAAGGGCTGGAATTCTCAACTCCCTTTCTTTACTCTAAATTTGATCTTCTTTTACTTGGTCCATTAACTTTTAGTTTCGAACCTTCAAAGACAAGTTTTTCCTATTTGCATACGTGATTTATATAGTCGTGAATATTGTTTTATATAGTCGTGAAGTTTATTGTTTGAAAGTAGCTTAGCAACCTGTATACCCAACTCTGATGGAGAACTATAATTAAACAAGTGTAATTTATGGTGACAATAGTAAGTAGTATCATTTCTTCGCCCTTTCACTAACTAAAAACTGATGAAAGCAGTGACGAATACTAAAATACTAAATTTGTAATGAAAATTATTTTGTGCAGCTTTTTTTGTCAGAATTAAAAAAAGTTAGCGCTAGAAATTTATTGAAGGTCAACCATAATGTAATGAAGCAAAAATAAATACTTCAGAAAAATAACACGTTGACTGCCATGGCACTTTTCGGATTCTGGTCCGAGAAGCCAAATCGATGTAATCATATTATGTTATTAATTTTTATAATTATATTTTTGTTAATTTTTTAATAAATTTTCTGTTTATGCAAGCCAGCATTGATTTTTTGTTCTTTTCCCAGAAGCCATCTATCAATATTAGCACTGATATATTCCGAGTTTAATCGTAGCTGCACAAAAATGGCAAGTAAACGCAGTACGAGATAACTCATAGTTGGTGTTCTAGGAAAAAATGCAATCTACGAGTTATCTCATAGTTGGCAGTCAACATGTTAAAAATAAATCTCTTCTTTTTACCTAATACTAACTTTTAATATGTATATAGTAGCAACAGTGCTTTGACAATGTTGGGCTAGTTTCAATAAAATTACTCTTGGTTTCAAAAGAATAAATTGAATAAATACAAATTTAATTAATTCTTTGCGCCATTGCTGCAAGGAATGAAATTTAAATTTTAACAAACTTGTGTATACGTAAAAAAGCAAATTTAAAGTTAAAATAATGTGCAAACATATAAAAGAATTAATTTTCGAACTAATTTACAATATTTTACCCTTGCTTGCATGAATGACGAAACACGAATTGAATGATTGAAGAGTTAAATTAGGAGGCAACTTCCCCTTGATTAGTCTGTCTCCTGCCTGCTCAACAGTCATTCACTTACGCATTTTTTTTAAAAAAAATTTAGATTAATTTTAATTTGCTAAATTGGTGAATTTATTTTCATGTTTTTGTTTTGCACTTGATTCACTTATGCTATCTGAATTGATATTGTATATTAGTTCAAAAATTAATTCTGTTATATGTTTGCTTATTATTTTAACTTTAAATTTGCTTTTTTATGTATATACATGTTTGTTAAAATTTAAATTACTTTTGGTGATATTTCATTTTTATTTTGTGTGCAGATTTTTATATTGAATTACTTTTGGTTGATTTGCAATCAACTAGTGTTCTACGTGCAAACATTTTTCAGTGCTCTTTCTTCTTTTTGATACAGTAGGCATCACCAATGGCCAAGTGGTTATGGGTTGAAAAAACAGGTTGGGTGTGTTGTTGATTTTCATTTCCCCCCCCCCCCCCCCATGTGTAACATGAATAAGAGCTAGTTTTCCTTAGAAAGTTCTCCAAGAAAGAATCCTCTCCAGGCAGGTAGTCTTCATGTTCCATATTCATATTAAAAAAAATAATCCCTTCTATTACAGTATGGGCATGTTGATGTTGTTGATGCCTAATATATTCTAAAATATAAAAGAAACAAAAAGTACAGAAAAATTCAAAATTTTATATTATGAAAATGGTGCATATATTACTATGTATGCATACATGTACATCATATGTTTCTAATCCCATATTAATTGTTGGTTTACTTATAGGTATATGGTTTTCATTCATTGTATGTTGCTTCATGATGGTGTATTATAACTTACTTATCTCTATCCTGTTAACAAACTGCCCTAGGACTTTTACTTTAGGAGAAGTTCAAATAATAGCACAAGGAATCTTGCTTTTTATTCTCTCTTGCATTTTGTCACTTCTGAATGAGGTATCCATATTTTTTATTTAAAGAAAGGTTTGAGAAATAATCTATTTAAGACAGTCATAAGGAAAATTTTCTTAAAAATAATTATTATTACTTTTTTTTCATTACTAATTCAAAAGGAAAAGGAAATACACATTTATAGTATTATGTTGTACTTTCTGATTCTTAAATTTACATCTTTTGTCTGCCAATACCTACATTACCTGGTATTACTTTATATGTCACAAAATAGTGCAAATTAATACTATTAAAATTATGTATGGAAAGTTTTTATGATAAATTTGAGTAATAAATGGTAGTAGTAAACTAATATTCTAGTTGTATATGTTGAAGATATATTTTTTGCTGCATTTAATGCTTAATGTATCTTCATGTTTAATAAAACAATTGAATATTACAGATAGTAATATCAAAGATGTAAGAGCAAAAAGTGTACTAATTGATTAATAATAGGTAATAGTACACAGCCAGTTACCATGTTTTACTTAACAGCTATATTTTAAAGCAATTTGAGATTGAGTTGCTAAAAGCAAATTGAAGTGTCTATGTGTCATTCATAATTTATTAAACACTATTGTTTAACAAGAATGAAGATTATATAATAATATATTATCTGTTTTAAATAGTATACAGGGTGTATCAAAACTCCATGTACAGACTTTAAGGGGAGGTGATATACATCTGAACCATATTCACAAACGAAAGCATGATTGGACACATCACTCATAGGAAATAGAAGAGCCACAAATACACAGAAAGAGCACAATATGGAAAGCAGTGTAAAGAGCTTTTATTAGGGGAACCTTAACAGTACACTAAGTGTTAGATAAAAAATATCGTATCTCAAAAAGTGTTTAAAATATACCATCTTTCACAATGATGCATGTCGGCTACTGATGCCACAAAGATTGCCAAACATTTTCAAAGTTACAAGTTCAGGTTGAAGCAAGGCTGGAATTTGTACTTTTCCATAGGTATATTTAGGTATCATTAGGTCTTGCTAACTATTGGCCTTGCATCATTCCTTGCTAACTTTCTGCTGACTGTTGTTAACTGCCCATTGTTAAGGGAAAATACCCTGGGGAGGGCAGTTCGAGGATCTTCTGCCCTCTTGCCCTACCATCAATCTCTTGAGAGGACTTTCAGCTTGCTGTATATTTTGAGTGCCCCCTTATAACATAGACACTATACGTTTATAAACATCCATGCTTTCACTGAGATTTAAACCCAGGCCCATTGTTACATCAGTTAGTGTCACTAACCATTATACAGGCTGGATAGGTTTTCAAAGATACGTGAAGTTTCGGAGATATCAACAGCTGCAATGGCAATTCATGTCAGAAGCCATGAACACTTTGTGTACAATGACCTTGAAAATTCCATGCAAAGTAAATTGATGCTAGATAAATCTGGTAAATATGGGAGCCATGTGGTGGATCCATCAATTCTCAAAGATCCAATCCAAATACCATGAATAGCATACTGAGCTGGAGCTCCTTCATTTTAAAATGTCAAACTGATGATGCAAGGTCATGGGAGCATCATTCAGTCAATCAGACAAAGCTGCCTTCGGACAAGTTTATTTCTAAGCATTCAGTGTGGGTGGTTACAAGTATAGGCAAACTAAACAGTCATCCATGATACCTGCCTACACATTAAATGTGAAATAGGTTTGTACAACAGATGATTCCATAGTGTATGGATTCTTCTGGGCCCTCATTACCATTCTAGAAACAAGACCCTTTTGTGGAAAAATAATGCTCCATCCTGAAACAGAATATACATTGCTAAATGCTAAGTGTCTTAGGTAATCTTCCATCTGCAGTAATTGATGCACTGCAGATGAAATAGATGTAAGGCTACAGCATGCACAATAAACTGGCTCAGTATGCATCTATTGCTGTAGCCAATTGCATATATGCTTGTGCCTGGATCACCATCCACAGCATTCAACGTGCCATCCTTCATGATGAGAGTTAAAATCAAACATGGCTATCCTATCTCTTGTATCCCAAATCTGAAGGAACCATGTTCACAGAAGTTCTGATGGAAATGCAAAACATTTGGTGCTATGGTTCAAGTTTCATTGGATACTTTTCCTGATACATTCTTGTAGTGTTTTGTCTAAGACCATCAACTGATTTACAGTATACATGTCTGTCAATTTAGCATTCCTCATATGATTCATATTCTCTGTATGGCATCAAAGCTTTTATGAAGAAATGCTGTCTAGCTACCCTCTATGTGGTCTCTATGTGGAATTTTGAGACACCCTGTACAACTAAAATATAAATATGCATTTGGTCCTAAAAATATTAATATAAATTATGTTGTAGAGTCATTAGGTTAACTGGAAGCAGAAAAGATGAAAAATATGCAACCGCCTTCGCCGGGAATCGAACCACGGACCTCTGCAATACCGGCCCAGCGTGCTGAACCATTACACCACGAAGGCACGCTAGGGAAAGTGGGAGAAATACCTTATATACTCCCCTTTTTAAAGGGAAACTAGGGTTTTAGGGGACCTAGTCGCCAAATCCTGGGTGCGGAGAATCATTATCCACAACCCTTTTAGTTTGGGTGCCACTTGTAAAGTCATTAGGTTGAGTGGAAGCAGAAAAGATGAAAAATATGCAACTGCCTTCTACGGGAATCGAACCACGGACCTCTGGAATACCAGCCCAGCGAGCTGAACTATTACACCACGAAGGCACGCTAGGAAAAGTGGGAGAAATATTTTATAATGTTTCTGTTAAAATGTAAAATATTATATGTTGTATTAAGATTTAAGATTTCTTTAATGTTCCATACTTACTGAAACTCAATATGTTTTTATTTAGTCTGTGTTTCAATAAACATTATATTAATTATTGAAATTTCAATTGTATAATATTAATACGTACTGATGTTAAAGTGTAGCATGTTTGTAAAGTATAAAAAAAAAGAAAATTTAGCATTTTATATATGAAGGATAAAAGTGCCAAGTAATAGGAATATTCTGAGGCCACTTTAGTTTGATAGATTTCTATATGGAACATTTAATTTTATATGATATTTGGTTTTAAAATGTTTTAAAAAATTTCTAACTTGATTTTTTTTTTTTTTTTTTTTTTTTTTTTTTTTTTTTTAAATTTGATAGAGTGGCTATGATTGATTTTGTGGAAATTTTCAAGCTATGATCTGTAATATGGGGTTTTTAATTCTGTGCAATGGACATATGATTTTACAAACTCGCATGGACTGTTAAAGATTTTATAAAATCAAGGTTGTGTAAACTGAAATGCAATTAAAAAGCAAAAATATACAATATGCCTCAACTTTTATTTTTTAGATTCCAAAAATCTCACCAACTTTTATTTACCTCATAACTATACTTTAATAAAAATATGGTTCCATAAAATTAATGCTTGTAAACATCTGATATGGTAAGAAAGCAAGGAAAAATTTGCTTCGTTATAATTTATTTGTGCTTGCTTGTGTATTCTGATCTGCATTCATAGAATTCTGAAAGGTTAGATCTTCAAAAACTTTTTTTTTTTTTTTTTTTTTTTTTTTTTAAGTTATTCTGGTATAACTTGCAATCAAGATTTCATCTCTACTGTGCTGGGGATCAGTGTTGCTTATTCCTTTACCAAAAGAACTTTAATAAACTGTGTGCATTGAAAGTGTAAGAAAATTTCATCTTCCATCGAATTCTTGGCATAGAAGTGTAAAGAAAATAAGAATATGAATTAAAAAAGAGAAAGAAAAAGAGAATGTGAAATTGTAATTTTAAAATCAGGGTGGAAATTGCCATTGGTTCTAGAGAATAATTTTTGTGACTAGTGTGATAGTACATAAAAACAAGTAGTTTGTAAATGGGAGTTTTGTAAAAATCTGAAACCACTCTGTAACGAATATTGCAACTTCTTATAAATATATTTAATTATCTGTTTCATTCTTATATTAAAACATTCATTGGAAAACTAAAATTTTTTATTTCAAGAATATCTACTGCAAACACTGAAGAACTAATAATATTGCTGTTCAACTCAGTCCTTAATTTATGCCAGTGCCTGAAAGGGTACTCTACAGATCCTTTCTGATGGATTTATATCCCTCATGCATTGATAACCAAACCTCACTATACCTCATAAATGCATTCCATGCAGAAGTGCACTTAGCTGCTGTAGGTAATGGCAATATGCTGCTGGGAAACTTCACGTTCAGGGTCATAGTGATGCAGAAGCTCAGTGTAAATAATGCTTTAGGTGTCAAGTTCTTGTGAACCCATTTTATATATGCTTTGTGGAATTTCACATGGTCAGGATTGATGGGATAATGTGATCCAATATTAATGTGCAATAATGATAACACTTCTGTCATTTATTGTGCCAGTTTTCCCATATCATGTTCTTATTGGCTGCAATATTCTCTTCAATGACTGCTAGGCTCAAGAGAAAAGAATACTCTACTTTAAAAAACACTGGTCTTCATCTTTTTTTGATCTATGTATATACTTATACATAATTCATTTATTCATAAATATATTACAGGAAGAGACTAGGGTACAGATGCCAGCATCTTCACATTAACTTATACATCTGTGATCAGACCTGTATTGGAATATGGTTTCCAAGTTTACTTTTGTGCATCACCCACTAATTTAGCAAAACTAGAAAGAGTCAAATTAAGTGCTGTTCTTATTATTACTGGCATGAGACATTGCTGCCCCATAGGTTTGGTATTATTTGAAAGTGATATTCAGCCTTTAAAATTGAGAAGAAATTAGTTACTTTCGAAGTATTATAACAAGCTCTACAGTTTTAGCATTCAAAATTGCACTGCAACTTATCTCAGTATTTGGAGTAACAGGCAGAAATTAAAGAAAGACAGTCCTTTCTCTCTCATTTGTTTGATGGACTTGTTGGATCAGGAAGTTGAGAGACACTTCTTGAAAGCTATCTTTAATCCCCTTGTGGGCTTGCCTGAATTACATTTTCAACCTTAACTTGTGACTAATATTAACAAAAATCAAGATTTGTGTTAGTATCTACGTCAGCTTGCTCATTGACCAAATCATTGGCCAAATTCCAGCAACTGCTATTCATATATATACTGATGGCAGTAAAGATGATCACAGCTATTGTGGTAGTGGAATCTTCATCAAGGCCTCTGACTATTCACTTAGATTTAAGATGAAGAATCCTGATTTCTGCTCTGTTTTTAGATCTGAGCTAATAGCTATTGATGCAGCTCCCAGGGCTATTAAATCTGTAACACCAACTGTGAATATCTGGATTTTGTCAGACAATCGTAATGTTATCCAGCACATATGTAACTGGAATAAGGCTGGTGACAAAACAGTTATTTCAGTACTTAATACTCTTAAACAACTTTCTCAACAGCATAAAATCTACTCTCAATGGATTCCTTCTTACATTGGTCTTTTTGGCAATGAAATTGCAGACCTTTTGGCCAAGGAGGGAGCCTCTGACATTTGTTGATTTCAAATCACTCTTTGACCTTCTCTGAGATCTGCTCCAAGATAGAAATTTCAAATCAGTAGCTATGGAAAATCCCCCTGGTTCACCCCTGGTATAAATGGCAGGCTCCAAGTGGTGCACTTGCTGTCAAGGCTGATAGAGTCATTCAATCCACCATTAGCAGGCTCACAAGTTGACACGTGAGGTATGTCTCATTTGATCAGAGGCAAAAGACTGATCTGATGTGCATGAACTGCAGCTCTGCATAGGCCTCTCCCAATCATATATTGAACTGTGCAGGTCCTGTGTATGATTTTTTGAAGATTCTTAGGCCCGTGGACTTTGTCTAGCCTGTAGCTAGATCATATAGAATAAGAAAACAACAACAACATAATTCATACACCTATCACCATACTGAATTCACATCCTATAATGAACTTATATAGGTTTCACTCTTTTGTTTAACAAAAATCTTCCAGAGGTGAATTTATTTAGCTGCTAAAGTTGCAAAGTGTCCGAATCCGAAGAGTCCCATGCTGCAGTAGGGTCCCAAATCATTAATTCATTTCTAAAAATAGTAAACATAGCCCTTAAAATGTTAATGCGAATATTTTAATGCTAATAAAAATTTTACATGAGATGTTCTTCTTAAATCTGTCACTGAAAAGTCCACTCTTCTTGTACTGTTAAAAAGGCTCTGGCATTTTGTGGAACTATTTTTTAAGTTCCTATGCACATCATAGCTATGTTAACATCATCTGCTGGTAACTGCAAGTCATTATTTAATACCACAATGATATCAGCCATACTTGCAATTTTAATAGAACTTTGCTACTTTTCTATTGAATGGCCTAATACATTTTCTAACAACAAATAATAAATGGTATAACTTATATAGTAATATTGTGAATTATGTATTAATTAATATGCTTTATATGAATGCACACTTTTTTAATATTCCAGCTGGATATTTTCCCTGATAAATCATTACAAAATATAATTCCAGTTTCTGTAAAGTTTATGCAGGTATTTCATTTTTTTTAAAAAATTGTAATAATAAAATTTAAAACTGATTTTTTTTTCTTTGATATTTCTTGAAATATTCTTGGTTTTGAACTTACAGGTTTTACTTTTAGGGTGTCTTTTATTAGTGTATGTTCTGCATAAATTTACACAAATAAGACATGGATTAAGTTTCCACATCTGTTGTGTTTCTTTTGGGCTTTTGATGCTACTAGTCTGGAGCTATGTCCTTGATGAAAATCCAGTTATGTGGTTATTGTTGTTTTGTTTAAAAAACAAGATAAGGGTAAGCATAAATACAAGTTTGCTCATTTATCCATTATGGCAAGTATTTATTTCATAATGAAATGATTTGTGTCATTTATAGTTATTCTGTTTAAGTTTAAATGTTTCATGTTATGAAAAATTTTCTATCTATTGCCAGTATTCTGAATTACCGTTAAATTTAATCTGTACCATTAAATTTGAACAGTGTATTGAGTTCATATATAAAATACTATACCATTAGAAAACTTATAATTTTAAAGAAATCTAAGTAGAAATATTTTTTGTAAATCTTATAATTTAAAAAAATTTTTTTTAAGATTTTTCTTCTCCTGTTCTGGGTTGTGTCTACATTTACATCTATCTTTTTTGTGATATGGATCAACCAAGTTCAAAATCAAAAAGTATCAACCATAACTAGGAAATATTTCCACATTATAGTAAATGCTGTATTTATACCTGGCATTATATATGACCTTGAACTACTGCATCTTGCATCAGGAATCGCATTAACCGTTTTTATTGTATTAGAGGTAATTTCTTATTATTTATGAATGATAATGTTCATTTATTAATTTTTTTTTATCAAAGAAGTTCTGGTATTTGTTGGTTATTCACCGTTTAACAAAACACCATGAAGTATCCCTTTAGGGCTGTAACTACTGCTGGAGCAAGTGCCTTAGGGCTGCTTTGAGCTTAGGGATTCCCGAGTGAGAAGAAATATACATTTTTTTTTTATATTTGAAATTTTATTTTAAAAGATTGAATGCTTAAACATTTTAATGATATTTATGTTTTCATTTTTCAACCAGAATTGTGAATAATAAATCACAGTTAAGTTTCATTGAGTTTTCCTGATGTATAAACAGCATCTTATGGTTTGTTGCTAATGGCGAATAATCATTCTAAAAACTGAAATTAACCAAACAATATTTATGAAGTAATGTGAGACAGGAAAGGTCACCAATTTAGCTTTGCTCTCATTTGAGAATAACTGAGCCCAAAAAAATTAACCTTGCTAAAATAATTAATGAGTTTTCTTTCTAAACAGTTAGAAAACAGGACTTGAGGGGGGGGGCTAATCCAAGTGTAAAAATAAAGTATACTGAATAATTTGCTAGTAAAAATTTTACCTTAATTATATTGCATATGTTTCATATTACACTCTCTGTGATGTCAAATAGCTTCAGCTATCATATTCTTATTTACTTTTAGTAGGATTAAACAGGGATCATAAATAACATACAATAGCATGCAGATTTAAATATATGTATATATCATCTCCAAAAGGTGCCAATGGATAGATGGTGGTTACTAGACACTTAGCAGCATAGATGTGCAATGAAGATAGCATAGATGTGCAATGCATCTTAGCATTGGGACATTTAACAAAAGCATTTTTGTTTAATTAAAGTATATAAAGCTACTTAACAAAATAATCAATCATAAGTTTAAAAAAATGTGGTTAAAGTTGGGAAAAACAATAAAGAGGAGGGGCATTATCATCTATTGCACTGGCATTGCACATCTGTGCCGCTAAGATGCATTACACATCTATGCTGCTAAGTGTCTAGTAACCACCATCTATCTATTGGCACCTTTTGGAGATGATATATACATATATTTAAATCTCCAGTAGATATTACGTGGCATTCACATTTAGAATGGCTACAAGCAGATTGTTATTCTCTGCAACTTGCCTTTTTCTGTCTATATGAACTCTGATAAGTAAAAAGATAAGTGATTCTACGTTGTTATTTAAATCCTCTGTTTTGTTGATCTTCTCATGCATTCCATTACACGTTGATGTCAGTCTTGAGATTGAAGTAAACATTGAAATTAAAAAAATAAAGCATCCCCATACTCCTTTTACCTTTGCTCCCCAAAAATGAAAGAGAGAGAGAGAGAACATTAGCAAAAAATAAATAAATAAAAATCTTACTTTGTAGACAAATCCAGAACAGCTTTTAGGTTTACCAAACACTTGCAAGGATCTGCATCATGTGGGCTATTTTTGTTGATGTATAGCAAATAAAGGATAACCAACAACTACTAAACTTTATTATATTTTCTTTCTTTTGTATGTAGTGTGATTAAAGATATGCACAAAAAAAATAATAATTTGAATCTCTGTGTCTGTTGTACATAAGATAGCAATCTAAAGAGGATAATTGTAGCTTGCTTATAGATTTATATGAAATTAGATATTATTTATTTAAATATATTTCTTTAAATTGAATTTTATATAATTTGTTTGTTAACAGGTATGTGCAAGGAGGATTTTATATATATTATATATAATGTTTATAAGAATTACATTTGAAATTAAGTTATTATAATGTTATGCTTGTTAATTTTATTGTATGAAAATAATTGATTGAAATTAATTTAATAAAATATAATAATTGAAATATAGGAAATTTAATGGCTTATTTCTGTTTTGCTTAATTTGATACAAGATAAAGTACGTTTGTCTCATAGAATAAACAGTAATTTTGAAGAAAATTCGTATAAAAACTTCACTAGGGAATTCAAGTATGATTCAGAAAAATGGAATGATTGAAAAAATGCAGTGTTCACATACATTTGCAAAGCATGTTGTTATGTGAATTAATATCTGTTCACTGCAATGCAGCACCAATGGCTGAATATTAAGGCTGCTGAATACTGGAAATTCAACCTGGATTGTAACTTAGGTAAATGGGTTAGCTGCATGGGTGTTTTTCATGGTTTTCTTTATGTATAACATGAATGCAAGCCAGTTTCCTTTAAAAAAATCCTCCACAAAAAACATCCCTCTTCTTAGACAAACAGCCTTTGTGGGTTTTGCCATACACAAATAATCTAACCTAACTGAACTCTGCACTATGTATCTTCTCAAGCATTCTGGAAGTTGTTATATCTTCTCTTGAGGTGTTTCACTGGATGCATATCTATTCTCAAATAGATGTAATGATATTAGGGGCTAAATTTAGGCTGTAATGGAGACGTGGGAGAACATCCCACTCATCTATCATTATAGGCATTCTTCTCCATATTATTTGCTATTAACCTAGTCAAATTCTGGGAGCTTGAGATCATTTCCTATCTAGAAGCATGCTAATAGTCTTTTATTCTGTGGGCTAAGGATTTCTTGTTTATTTATCATTTTCACAAGCTCCACTATAAGTCCATTGTTGTCCAATAAGTTCAAACTGCCAATGCAGTGTTAAGTAATATATAATGGTTGAATCAAAATCAAAGTATAAAATTGAGTGGGTTTTGGGTATGTGATTATCCTAATCTGATAAAGTCTGTTATTTGCATAGGCCTAATATCATCTCTGTATTAATTTTTATTTTGACATCTTCATTTATTTTCGGCATCTGATAATATATTTAGAAACTACTTGCTTTGCTGTTGCAAAATAATATGCAGAATATGCATTCGAAGTATCCAAACTTTCTAGAATAATGAAATCCTTTCTATTAACTGTTTAACAGCATCTAGATGAGATGATTATTTAAGATACGTTTTTTCTAGGCTTCTAATTATGAATTTTATCAGTTCTTTCATGTAAAAGCAGTAAACTTCTGCTTTGTTATAAGAATATTTTAGAAGATATTTTCAAATAAGGCTTAGAAGAATTTTCTCTGATATTCTTTCCTGGTACAGAATTTAATTTTTTTTTCGTTGTCGCAGTTTTCTTTGTTTTTTATTCATTCTATAAAATTTTTTATTTCATTGCAAATCAAATAGTTTTCAAGTCAAATTTTTGCAGTCTTATAATTACTAAAGCCTTAAAATAGTTATCTAAAGAATATTTAATTTATTACATGATAATTCTGCCTTCATTCATAAACATATAAATATATAATATGATACATCAGAAGTTATAATTTTAAAAGCATGCTTACTATAAAAATTGAAAAAATATTCTAGATATTCAGAAATTTGTAGTGGATTTTTCAAATAAAATGTTTATTGTGTCATATTATTTGGAACTTGAGTATAAAATTTGATATTTGATATACAAAACATTTTAAATCAGTTCTTAATGCATTATCTTTTATTAATTTTAGATGTATCGAGTTCTTGATGTTTATATCATTGGTCCTGCCATCAATAACGCATTCCAAATATTTCTGGATGAGAAGGATTCTGGAGTTTTAATTTTAACTCATATTTACCTCCTCATAGGTTGCTCATGCCCTTTATGGTTGTACCCTTACAGTTTAACAAAAGGTCAGTGCCAAGTTTTCTTTCTTTCTTTTATATCTTATGTTATGGAATATAGAAATAAATGTATGAATGTTAAAAAATTATTTTTGATGTGCCATGTGTGCAAACTAAAATATCTAAAACACACAATTTCAGAAAAATTCCACACCTTATCTGCTGAATAGAAATGCATGAGGGCAAGTTAAAAATAACTTTTCTTAAGTTTTTGTTGGAGGTTAAGTAAAGATAATTCAAGAATAAAGAACACCATTTTTTGTTGAAAGTGTTCTTTTTAATATATTTAAGAAAATATATATGCAAATATAAATTACGATTTCAATCAGCAACATTCCTTAAGTCTTAATTTTATTTCTGCTCTATTCTAAAATTAGTAATCTTTTTCTGCGCTACATCATTTTGAGACTAATGTAACTCTTACGTAATGGTGATGTAAGTGGAACTGAAACTCAAACAGTCAATGATGATTTTACAGTAGTATCAATTATCTAATCAAATGAATTGAGAACTAAAATTAACTCATTCAGAATTAAGATATCATCCTGAACATAACTGCACTTGCTCTCTACACTTTGGCTTATCTGCACTGCTGCCTGCTCGTCTCTTCTTACTGCAAAGCTGTAAAATGTAAACATTTTGAAATAGGCACAAACAGTGTGTCAAGTTAATTGTGACCGCGATATATTTACTGAAATAAAAATAAGATTTAATCTGCCTCTGAGGGCATTTCATAATGGATCAACATTCTATGCAATCAAAATTCTTACTGTTCAGTATACAAGGCATAGATATATAGAATATTGAATCTGTAATGAACAGCAAGACATTTTTAAAATAGCGTTAATACTGAGATTACAAATCGTGCCAATTTGGCTCAACCACTTTTAAAATTTTTTTACAGGATGCTCTTTCTCTGCTTGAATATACATTTGTTCAACATAATTTTCAGTGACTGTAAAGTTATTTTTCGTATGAAATAGAAATTTCAGAATATTAGTTAATTAACATGTATGAGTTATTAGGTTCATTAGGGACATCAGTAGGTGCTCCTAAAATTCTTTTTGAAAGCAGAACTTTGTTCCTTAATGTAAACAGACATTTTGTTGCACTTTCAGTTAAGAATGGCTATAATGTTTTTCATATCATTCACCCATAAGTTTGTTTTATTCATTTCATTAATTGCTTTTGAAGTTTAAGAAATTGCTTAATTGAAAATTTGTACAGGTAAACAAAATTTTAAATAAAATTAGAATTTTCTAAATTTATAATATTTGAAACCTATCTCATGTACCAATTTATTTAATATGACTTAACTAAATTATATCAGAAAAATAATGATATATTAGAATGACTTGGAATTAAAATATTTGAAGAAAATTTTGTCTTAAAAATATTCTTATTTCATTGTCAATTTGAAGTAAAAATATAGGATTTTAAACAAATAGGCAAAAGCGTGATATTTTTTATTGTATTGCATTTAATAGTTCCCTATGCCATCATGGCTTGAAGAAGATTTAAATCAAATTGCCTTCAATATCAAAAGAGTTCAATTTAAAATCTATATTAGTTCAAGATTGCTTTTTATGCTTGATTTCAAATTTAATTTAGTATGTTTCTTATCTAGAGTAGAATCATATTCATATCAATGATGAGCATTCTAAATTAATGTTTTAAGTGGCAAAATGAAATGTTGACTTCTAACTTGATATGTTTATGAACACTCAAAATTTTGGTGGGAGTTATATTTAATCAAGGAAAAATTAATTTAATTTTTTATATTTTCCCTGTAGGTTATCACATATGCTTGCTAAGTGGAATTATATCAGTTGGATTTGGTGATACTGCAGCTGCATTAGGTGGTTCTCTATTTGGTAAACATTTTTGGAAAAGTAAGTTTTTTTTATATTCATATTTTTATTCCCATTTTGAAATACCACACAAGTTTAGTTTGATCATAATTAGAATCTCACAATTAATCACTGTATAGTAATTATCTACCTGCAGATGCAAAATATTTAATTTTTTATGGTCATATCTTATATTTTTATTCATATGATTTATTTTATTTGTCTAAATAAAATCCTAAAATCCATTTGCTTAAAAGCATTTTAATAACAGTTTACTAATAAAAAATACCCATTTGAGAAAGAGCAGAGATTTTATCCCTTTGCGAAGATTTGAGAAAAATACCCATTTGAGAAAAAGCAGAGAATTATCCCTTTGCAGAGATTTTCTGCAAAGGGATATTTTTCTTTCCCTTTGAAACATCTAAAGATTCTTTAAGGCATATAAATGTGCTCTTATAAACAGCTGCATTTAGAGTCATCCCATGGGCCAGTGATGAACCCAGCTGATTACTGCAATTACTTTTCCTGTGCTAATTACTGTCGACCCAGGGTAGTATACTTCAGTATTCCACAAAAATCAGTTAAAAGCAAAAAATACTGTTTTTCAAAAATTATTGCTTTTCAGGCACTGCATAGATGTTAATTTCTTTTCTGAAAATATAAAATTCTGTTAGGAAATAAAGAGAATAATTAAATTGTTATATTCTAATACTATCACATACTCATCATTCAGAAGTATAGGCCAATATTTATTGACTTGTGAGGATATATTATAGTACAGTATTTCATGCATAACTTCACTATTGTTATGAATATTGTACATAGATAAATGATTTTAGTGCAATTATATGTGAAATTGTTATATTTTTCTGTATAATGCAACATGAAAAATCTTAAGAGACAAGCTAAGACAGCCTGGACAATTAATAATACAGAGACAAGCCTGGAAAATTAAGAATACAAGGGCAGGTCTGTTTAATGCTGAATAAATGGGTATCATGGTAATTTGGTGACAAATAGCCAAACTTGGCAACCATTTGGTCCAATCCCTGTATTGTAATCGAATAAATGTAACTGATCACTATATTAACTGTAAGCATAATTCGACCCTCATAATTCCTTCCAGTAATTTCGAGGGCCCACCAGCAGCCAAGTGGTAAAGTCACTGAACACTGGTAGTTCAGTCTGAGGTTGAAATGCTGCAAATGGCCTGGCTGTTTGGGCATTTTCATGGTTTTCTCCATTCTTAATGTTATATGAGCCAGTTTCCCTTAGAAAGTCCTCTACGAAGGCATCCTTCCCCTTAGGCAGATTAGCCCTGGAGGCTTTGCCATAATCACATAAATCAAACCAAAACAATCTAGTAATTTTGAGAAGTACTAGAAATATCTTGGCAACTGGGTGAAAACTGTATAAGGCCGGAGAGAGCATCTGCTCTCAGTTGTTGTTAGCTGTTAGCATGAGTTTGAATTACTAAGATACTTCCAGGTAGCTTTTTCTTTAGCTGCACTTTGTGTTGTGTTTAATGGTAAATGCCAGGTGCATATCTTTTCAGATAAGCCATGACTGTTAAAGCCCTATCATTCTGATGCGTTTGGCTTCATCTAATGAGATAATGTGTTGCCACACAAGTCTAGGAAAATTAAAGGAACATTCTTCTAAATCTGTAATCTTGCACAGCCATAAAAGTCACCTGACCTCCAGTGTTACCACACGCATCATTGATACCATGATGCACACTGTAGAATCCTAGGAACCACTTTATAAAAATACAGGTGTCATTGCGTACAGAAGGCTTTCACACACTCATGAAGTTAATGCCTCAGCATATTTGTATAGTTATATGCTTTTTTGAAGGACATACTAAGTATCAAACCGGACAGGCTTTCTAACTACTATTAAAGCATTTTCTAACTAGTATTATTTAAGCTTTCTTTTGATATGGAACATTATTTTATCTTATGAAGTTAGTTCATAAAAATAAAAAAAGTTTAAAAAACTTCATTATATAGTGTATTGAATGCATCTGCTAAAATGTAGAACTTGTACTTAGTGTCTTAAAATGGCAGTTTTTTAATCTTCTAAATCTTAAATTAAACATTTTTACATATCATTGTTATTCTGATATGTAAAGAATGACCGACTAAAAAGTTATTGGTATCAATTAGTCATTTTACAGATGTCAAGAGTATCAGGTAAATGGAAATATATGGGATTAAAGTTTCTTTGTTTTCGAATATATTCCTGAAATGTAAACTTTTTTTTGAAATTAGATTCCAAAAAAACATTTGAAGGGACTGCCTGTGCAATTGTTTCCCAGTTAGTTTGCTGTTATCCATTTTTATCTGTTGGTGAGTTTTAGGAATTCTTTAATTTTTTTATAATAATTTAATGCATATGTCTTTGAATTCATGTTTGTGTTTTTAATTGCTTAGTTATTTTCAAATCAAGTGACATTAAAGATGATGAAGTTAGTATTTGGTAATATTAATGGACACATCTTTATCTATTAAATATGTATGTTTTCTTTTCTTATTGTCAGCAGAAAGAGAAAATAATTAAGTTCCAAAATCTGTTGGATAAATCTTTTTGTCTTGCATAAATGAAATACAATTGGAAAATAAAACATATGTAAGCAGCTGTTGTAAAAGTACAGAATTTTAAAAAATGTGACATTAAAAACCTGATCTCCAGGCAATTTTTAAGAATTTTTTCAGGTATTCAGGATACTTTTTTGGTATAAATTTAATAGCTTATACTGATTTATTTTTATTTGCTGAAGTTCAAATTTTGAAGAAAAATATAAATCCTATCTAGATAAATGTGTAAAGCTGCAAAAATTTTATGAAACTTTAAAATCCAATAGTAAATAAAAAAAATTAAAAACAGTATGGAGAGTGTTGATTATGAAAGCATTCACCTCCTTCTTCAGATCATGGAGAAATAAATGAATTTTGGAATCCATATACATAGAGAGGTTTAGAATCATAATAATTCAAAATTATGCACCATAAGTGATAAAGTATAATTTTTTTTATTGCATTTTAATTTTATAGTGGACTACTCCAAAGATAGTATATGTTTTGACATAAAAAATGCTTCCAATAGTTAAAGGATGTGCAGAATTAAAGCAAAAATTTATATCTATTTTGAATTTTGTTTTTAAATTTATATAGCAGAAAGAACAATTAATACAGGGTTTCTTCTCATCTAGAAATTCAGGGAAATGAAAAATCACTGGGCAAAGTTGCAAAAAATATGAATTTTTTCTGAAAGGTTTTCATGTTAAAGAAAAAAAGTACAGATCAGTCTTCTCAAAAAATAAAATTATAATGCACAATAAACGAAAATTGCTTTTGTTAAAGGAAGTAAATGAAGCTTACTGTATTTTTTTTCTTGCAGAAATTTTACACTATATTTGATACCATTCGATCTATCCATAGTTCTCTATTAGTGAGTTGTTCTCTATCTATTAGTGAAGAAATCATAACACTGTGCAGTTCTATATATTATATTAAATACACAAATTTGTTTCAGTTCAGTGTAATTCTAAGCTCTTCAGTTTTATTTTGAAACACCACAAGAGGAGTATTTATTATGATGTACTTTTTCAAATTTCTTCTATATAGAATGAATTTCTCCCCCCCCCCAGAATTTAAATTTCTTTTTAAAAATACTACTCATATTTATTGTATATATTTCTGTCATTTGTTCACAGTAGTAGATGAGATATATTTTTATTATGTTCTTTGTTATTGCATTGTATTTTTAGTAGTCGTACAATATTACTCAATTTAGTTAGAATTATTTAAGTATTCAGGCATTGATAACTAAGTACATTATGTTGTTCAGAGGAGTTTTCCCTCATCTGGTCATAGAAAATCAGGGAAATTAAAAGTTGAATTTCAGTGGGAAGTCTAATATCATGTTTAAAAGGCTGCATGCATATCTAGTCTCAAATTCATTATGGCCCAAATCTGATCATTTTGTATCATTAAGTCGAGAGCCAATTCTTGTCTCATAAGGGTCATACATGCCGATTTCTGTAACTTACATTCTTTTATCATCTAAAGGCTGTTAGCTTGGAGACTTGCTATAGATATAAGTATAGTCAAGCATGAAAATAAGAAAGGGTAGGCAGAAACATACCAAATGTCTCAAAAGTGATATAAATGCAAGAATGGATTTCCCCAATCGCTTAGGTCATCTTCAAAGCAGATTATGTGGACCAAGAAATGTAGTTTCTTCAGACTAGTGTCTGCTTCAATGAATCAGTAAATGAGTCATGATGAAAGTAGTGGTGTTTCAGTGATGGCCCACAGGGCGACCTCACATTTATACTATAGCTCTCATATCTGCTTTGACGATTGAAGGTGGAGAAGTGTTTCTTGTAGACAGCAGTATATCTAGTTTTACCCAGTCCTGGTGCAGTGTCATACCTGCTTTGAACACCAGCCCAACAGGTCTTTTGTTCTGTATTAAACTTGACAACTTTTCTTTCCTACATTGTTATCAAAATTACAAGCTCAAGACAAATACAGGTAATACATTCAGAAGATGCAGACTATATTTACATGGTTATATGACTTACTTTCATGGAACTATTTTTGTCTTTTCAGTGTAATTTTCACAGCTTTTTATAAAATTTGCTTTATGCTGATTTTTTAAAACTATATTGCAGGTCATACTTTCTCAATCTGGAACATTCTATTAGTAACCACATCCATCATCTTTACATCACTACTAGAAGCTACAACATCACAAGTAGACAACTTAGTGTTGCCACTATTTATGTTTTCATTTCTTTCATGGATTCAATAAATTTGTATTTTGTGAGAGTTTATTTATAAATTGAAGAAAATATTAATATACATATAAAATATTTTTTTTTCACTTTGAAAATGAAAATAAAAATTGATGCTTTGCATAATACGATGTACAATGGTCTGACTCAGAAATGGATTTTAGGTTTCTCTAATGCAGTGTTTTTAACCTATTACCCTTCACATATTATACAAAAATGTATGTCATACTGATGTATTCCTTATATTATTTGATGGATAAACCTATAATCATATGATAATAAGATTATATATACATGTCAGATTTTATATTTATTTTTTCTGTTTGCGTGTATCACATAATAGAAATAATATTTTATGAATTATTTACACATATCTTTGCTTAACAGGCTTGTTGCCAAAGCTGATATGGTACATCAGTTCACATATGCCAAGATCCTATCTAAAATTTTATGCTTTTAAATTATTTTTTGTTGTTTTATTATTTAAATGTAGATATAACAGATTACTTTGAGCAATAAATAAAATTAAAGTATTCTCATAGTTGGCATGTGAAATATTTTTTACCCTTGTGCTGACTGCGAGATAACTCAGAACTAGATAAACAATATTCACTCGCACATTCATGCAAAACTTTTGCAAGTGTAGTACATTATTTTTCATTCGTTTTACACGAGTCACTGAAAAAAACTTGAGCAGTCTGTTTGTAACATTTTTCAAGTGAAAAAAAATCCTCTCCCCCCCAAAAAAAAATGGTTTTGCATTCTAAACATTTGGTTATTATAATTAATGTAATAGTAATTAAGTGTGTCAATTCTTGTATGCCAAACACCTATACATTGCACACATTTGCTACAGCAATAATCTACTCGTACTGAGTAATTTGGGTAAGGCAATTAGTTATCTTGTGGCTGGCAAGTAAACTCAGTTTGCCAACTATTCTCATTGATATGAAAGCAAATGTGTTAAAAACCAAAAAAACTAATTAGCTCAGAATTCCATGGTTTGCTCTGGTGGATATTGTGGAAAAAATTCTGAGTTTCTAACGTCTAAACTATTTTGAATTTCTAATGTAATTGCTGATTTCTGGCAATTTTTTCAGTATAAAACAAATCATGAATGCATATAACTTTCCATTAAGTGTTAAAAAATTAACTGGACAGTTAATGATTACGGTGAAGAATTATGATGTTAATAATGGAATAAACAGGAAACCTTTGTCTCAAAAATCAAAATGTCAATCTGAAATAAAATGAATTTTGTTCTTTCATTCTAAGTTTTCTTGCTGGCTGTAAAGTAGGCTCACTACAAATTGTGTGACTGAAATTGCAAAATAGTATTATTTTCATTTCTGAAAAGCAGAAAGAGTTAGCATGGAATTTTGTGGTTTTTCTCATATGTAAAGTAAATAGAAAACAGTTTACCTCAAAAAATTTCCGCAAAGTGCATTCCTGCCTTTTAAGCAAATAGCTATTGACTGCTTTGTCTAATTAAATTAAATATACAACTAACTTTAAAAATCGTAACTTAATAAGTAATGAAAAGAAATTGCAAAATGTAAAATTAATATTTAAAATATTTTTAATACTTTAAAAGAATTCAGTTCTTTTTTGCTGGAAATTATGAAGTTTAATGAATTTAGCTTAATGCATGTTTAACATGATTGATTACCAAATGATTAATGTACCATTTAATATACGTACAATTTTGTAAATTCCAATAATATGTTGCCTCAAATGTGAAACTGATATCACATCTACAAGCTACTTTCAACAGCATGTTGCAAAAAACATTTCCTTGAATTTTCCATCCCCTTTTCAGGATATCTGATCAGTTGACATATGCAACTCCACCCTTTTTTTTTTTTTTTTCTCCAAGAAATCCGATATAGGGCAAAGCTTCAGGTGAAACAATTTTGGTTCGGTTACAAAATGTCCTCCTGGTGTTCCAGCAAAAAGTTTCGGCTAGGAGCCTTCTAGTGGTAGAAGCTTGTTTCTCTTAACCTCATGCAACATTAGATATGATAACTACATAAGAAAAAAATTCTGCGATATAAATTCATCATTCAGCATATAGTGATTCTTATTAAAAAAAATGCAAAATATAATTAATTAGCAATCTTAATCCAGATTTCAGAAATTTTTGAGTTTTTCTATATGGTATTTTCTTGTTATTTTAATCTAAATATGTTGAAAATAAGTACTTCAGTTTCTCATGTAGGTTTAGCACCCCCACCATATTCAGCTCAAAAATTTCCCTCATTGTAAAGTAAATTATAATTAATTAGGTAGAATTAGAATTATATTAATAAGTAAGTTATGCTATGATTATAGCACTATCTTTATCTTCATTCTAATACAATTACTGATCTGTGAGGACAAGATGCGGTATTCATGTACTGCAGGGGTTAACCCCGTGAAGCTTTTTTTGTGCACCCACAACTATCCGCTATATCAACATCAACTGTGGCCAATCCATGATTTTTTGAATGCCCATGAGATTCGTCATACTTTTAGCAATAAAATATAAGTCGTAAAATTATTGTATTGGCAACTCTGTTTTGTTACCACTAGTACTGGTAACACTTTTGTCTTATCAGTTGTTATTGTCATTGAAGACCCTCGCATTGAATCTGTTGCACATTAACAAATTTTTCAGCAATTGAATTTTTAAAACTGTTTAATTTTATTTTAGGTTTCTCACCCTTAAATGAGTTTCTTGAGCGAAAGGCAATAAATGTATCATTTCAACAGCGATTAGAAAGACTATGGATTTATCCAGACAAAGGACACGTCTTTTTTTTTTTTATTATTTGAAATAGTTTTGAAGAAACATAACTTCAAACGCCATTTCAAGACTAATCACAATACTTTCGGCGTTGATTATCCGCCTAAAACACAATTGAGAAAAAGATAAAAAAGTAATAAACTTAAATCAAGGCTATCTGCCCAGGAAGCATTTTTAATTATCATGCAAATAAAAATACCACAATTGCTTCCTTCAAAATTTCTCATTTGTTGGCAAAAAGTAAAAAAACTTTTCTCGGACAGCGAATTAATCAAGAAAACATTTCTAATGGGAGCTGATGCATTGTGTGAAGGATTTTGTAATAAGCAAGATATTATTACAGCAATAAAAGATGTGCAGTTATCTAACGATACAACTAAGAGAATACAGATGCTATCAATTAATTTACATAGTCCGTTGAATGATGATTTGCAAAAATGTGAATGGTTTTCTCTTCAGTTAGAAGAGTCGACAGATTTATGATACAGTGCAACTGGCAGTATGCATAAGGATGGTTTTTAGTGTAAAAGAACTGCTACTAAAATTACTACCAATGCATGGACAAACAAAAGGAGAAGCTATTTTTAATATCTTTAAAAATTATGCTAAAGAAATTAATATGCCTTTACAAAAGGTATCAGTAATAATTACTGATGGGGCTCCATCATTGGTGGGCTGCAATAATGGATTCATATCTCATTGCAAAAGAGATGAATGAATTATCATTGCATTTTTCATCCAAGAAGCATTATGTGCTAAAAAATTATCCTTTGAGCATGTCAAGAATGTAGTTATAAAAATACTCAACAAAAGTTGAACAAATCCATTGTCACACAGAATCTATAAATCAATTATAGAAGAGGGCAATTCTTCAAAATCTGACTTTATTTTACACACAGACACAAGTAAAGCTCTCGCTCGATTTTTTAGCATCTAGAAGTCATTAAAAAAATTTCATTTGAAAAGGTGAATGTTTCGAACAAATTGAATGACCTTCTCTGGTTGACGGAATTGGCATTTTTCGCCGATATTTGCAAAAAATTGAATATTTTAAGCTTTCAACTTCAGGGGGAAAATATAGTGAAAATGGTTTCTGCAATTAATAGTTTTAAATCAAAACTACAATTCTGGAAAAAAAACTTTACCAAAAAGGTCTCTCTCTCATTTTCCATGAATGAAAAAAGTCATCAGTGAAAATTCGTTTGACCCAAATTTATTTATTGGTCGCCTTCAGAAGCTTCTGGAACAAATTGAAAATAGATTCCAGCAATTTTCGATTATTGAGCCACTGACTTCGTTTTTTGTAAACCCATTCAATCCTCAAAATAATATTTCTGAAGTTGCAAATTCCTTCAATTGAAGATGAGATTTTAAATATTCAGACTGATATTGTATTAAAATTGGTGAGACTTAATGAAAATATTTAGAATCTAGCCGAAGATAAAAAAATATCCCCTTTTGAAAAAAGGAGCTTACAAATTAAAATCCTGTTTCCACATATTTATGCAAATCGTTGTTTTCCACGATGAATAGAATTAAATCAACAATCAGATCTCGACTTAACGATAGCAATCTTGAAGATGTTATAAGATTGGGAATATCTTCTTATACACCTGTCTTTGAAAAATTAGTAGTTAATATGCAATGCCAAAAATCGCATTAAATGTAACCAATTCAAATTTTTTTGTTACATTTTTAGTGTGAGATATTGTTTATTATGCTTGTGATTGCAATAAAATGAAGAAATATTAAGAATTGTTATACTTTTTTTTAACTACGCCCACCAGCAATTTTCTGTTTGTCAGATATGTCCAGATGGAGAATAAGGTAAGGAATCCCTGATGTACTGCTACTACAGTCTACTGACACCATCTCATTAAGAATAAGTAGTAACTAACATTGCTACCTCTATGTCCTTAAAGCTGATATGAGGTAGCAATGTTAAAAAAAAAGTGTCAAAGTTGAATTAAGGTCTGTGCTGTAAAAACCAGACATTGTACTATGAGAGACAAGGGCACTTTGCCTTCAACACATATTTGGATCTATTTCCTAGCACGAGCATTGGTTGGTTGTTGAACCACCACCAGGGCTTCCTGTCGAGGCATGCCTGCTTGATTTACTTAATAACAGAACTTACTGTTATGTTATTAAGTAAAAACTGTTAACTTACTGTTATGTTATTAACAGTTAGTTTAAACTGCTGAAACAATTTCCACACTTAGTTTCAATTGAATAAAGTTTAAATTTGTGACAGAACATAATTAGAGAAGTGTATTGAAGTTACTAATAAATTTTGATGAAAGCATGTTATAAAAAATTTGTGCAAATCTATTTTCATATTTTGATTCCATCAGATTCGGGTTCTTGTGCCAAAATATAAAAATAAACTTACTTAATAATAAGTACTTAAATAATTTTGATGCAGTTGCAACAATTGTGCAATTAATTCCAAAAATGCCCCACTTCACATGGAATTTTTGATGTAGTAGCGAAATTGGAAACTGTGAAACATAACTGATAATCTAATAAAACCAGAAATCACTGTTCTTTAATTACAAATTTATATACTTATTAGATACTTATATTTTTATTGCAACATTCTTATCTTTTGCGGGATTCAATGAGTCAGAAAAATTGTAACATTCGAAAACATAAAACAGTAATTATTTAATAACAACACTTATTAGATCTATGCCTATGTCCTTCAGCACTGCCACTACTAGTTCATATTACTACTACTACTAGTTCATATTCATCACACTATTTTTAATTCAAATTTATCTCATACTTATATCAGACTTATTTATTTCACACTGCAGGTATTTGTTTCACTACCGGATGCCGGGATAATAATTATGCACACTACTAGACACTACATACAAACAACTTAAATGACAAATTACATTCGCCTGATGTCTATACGTGATATATTGGGCCTCTGTTTCTCGTGAATTTTCCCGCTCCTTCTCAAATCATTCCGTCTTTCTTTAACTCCATATCCACTGTTGTATCATTCTGCAATGTGGCTAATGCTACTAGCATTCAGCTGGAAGTAGCCTTATATTATAATAGGTAGTTGCGAATCTAAATTACAATAGTTTTAATGAATTTAAAACATTTAAGAGTAGTATCCTGACAGTCCATCTGTTCGCTTATTTTTTCGTGCTGCACCCCCGCTAGGAACGGCCCTGGCCACTACGTATCTAAAATTTTACGATATTCTAGTAAAAATATAAGATAAGATGAGCAAAACAAACAAATTTATGAGGATTGCTATTTGTATTTCTGATCTAATAATGAAAAACCAAATGTTTATGATCAAAATTGGTTTTATTGCTTTTCAAAATATTCTCCATGAAGATCAATACACTTTTGCATGCATTTGAGCCAATTTTCGAAGCAACTTTTTCACTCAGATCGAAGTAACTCCAAAATATGTGTTTTGAATGTATCAACTACTTCTTTGGGTGTAGCAAATCGCTGACCATGTAATTTACTTTTGATATGCAGGAATAAAAATAAGTTATTGGGTGCCAAATCAAGGCTGTACTGTGGATGACCCATCAATTCGATGTTTTGGCCCATCAAAAATATAGTTGTTTGAGCTGATGTGTGACAGCTCACATTGTCATGAAGAAGAATGATTCGCCTCTTCTGCTTTTTTCGAATTTATCCAATGATTTCTGGCAAACAAATGGTCATGTACCATTCAGAATTGACTGTCCTGCATTGCTCTATCACCAAGTGATGAGTAATACCGAAGAAACAGACAACCATTTACTTCGATATGCTTCTTCTGCTAACAACTTTTATTGGATTTGTCTTCTCTTAGAAGACCCATACAGTTGATTGTTGTTTTGTTTCGGGCTCTTATGCATAGATCCACGATTCGTCACCTGTATACACATTATACACAGCATTTGATGCACCTTGAATATTTCCATATAGTATTATATAACATTATATTTCCAATATTTCCTTGCACCAATCAACATAAGCCTTCTCTTGAGCGTTTATCAAATTATGCGGGATTCAATGTGAACAAATCTTTTTTACGGCCAAATGTTCATGTAATATCTTATTGATGCTCATCATACTAATGCCCAAAGATGCCTCAATCTCATGGTATGTCATATGTCGATCTTGGTTTATCAGTTCATGCACAGCATTGATATTTTCTGGCACAACCGATTTTGAATGATTTTCAAAGAATGCGTCCTAAAGTGAACATAGACCACGACTGAATTTGTTGTACCAGTTTTTTACACTGTAGGATTGCGCTTCATCGAAGCACTCGTCTTGATAATCCATGTCGAAAGTTCTGAAAAATAATTGCACGAAAATGTTCACGAGTCAATTTCATTCTTTGCCCAAGATCAATTTTTCAGTTTACTGTAAACAATACAAATCAAGCTAAAATGCCAAAATGTTCTGAAGAAGATATGGTTAAAAATATCAAATTTTCGACTGCAGTCTTCTACGGTCGCCTAGCAACACTTACTGTTGCCGAGGCCAAAAATATAAATAGCAACTTTCCTATTAATTGCATGTAACTCATACTGCTATACTAAGAAAATTTTAATGTTTATGTAAGCTTCCATATTTTATCATCATCATACATAAAAAATATCGATAAATTAAAAGAAAAAATATGAATATATTACATAAATGTATAAGGAAATTTAAAATACTCTTACATATAAATAGTTTCTCAATATATTTATGTAATATTTTAAAACTGACTAGATTATGATATACATACAAAACAAGCTTTTCTTATAATCTCGCATAAGTCTGTTGTCACTGTTTTTATTATTAATTCAATTAACTATAATATTTGAAGTGTTCACAGTTCTGCATTTGAAATTTGGATACATATTTCAAACATGATACATGTTAAAATGTACATTATATACATAATGTCCACAAAAAGTCCTTAAGTGGTCTGTTCATCATAGTCATACACTTCCAAGTACGAAAATATTTTAAATAATGGAACTATTCATGTTTTGGCACTTCCAGCCCATATATTTTATATTTAGAGAGGCTGGTGGTCAAGACTTGATGTTGTGTTTGACTACTGTAGGCACTTAACGATATACATCTACGAAATACGAGAAAAATTTCATGTATAAAAATAAGTATAAAAGGTAAAAATTTTGTCTGGTAAAAGTCTGCTAAAAAATGGTAAAAGTCTTTGGCATAATTAGTGATCAAGAAAAACATTATCAACTTCTGATGAAACACTATTAAATAAATTTAGGTCTTTAGGTTTTCCAGCATTATTTTTTGTTTCTTCATTTGATTTCAGTTGATTAATAGAAAGTTTCAGTTCTGCTAGTTTTCCAACTGGCATGGAAAATTCTGTATCTATTTGCTTGTCTTGCATACAGAACCTGAGTAACAATTTGCCATCCAGGAATAGACTCTGAAAAATGAAAAATAAATATAATAAATTCAAATGGCTTCTTTGTCACAATATTTTATAATTTTAAAAACTCCTCATTTGGGCACTTATCCCCAAATTGAGACATTTACACAGCATTCTCCATTAAAACTTTTTGTCACAAATTTCATTGGCAATCTAAATTAAATGTAAACTAATGCTTTTTAAGTCACAAGATTTAATGTTTAATACATGTTCTAATTAAGTTTTCATATGCAATTCACTCAGTTTTATGACAGTTAAAAGGAGAAATGGGCCACATATGGTACTATAGTTGCCCATTATTTAAGGCAGCTAAAGATTTAGCCTTGCTGATAGGTTTATAATATTTAATTGTATGGTAATGGAAGAAATAAAAGAGTAAAATCATATAAATAAATAAAAGAATAATTAAAAAAATTAACAGAAGTTACAGAAGATAATAGTGCCCATTCAATAATCTTTGCATATAATAAAAGTGTCTCTGTGTCTTTTGTTCATGCTGCACATACGGTAATAGACCCACAGCTACAAAATCTAGACCTCCAAGCGATTTTCTCAAAATTTGAATTAGATTTTTTTTTAATTTTATCTTTTCGATTTTAGCCCACCAGCGGCCGAGCGGTAAAGTCGCTGAACACTGGTAGTTTGGTCCGAGGTTCGAAACCCGCGAACGGGCTGGCTGCATGGTTGTTTTCGTGGTTTTCCCCATGTGTAACGTGTATACGAGCCAGTTTCCCTTAAAAAGTCCTCCACGAAGGCATCCCTCCTCTTAGGCAGATAGCCCTCGAGGCTTTGCCATAATCACACACACACTTTTCGATTTTATTGCATCATTTTGAATAGTTTTATTCTTTTAGAAATGTTGTTTTGGCAACAGTTTTTCATTCCATTGTATACTGGACTGCTGATTGCTAAAAATCAGCACTGTTGCCACTTAAAAAAATGAAGGCGATAATTCTGTGCAGTTTTTAAATTTAATGTTTCGCTTGTATACTGGACGTTTGTTGACAGAAGGCAACAGAAAGTTGGTTAATTTATTTATTAGGATAATTAATATTTGTATTAAGGGATATTGCTTATTTCATTGTAGTTTTGTTATAGTCCAAAGGAGCTTTGTCCCTGAAGGACTATTGCTTTTGTTTTGCGTTTTTGCGTCGAATCACTTTTTAAACTGTTGCCACTAAATGTTAGAGACCTGCATTATATTTGAAGAAATTAAATAAGGAAGAATCTGCGTGAATTAATGTATGTTTCTCGTGTTGTGATAAAACAACGGTACATAGAGTCATCGAATTTTGAATAACGTAATCCTCCAACGAATATGAGCATGTGGAAAGACCAAATTTGAAATTTGAAATTTGTTTTATGATCGATTTCCTATTTTTAAAACTTTTGACGAACTTTTTGATTAACAAACTCAAGGATTTACAAGCGAGCAATGGCAACTCGTTGGGGAGAAAAAAACAAAAAAACTTTTTATCTCCAGCGCGTGACTGTCTCTGTATCGGAAATTCTAAAGATAAGATACACTCATTTAAAATTATTTTGCGATATTGCTGTTGAACTGGATCTTATGGTTTAAGTGCGAGGAACATAATATTTAATAAATAAAGGTAACACACAAAATGCTGAAAAATGCCCCTTTGGAAGTAATTTAAAATGTCAAACCTTTTAGATTTTTTTTTTTTTTTTTTTTAATGTAGTTGTTCTGCAGTAAAACTCGGCACAGATTTTAAATTTAATGTTTGGTGTTACCTTCAGGCATTTTTCTCGCACATTTAAAAGCCAGACGAAAGCAATAAAATAAAGACAGAGCAATTTTGCAAAAGTAAAAACAAAGCAAGGGAACAAAATTAGCTACACAAAGGCCCATGTACTTCATTTTCAGTAACTCAAGAAAGTAGCATTGTTCAGCATATCAAAATTATATCAATCGCAGAGTTTTCTATTTCAAAGCAAACTCTTAAACATAGTGTAACAAAACTTTCAAAGAATTTTAAGTTACTTTCTCAAGAGAAGATAATTTTCTTGGGAAGGGAATATAATTATTTGAGACACTTTCAAAAAACATTTCTGATAACAAACAAAGGCAGGCTAAAATTTAAGTACAGTACATGTCACTTAATGTGATTGCAGTTAATCTTCTCACTTGAATATTGTTTATTGAACAGCCAAAATTCCATCTGTTTATATATGAAAACATGAAAAATATGCTACTTATTGTGATCAACAAGTCATATATGATCAAAATATTAAAGAATGAGTTTTTTTAAAAAGTAAATTTCCCTAATAAAAGATAAAATCATCATATAAGGTTGAAATATAGAGAATGGAAATTTCCAAATGACATGCACAGGATTAGGTAGTCAAATAGCTTGATTTAAGTCGACCATGTACAAAGGAATCAACTTTCTAAATTTTAGGAAGATCTACTGGAGTGCCAAGTTTAATGAAACTGAATTCTAGATGAGCATGATTTTTCATGCAAAAATTTTCTTTGTGTTGCAAATATGACCTATTATAACCCCTTTTCTGCATCATCTCTCCTCCTTGAAATAATTCTAAACTTTTACATGAGATTTAGTTTTTATTTTAAAGGGATATAGCAATTACTTCTACTTCGTTTTCACTGCCACTGTTTGTATTAAGAACTGACTGTTCCAGCCTAATTAAGATGCAAAAACGAAACTCGAAGTTACGTCATCTGGAAAGCAGAGTCGTGCTGACAGCTGATTGGCTGCCGTCATATCTACTTCATGTATAAATATCTCGCATCACTCTGGCTTAGTCCTTCTTGTTCCTGTATTCATTGCTCCTGGTGTGCTGTTCCAGTTCTCATTTGGAGACATTCTTGCGACGAGTGTCGTCCAGCATTAAGTGCTGTATTATTCCGGGCAATGTTGAATCTTCCAAGGTTAATAGGCGTCCAATTTCAAATTGTGGTTCCCGGTGAGCAACTGCAGTGGGCGGCATCCTGTTTCCATGGTTAAGTGGCGATAAATATCACGTTGTGGTTCTCGGTGAGCAGCTACCATGGGCAGCATCCTGTTCCAGGGTTAAGCGGCAATAATTCTCAAGTTGTGGTTTCCAGTGAGCAACTGCTGAAGGCGGCATCATTAACACAAGTGTTTTTCAGGTCTAGCGGCGAAGTTTTTCCAAGCTGTGATTTCCCGTAAGCAACTGCAGTGAGCAGTTTTACAAATTCAAGTACATTCATGGTTTAATTTTTCAGGTGCCTTCTTGGCCAAAAGTATAGACCTATTTAGTCAAGTGAAATTCAAATTAATCAGTTTTGTTCTGTGATATGTTTTTCGCGAGATATTGAATGCCAGTATTCACAGAACAGGTAATATATTTATTGTATCATTAATAGTGTAATATTCTTTAAAGGAAAAACCCTTGGGGTTTATTGAATAGTTAACTAAGTGTAAAACACTTGATCCGCAAAGAATGTCATAAGAGTATTAATAATTGGTTTCTGTTAAGTTGGCACTTATGTAAAAATGCAACAAATTAGAAGATGCTTTCATGATAGTAATCCATGGAAGTTTTTTCAATTGTAATGAATGAGATTGCTTTGTTTATTTCTATTCTAATCTGGGAAAAATTCACACTGAAAGAGGATTAACCTTCCAGCATGCGCGCTCAGCAATTTTACATGAGCACGTGCGCGTCGTATTTTTTATGACATCCGTTATTTTACCATTTTTCACACGAAAAATGACAGAAATGAGTGAATATTGATAATAAATTTGTTAAAAAAAATATTAATCTTATTATTGCAAAATACAAATGATATCAGATTCAACTATAAGTAAATCATTTTAAGTTCTTATGTTAGTGAGATGGAAATGCAATGATGTATTTCATTATAATAAATTTTACATTTATTATTTTATAATTATACTTTAAAATCGAAGCTAATTTTAATATTCATCAAAGACAAGTATAGACAATAAAAAAGGAGAACACCTTGGTGTTTAGCATTACATACTTCTGCAAGGAAATTTACTTCTTACAAGCTACAAAAACGCACTTTAAACTAACTTTTTAAACTTTTACAGGGTTCATACAAATTTCTGCACACGGAAATTAAGTACTTTTGAGGACTTTTAAGGACCATTAATGATAAAAATTAAGGACCTATGAGCAAATGCGAACTGAATAAATTCAATTAATAATATTATCTATGCCTGCATTTCATAATTGTAATACCATACTAAAAATAAAATAGATCCCTAAGTAATATGCATTATTACTAAACATGAATTAAAATAATTATTAATAAGTTTGAGAATAAAATAAACTGAGGAATTTATAGAAAGACCTGCTGATTAGAACAAACCTGAAAGGCCTGATGTACACACGGATGGCAAGTGTTGAAAGTTAGTCAGGCTCTGTTTCACGCAGTTAGTGTCATAGGTTCGTGTAGAGTTCCACTTGGAACCTTAAAGTATATTAAATGGTTATAAACCATTTAATATACTTTAAGGTTCCAATAAGCCATTAAAGCACCAGAGGTGATAAGTTATTTTGTATTAAGTCTCACTAGATGCAAAGAAAAAGTTTTACTTGAATTTTTACATTTTTTATTTTATCTTGTGACCTCAGTGGGCATTAATGAAAGGCAATAAATCGCTTTAATATGTAGAGATAATTTTTAAGGGTAAGCAGTTAGTTATAAATAATTAATTAGGTAGTTTGATAATCTTAGTCATTACGGATTTACATGACCACTATTAAATTTAATTTTTTAACAAAATTTGTTAAAAAAGCCCTATTAAAATCAAAATCTATTAAAATTTCACAGTTTAAAGTACATGTAATTTATGGCATTGATTCTTAAACGATATTAGGATTATTACGATTAAAAGCTACAAAACATTTATGTTTTGTAACAAAAACACTCAACAAAATGTTTATCGTCATTTTAATTTGAAGCCTTCTCAAACATTTTGGCTAGTTTATATCGATTTCCTTCTCTTTAAGCATCTTTTCTAACAATTAGAGATTTGTCTTAATATGCAAACCAATGCCCTCACTAGTTTCTGCATGCGTTATCTCCTCAGTTGTCAACCTCCCCATAATGTACCTATGAGAGTATTTACTTTATCTGGTAAAAGTTAAATAGTCTAAAACCCCCGACAGACGTAAAGCATATTATCGCTATGTCTGAAAGTAACTACAATATCAGACAAAGGTTTAAATAAGAGGCTTATTTAAAAAGAACATAAAGGCATGTTCTGATGCTAACAAAATAAATTACAGCTCACGGTGACGTAATTAAAAAAGAACAGTTAAATTCAAACTAAAAATGTGGAGTAGTAATCAAAGACTATACAATTTAATTAAAATTTAATCTGGCTCAGTAACTCTATCATATAAGGAAATAGAAACGGGAAATTATAGTAAAGGCTGAGATCATAAACAGTTGGGTAATTTACACAATAACTGCACATATCTTTGAAGAATAATTTTCTTTATGTATTCAGTTTCTTTCTTCAACAAGTTTCCTTTTCATTTTAGAATTTTTGGATTTAATTAAGGATTTCTGTTATTCTAAAAAACACTAAATGCATTTAGAATGTATAGAAAAAGCAGCTAATTTTATTTCTTTAGTAATATGAATATTTAGAAGAAATCCGAAATATATATGGTAAAGGCCGATTACAGAGCTGATGTGGCAGAATTCAGTGACGCACCGAACAACAAAATCTAGAAATGGCAAAACTGTTAGAATTTAGAGTAGGCATTTGAAGCAGAATTTAGAAAGGCACTAGGCAGCAGAATTTAGGATCCACAGAGATTGCATCAGGTGGAAAAATGCCTAGTGCCAGCTGTGTGTATGATGCATTAAGACTATTAATGAATCTTTTAATTGTAAGTTTTCAATTTCTTATTAAAAAAAATTTCTTTTCTATAATCTGCCATGTGATAAGATTAGAAAGCATTTTTGATATTTTCATGCTTGAGCTATTGAAAGTAGAGAAAATAAAGGGAAAATAAGCATGTAAAAGATTCTAGTATCAGAAGTAAACATTATTAAATATTATTTTTTCAAATTGTTCTTCCGACTTTCCCCAAAAATAAGAAATTCATTGCAAACTTTCTGTAAAATACATCCATCGTATTTACATTTCCGTGGTGTTGATACCATGGAAACATTTCAATTTTATCACTATTTCTAGAACGTGGGTCTATAAATCTTGCTTCAAATCCTTCTAACCTTCAAGCTGCAATGTCTAAATCCTAAAGAAAAATTACTTTTCGAATTCTATAAGACAAAATGCCATAAATATTTTGAGAAAAAAATCATAGGGGAAAATGTAAAACTAATTCAGAGAAAACTGATGCATATTCTGAGACAATAAACATGGGAAAACACTTACAATAACTGGGAACAAAAAAAAATTTAAACAAAGCATATTTTTGCTTTTGTTGGAAATGTTTTGTAAATTATGCTTATTGCCTTATGTTTAAACCTTGTTTATTTTTCAGATTCAATATTGTATAATAAGTTGCTTAAATGAAAACTTTATGATAGCGAAAAACAAAAATATTTTATTTTAATGTTATTTTTAAAATATAATTCCAATATATTACCATTATTTTAATGAAATTTATCAAAGTTATGATGTTTTAAAAAAACCGTCGAACAATTCTGATTTCGGAACTAAAAATTTTCCATAGAAACTGATCTTAAAATCACCAAAATGTTAACAAGTTGCCAAATTTAGAACCGTTTAATAAAAGAATTCCCATCCCCAAAAGCGAAAAATTGTTTAAAAGCTCTTCATTGGAAAAAATGAATTTCGAAAGGCATGTTTCACTTCTAGCTTAGAAACTCAATTATCCCATCATTTATATTAGAAATAGAAACAAATTATAACCCATGAACCCATTCAAGAGATAACTATATATGTCAGTGAATCGCCAAAATATTCCTCCAAAATGCTAATGCACACTCAAAATGGGAGTTGTGAAAACAGACAGAAAATTCAGATGATTAAAATTAAGGACTTTCTGCTGAGTTTGGTCAAAATTTAGGACTTTTAAGGATCAAAAATCGATTCCAAAACTCTTAAGGACCATACAAACCCTGTTTTAATGTTTTTATTTATTTCTAAAAAATAGAAATAAAAGAAAATAAGGAATAGAAATCCCTATTGTTCTCCCATCCAAAGGTTTCCATGTCTTCCTTTTCTGTCAGATCTCCCTTTATTCTTGAAGAATCCGAGCAATTTCAGCTGGTTGCACATATTTTTTTTGCCATGAAAACTGATATAAATTCATAGCCCAAATGTATTCAAATTAAAATAATACATGGCAATTAATAACAAAAAATTACAAAATATTTGAGAAAAATATATTTTCTGAATTTTGTGTCGTAACTTTTATGAAAAAGCTGCCACGTAGCACAAAAGCCCAGTTAAAAAAAAAAAGTCAAATGTCTTCCTGTTGGCACATTCCATGATGTGGGGGAAGAGTAGAAAGGAGGAATAGAAGTAATCTTCAGAAGTCTCAGCTTCGATATGCAAAAAAATGTGCATTAAAAACTGAATTTTTCATAAATTTTGTGCATCCTGGCAGATTAAAAAAAAAAAAAAAAAAAGTGCACAGCACTGCCAGAGTTAATAAAATTTTAATTTGACTGTTCTTTTAACAGCAAATATAGTTGGTATATTTGTGATACCAAACATGTTTTCATAAATAAGTAGGCTTAAAATTGTACATACCTATATCAAAATATTTAAATTGTTAAATGTGTTTTAATATTAAAAAATTTTAATTTAATAATATTTAACAATAATTTAAAATTAATAAATTTAATATTAAAAAAGGAATAGTTGAACTTATAACTGAAAGATTAGATACTGTCATTGCTGTGTCATGTAAAAATGTATAATTTTCTTTTAAGATAACTACTTTCCATGCAGAAGTAGAAGGTAATAAAATAATGAGAGAAGCTTCCTACAGTTGTGAGTTCAAAACACATATTTCAAATATTATCAAAAATATTAAACAAGCCTTCCCCCCCAAAAAAAATGAAACAGAGGAAACAAAAGGAAGAGAGAAAAATAGCAAATAAGAAGACATCTAGAAAAGTTTTGTCCAAATCTTTTGTTTCTTGAAGCATCTATAAAGAAAAAGGGAAGATTTGTTTTATTTGGTGATGAAGCCAAGTAAGCATTGAAATATATCCTAAATTTTTCTGAATGGACAATTTGTACTTGTGTCTCTTTTAGGAGGAAAACAAAATGCATAAAAATAGTGTGTCAATAAAAATAGTGAATATTATTTCAGATGTTGCTGCAGAAGTAAAAGATTGTGAAATAATGTACACTTCTCTTAAAGGAATTACTGCAAAATCCTCCTTCTTCCTTTCTGATAATTTTTCATAAAATATTTTGTTACATAAAACAATACAGATTTTATCATTCTGCATACATTTTAATAATTATATTAAGAACAAATTTATATGACAAAATGTAACTTTAACTTTTTAAATCTTTAATATTTCAAGTGGCCACTTCAGTTGGGTTCATTATAGGTACAATTAAAATTTGATAAACTCACTACTGAAAAATAAATGGTAAAATTTCAATTTTTTACTTAGTTTGGGAGCTGATGTGATATTACAATAAAATAAGAATTTAAACACTGATAAAAATCTACTTATACTAGAATTATTTCATGATAACTGACTGAATGTCTTTATGCCACCTACTACAGGAATCTTAATTTAGCTAGATCAAAGAAGGTTTATTATGCATGAAACAACAGGAGCACACACTCATGAAAATCACTTTTTGGGGAATCATCATATGAAATTCCATAACTTTTCCAGATTTTGACTAAAATATTTAAATTCCCCAACTTTCTTGGTCAGTTTTCGAATTACTTAACTTTTCCCAGTTTTCCAGGTAGCGTTAGAATCCTGAGATAAATGACACACACTAAAGAGCATTTATCCCACTTACATTTCCATATGAAAATAGTTCTTTTCAAAATGACTGAAAATTTTCTATTTCTGTTTGAGATCTGGAATTTAGTAAATAAAACTTTTTATGCACCTTTTCACTTTGCTAAATGTTTAAAGTTTTGAACTAAAAAAAAAAAAAAAATAATAATAATAAAGATATTTAAAGACACATATTTTTATTTAAGTGATTAAGTATCAAGAACTTTAAATCATTAAATAATTTAATAACTTTCAGAAGTCTGTGACTAGAAACATACATTTTTCATTGACTAGTTTATAATATTAAGAAACAAACAAATGCAGTTGTCATTGTCAAATGCAATTGTTGATAATGCTGTTATTCTAAGTGATGTACTCTAAAACATAAAAACTTCTCTCTTTATTAAATACCATGCTTGGCAACACATAACACAATTTCTGCTCTTTAAATTTTTACTTACATAGAGTTTTCATGTAATTATCAATTATTCTTTTTTTAAACCATAATTAGTATATGCATAGGTTTAAATAATAAGATAATAATTTAAAAGAGATTAGATTCTTTCTCACCCGTTAAAGAAATATTCTTCACCAATCTAATATACAGTTTTTAATAAACATTAAAAAAAAGGAAGAGTGAAAGAAATGCAGCTTTTTTTTTTAAATTTATAAATAGTTAATAACAGGCCTTGCATTCACTAATTAAGTAGTTTTACTGATACTTTCTCATTAGAGCATCCACTACATAAACATTTATGCACAATGTGAGATCTTAACATTTAAGATTGGGAAATAACATTTAAAATGTGGTACCATTTTACAAGAAGACTCAAAAGTATTTCAGTATTCAATGCACAAATATTAAATAATGCTTACCTTCATTTTATGCAAATCGTGAATCTCTTTTATAACCAAAACATTCCTTGCATCCAAACACAAGGGAATATCTCTTAAATGAACACCCTCAATAGGTATCACTTTTATATCAGGCTAATGATAAAAATTATAATTAACATTCATACTAATTAGTTTTTGTTGATTTAAAAACTCAAATATACGAGGCGCATTCGGAAACTAAGTACCGTTTTGAAAAAAAAAAAAAAAAAATAGTAAAACAATTTTTTCGAATCCAATTTTATTTTTACATGAAAATACATGTCTTAAACTATTTTTCAACATAGTTTCCGCCAATGATCAAACACTTGTCATAGCGGGTGACCAGTTTTTGTATACCATCGTCAAAGAAACTTCCCGCCAGTTTCGATAACCACGACTCCACAGCATTTTTCGTGTCATCGTCAGATCCAAAGCGCTTGCCACCAAGCTCGCGCTTCATGTGCAGGAACAAGTGATAGTCGGACGGCGCCAAGTCCGGGCTGTACGGCGGGTGATCGAACTGCTCCCAATGAAACTGTCGAATTAACGATTGAGTGACAGCAGTAGTATGGGGCCGAGCATTGTCATGGAGCAACACAATTCCTTTACTGAGCATTCCTCTTCGTTTGTTTTGAATGGCACGCCTTAGTTTTGTTAAAGTCTCACAATATCGTGCCGCATTAATGGTTTCACCTCTGGGAAGAAATTCAGTAAGCAAAACGCCTTTCCTATCCCAGAAGACAGTGCACATGATTTTTTGTGATGACATTGTCACTTTGAACTTTTGTTTTTTCGGAGAATGAGTGTGTCTCCACTCCATCGATTGTTGTTTCGATTCTGGTGTGAAATGACACACCCAAGTTTCATCACCTGTCACAATTTGGTTTTAAAAAGTTTTCTCCCTCATCACTGTACCGCGTGAGAAATGTCAGGGCACTACCAAGTCGCTTTGTTTTGTGAACATCAGTGAGCATTTTTGGAACCCAGCGGGAACACAGTTTGCGATAATTCAAGCGGTCAGACACAATTTCGAACAAAACAGTACGTGAAATTTGTGAAAATGCCTCTAAAAGAGTTGTCATTGTGAAGCGTCTGTTCTCATGAATTGCTTCATCAACTTTCCTTACCAAATCATCGGTGACAACAGAAGGCCGACTACTCCGAGCCTCGGCGTGGACATTTGTTCGACCTGCATTAAATTTTCTCACCATTCCATCACTTATCGCGTATTCACCGTAAACTTCTGTCACTTGACGATAAATTTCGGCCGGTTTAACATTCCTCGCGTTCAAAAATTTAATCACGGCACGAATCTCACAGTCAGCGGGAGAACTAATTGTCTTAAACATTTTGAATGTGCACAGCAAACTGAAAACACAACATAGAGCAACCAAATGGCGACATTGAAAGTCAGTGCGCATGGAACACCCTCGCCTGCCACTGATAAATGGTATTATTTCCGAACATCTAAATTATTTTAAAGCACTTAGTTACTTTAAAAAATATTTTTTAATTATATCCACATAATAATACTTTGAGAAAAATTATGAACATAAACTATTTCTATAAGCAAACATAACCTTACTTACTGAATTAAAAAATATATTCACTTCCATATCACACAAAATTTTTAAAGGTGCATCTTCCTTTGTATCTATATATACAGTAACATCAAATGCATTACAAAATACATCCATATAATGCTGAAATTCTAATACGATGGTTGATTTAAGTTTGGCCAGGTCAAATTTTTTATAAACATGTGGACCTAAAAAAGAAATTAAATCAGTCATGGCTATATAGTATTTTTATCTCATGTACTTCAAAAATGTATTCACATATATTTGAAAATGTTTATAATTTTCAGGTATTGCTTTTTTGTATTTTAATATTCAATTATTTCTTAAGTTCAAATGATTCTACCTTAAGAGAGAGGAGGGGAATTAAACAGCATTCCCTCCAAGAACTTTTTCAATAAGGTAAAATATTAAATAAAACATATTAAAGTATATATAAATCAAACAGAATTTTTGAATTCTACTAAAGCGTTTTCATTAATTAATAATAATAAAAATATTAGTTAACACTTAAATTAAAATTCAATCTGTAAGCTGCTAGAGAATTTTATTATTATTAGTTTGTATTTTTATGCAGGCTAGAGCACACTGGAAGAAAAGTTAAACAGACATTATATATCCAAGATAGCACACACAATTAGAAATATCTTTAATTACTTAAATTAATGATAAAATATATGATATGCATAACACAAAAGCATATATCCCAGTAATAAAATTCTTATTACATAAAATATCATAAATATAGGATATATCAGTAAACTGTGTGATTTTTAAAACATAATAAATATCAAATCACTGCATTTATTTAATTTTAGCAGATATAAACATATTTTATGTACATTACTTATTTCAGGTGAAACATTAAAGATTTTAGTTTCAAAAGTCTTGTTAGAAATTTGAATTGAAGGTAACAAGATTGTATTTCACATGAGCATGTAAATTGAAGGACCTATTTTTGGGGCACAATTTAATAAAAAGTTCAGTTGAAAAGCATATTAACTGGATAAAAATAATATAACACATACTAGATCAGATAAAACTCAGTACCTAAATAAAAAGCAAAAGCAGTTTAGGACAACAGTCAAAATTACTACCTTAATCTGCTTAGAAATCAAAAGAATTCTGAGAACATTTTATTTATGAATTCAGCTTAGTTTTGATTGACAGCACTTAGATAAAGTAAATATTTTAACATAATATATAGTGTGTCCATCATGGCACCCTTTTGTTTAGTTACAGGAAAGCAATATAGAAATATAAAATGTTTACCAAACAAAAGGAAAACTCTCCAAGTTTCCGTAGTATTATGTGCAAGCACAAGCGCACACAGGTGATGACGCAGCACCACAAAATGCAAAGGAGCAGATCAGCCCATCCATGCCCACACCAGTAGAGATGTGGTCCATACAGAGAAAAGTTCAGTGTGTTCTGTGGCTTGTCAAATTTGAATCCGTGACCAAAGTGCAACGTGAATATCATCGCATGTACAACGAACTGCCACGTAGAAATAACATTAATCGATGGGATAAGCAGTTGAAGGATATTGGCAGTTTGTTGGATAAACCCCATTTTGGCAGACCATCGGTCATGACGAGTCGGTAAACGCTATACAGAAGAGTTACCCAAGAAACTGTTACAAATTGCAGCTGTTGCATGCTATCAAACTGAGGGATAGACCCAAATGATTTGAGTTTGCTACAGATATGCTTCATGAGGTCAACAATGATAACCGATTTCTGCAGAAGATAGGGATGAAGCGGCATTCCATGTTAGTGAACATATTCATCCCATAACATCCGAATATGGGCTGCTGAAAATGCTCATGCCTACATAGAGTATGAATGTAACAACCCTAAAGTAAACGTGTGGTGTGGCCTGATGCATGATAAGGACCATTTTTCTTTGCAGAGTAGAATGTGACAGCATGGAACATCAAACTGAACTGAATAGGTATGAAACTTTAAGAGGTTTTCTTTTGTTTGGTGAAGATTTCATATATCTATCTTGTTTTGTTGCTTTCTTGTGATGGATCAAAAGTGCACCATGACCTCAAGGATGCACTATATATCAAAATATTGGTAACTCACTGTGTTTTTACCTTGCTCATTTGCTACAGCTTTATATTAAAATTATACGTAGGTCAGTGAGAAAGTTAGTTACAGCCCTTTGTAAAAACTTCCAGGCTATTTTGATGAAACTCTCTGGCAGCACTTCAGACATTTAGCTGTATTGTGTGATGTAGCGGCTTTTACGTGGCTTAGCGGCTTTTTACAATTTTAGTTAGTCTGATAATCAGTCTTAAGCATGTCTGGACAGCTAACTGCAAGTGGCTTCCAAATTGGAAATGCGTGCAGTGATTTGCTTTTTGTAGGCGAAAACGTGTAACGGCTGTGAAATTTATTGGCAGTTGTAAGAAGTTGTGAAGTTGTGAAAATGCAATGTAACGTCAAGCTATTGTAAAGTGGTGCGACATGTTTAGAACAGACGTATAGATATTGATAACCCTGAGCGCGATGGAAGACCATCAACTACCACAAATTCTGAAATGTCTGCTCGCGTGAATGAATACATTCTTGCAAACATACGCATAACGATAGCCAGAATCTCTAATAAACTGGATATTTCTCATGGAAGTGTGCATAAAATTACTGCCGATCAGCTTCAATTTCATACAGTTTGTGCTCGATGGATGCCTTATCTACTGATGGAGGAACATAAAGGGAAGCGTTTTGAAATTGCATTGAAATTTCTGCAATGTTACCAAAAGGAAGAAGATCAGTTTTTGGACAAAACTGTGACCGGAGATGAGTCTTGGATTCATCACTTCTCACCTGAAATGAAACACAGCTCCCCCAAGTGGAAACATTCCACTTCCCAGACATACACAAAAAAAAAAGTATTGAACTGTTCCATCTGTGAGAAACGTGATGCTGAAGCTGTTTTCAGCAGAGAAGGTTTGTTGCATACAGAGTTCATGCCGAAGAATGCCACAATTAATGCATCTTCTTATTGTGAAACACTAAAATGATTGCGACAATCACTTAAAAATCGACGGCCAGGTAAACTGTCGAAAAGCATTGTACTCCAGCATGACAATGCAAGACAGCATGCAGCAAAACAAACGTGCGACCTTCTAAAAAAGTTTAGGTGGGAAGTCTTGCAACATGATTTGTTTTTGGTCCAATAGAAGCAGAACTTTCAAGTGATGATATCACTGGGATAACATGGTGAAAACGGTAACCCAAGAATGGTTATCGGGCATTGGACGGGATTTCTTTGCAGAAGGCATCGACAAACTTGTACTACACCTCGACAAATGCTTAAAAAACGGAGGTAATTACGTTGAAAAGTAGATTTTGAATGGAACTTTAAGATAAAGTTATTGTAAAATTTCTCTCTTGTTTTGTTTTCTAAAACAGTGCAATTAACTTTTTGACTGACCCTTGTAGTATACAGTGATAAAAATAAACTGAAGTGCCGAAATATTAGATTCACCAACTAATCACAAGCATCTTCTATATGAAACTAAAGAGCAAGAATGGTCGCTATTTGATTATGATATGGCATGTTACAAGCTCTACAGAAATATACAAATCCTCACACATTCTATAACTACCCAAAATACAACATTTTCATTGGATTTTACAACAAATTAATTAGTACATCACAATGGCTTTCATAACAGTCCAAAGTTTAAATCTAGAGAATGCAAGGATCAGTGGAGGTTAAGAGAATGTTCAGTTCTGAGTCTTCTAAACATGATGGGAGGTTTTATCATGTACCCTAATATAATCATCACTGCCAAAGAGTATGCTATTCATGAAAAATTACAAAATGCTAAAGTGTAATGCATCCCTTGCTCCATAAAACACCATTAGCTAATTCAAAGAAGGGCTCTATTTATCACCTGCTTATAGTCAAATGGTGATAAATAATGAATATAATCCACATCTTTCAAACCTTCGATGAAAAATAGTTCCTATATGTACTTAGTTCACGTCTATCTAATCTATATGGAAGAATAGTTGCCAAATGCATTGAGCTTATAATCCTTATTTGTTATATTGATTAAATCTGTAAAAGTACTGAGCAAATTAAAAATCATTACATGTATCTGCTTATTACAAGTCTCATGTACCAATAAATCAAACTTTATTCTATGGGGAAAAGAATTAAAGTATAACAAAATGTACATACTAGTAAACTAACTTCAATTAAAAGATAAATAAAAGAAAGAGATTTTGTGGATAAAAGTAATACTGTATTAGATAAATAATGAAATAAAAAATATCTGATGAAACAATTATATAGTTAAAGAATGCATAAATAAAGAAATTCAACATAAAAATTTCCCCTTTTTTTTAATACTAGGCATGTTAGGTTCTTTCTTATTTCTTTTATTACTGGTTATAGGTTCTTGGTTTTTTGATGTCCGGATGCTGGACATACTGAAAGAGGTTTGTATAGAAACTTTATTCGAAAATTCTCTCCACTCAAAAACTAGAGACAAGAGCTATTCCAGTTTCTTATGACAAGCCCCAACCTCGGAAGAGGAAAACCACACGGGAGAAGAGAAGCAAAAAAGTTCAAGATAAGAGGAGAGATCACTGGGGGTGCCAGAATCGTGACACTTATCTCACCAATATTATGATTCCCTGAAGAGGTAGGGACCTCAGAATTGAAAGACTTGTACTCACAAAAAAGAGGATTTGATGTAGATAAGATGAAAAAATACATTGATTAGAATATATTTAGATCAATTCTTGATTTCAAAATTTCAGACACTTTTCCTTAACACCACATACAGAAAATAAAAATTTTCTCCTACAATAATTACAACAATAACAATAATAATAATGCAGGGTAAATAATGAAATAAAATACCATAAAAATGTTAAGGGAAAATTTCATGCAAAGAAATCAGAAAAAATATATCAAGTATTTCAAAGAAAGTATAAAACATATAAATAAAAATTAAATGATGTATATAAATAAAAATTATCTTCCCTTACATTTTATATCTGCCCATGATAAAATGCCGTTCACAGCAGTAGGCTTTCGTAGACGGTCACAAAGTTTTCTAGGAGCTGAAAGACTTGTACATATGACAGGAGACTGGATATTTCTTAGTTGTGGGTCTCCAGCAAAATCTTAAAAATTTATGTATGTTAACAACATAATTTTTTTACACTATACAGCATTCAATTGCAATATAGTATACTTTATTTTAAAAACGTAATTTATTTTCATGCTCCTACATACCCTAAAGGATGTTATTCAAATATTTTAGCTAAAAGGAAAGAAGACTCTCATAAAATAAAAACAATAAACAACTTCAGACTATACCAGCAAAAGGCAAATAACCTTGCTTTTTTATTATAAATATTAATTGTCGGTTCTAAAATATAAGCAGTCATGAAAATAATTTTAAAGACACACATTGCTCTACTGATGGTAGGTGCATGTTTATATTGACAGCTCAAAAGTTAAACAGCAAGATAAATCAGGACAAAGTTTTCATTACTATTTACCATTACATTTCATTCAAGATTATTATTGTCATAAATTGCGGCAAATTAAATCAACTTGCAGCAATACAGCAGCTCATTCCCTTGTGCTGTGATCCTCTTGAATTCCACAACAGCTCTGCATGCTTGCTACTTGCCAGAATTCAGTAATACAGACTGTCCATCACTAAGGTGTGACACCTCACCCACTAAAAATATTAAAGATAATTATACATCCAACCTAAATACAACTTCAGTGACAAATTAAAAGTCTTGAAGCAAAGCCACTGCTCAACAACCTGGCAGCTTATTGGTAAAGGCTTTTGCTGCTTTCAAGATGGTCAGTCTCTAGCAATCTTACTTGCATACCTTCTCTACACCACAATAACCGATATCAACCATCCTTTATCATGTCATTCCTAGCCCAATAGAATATTTTGTAATCACTTTTGGGAAGGAAGAAATATGTTGGTTCTTTTTCACTTTGAAACTTCAGCACCTGTACTTTGTTAGAATTTTTCCACGCATAAGGAAACTGTTCAGTGCAGTTGCTGCACTTCTTCAGTAATACAATAAGTTGGATCGGGCCTCAAATTTTTTTTAGAAGTACATTTCAGGTTACTACCTATCAAATTTGACTTTCAAAACATTAAAGTTTTTCTTAAGACAATCTACCCATTTGAGTTTTGGTCTGTCTCATATAAGGTTGTCAAATGGTTTGGTCAGAAATAACTTCTTAATATTTCCATCCTCTTTCATTTACATTATATGGCTAGCCCATTTCACTCTGAATTTTTATGAACTTAACTACACGAGATCCCACCAAAAGCCAACGAACTGACCTGGGTTCGAGCCAGGGAATGGGGCTGGCTGCATGATTTGTTTTCATGATCTTCCACAAATATAACATAAACATGAGGCAAGATAGCCCTTGTGTGCATTGCCAGATTCAAATAACCTAATATATGTGGTTCACCATAAGTTCATCAAAGCTTGGAATTTGATTATTTTTGCCACATATCATATATTTGCCACATATCATATTTGCTGCATATCATATATATATACAGTGGCACTTCATGAAATTTTTCTGTAAAATAGTCCAACGGTTCTTCATCTCCTTAAGTCAATATCCATGCATAAGATGCATGGATATTGCATAACATACAAGCACAGTTTTGAGCAGAGTTTACAAAACAAACAAAAAAAAAAAGTTTTACTTTGAATTAAGTTTCACTTTACATATTTCCACAAAAGACAAAAGCATCAATAAATTGCCATGATTCTTTTATATTTCTGATGCAAAATTTCCGAATTTGTAAGAAGCTGTTTCAGACTGATAAAGAGCTTTATTGTTTTAGAGTATAACACTTAGTTTATTCTCATTAATTCAGATGGTCATCTTGCCTGCCTTTCTTTCCAAATGTCAAAAAAGCTTGTTTTAGATCTGTAGGTACCTATTACATTGAGCCATTTACAAATAAAAAAATTGCACTGGAAATAAAAAATAGCATACTTGTGATTAATATATTATAACTTACATCAATAAAATTAAAATAAATGCTGCTCCTTTGCTCAATTTACAAAAATTTTACGTTTCACTCCTATATTTAAAGAAGATGAAAATATTTATTCACATTAACCCCCCCCTTTTTTTTAAAGAATCGATTCTTTTGTATACTTTTCACATACAAAGAAACTAAAATTAGAATACTTAATTGTCCTTTCTAAATTAATTTTGTTTCTTGTTTTTTTCTTCCTGTCTTGTTTTCATCAGCTACTCTGGTAGAGATGCATATGTGTGTTATCACAAAATGTATTGTAAATATAAATGACATAATTTAAAATTTAAAAAAATAACATATACTTCCACATATTTTATAAGTCACTAAATTTTAATCAATGCAGCTATCATTTCTTAAATACATTTTTCACATCAAATGTTATTTAAAAAATCATCAATACTTTTCAATATTAGTTATTTTCTTTTTTCATCGCAAAAATTTCAAAAAACTACATAAATGCTGCAAATTAAAAAAAGCTTTACCTGTTTGAACCTTCATGAGAATGTCCTGAATTTTTTTGTTTTGTGCTATGTACTTTTTCAGATGTTTTGCAAAGAAACCATTTGGTTCTGAATCACTTTCATGGGATGCACACAGTTTCGAACTGGGGGGAAAAAAAAAAAAAAAAGAAGTTCAGCTATAAAACTTATTTTAAACTCATAATGTAACAAAAGATCTAAAGTACTGTGCAGTAAGGTATCATATTGGTTGATGAAATAAACAGAAAATAACAGTGTGACATTATAGGGTCATTAGGTTTTTGGAAGCAGGAGATGTGAAAATGTGCATAGCCCTCGCCTACACTCAAACAAATATCACTACCAAGTAACGTAATTAAAATAAAATTAGCGATGGCAAAACTTTTAGAATTTAGGAGCAGCACCGAGCAATAGAATTTTGAGGTGGCAAACTTTTTAGAATTTAGGATTTCCAGAGGTTGCATAGGGTGGGAAATGTGTAGCGTCAAACTTGCCCTACCCGAGTGGATGACTCGAGGGCTGGAAGTATGACCCTCGCCAATATCAAAGTATTGTTATTGGTTACTATGTGACTCCTTAGCAAGCAGGTGTTTCAAAGTGACATACAGGAATCTCGAGAGAAAAATCATATTCCTCCCATATTATGCTGGAATGATTGGAAACTTATTTGATTCATATTTTTTCAGTGGTTTTGTTATACACATTTGTATATCAAAATATTCAATGACTATAAATTTAAAAAGTTTAGCTATACATATATAGGACATGTATGTATGGAGAATACAGCTAAAGCATTTTGTAACACAAATAGTCTGCAAACAGTTTGCCCTTTACTTCTATACAGAAATTTACAATCTACTTTTTCTTGGGAAGGGGGAGTTCACCGATATCTTTACAAAATATTCTCTTTTATTTGGAAATAATAAAACAGATTTTATATTATTTGAAATTTCTTAGCTCTGCTTTCTGGAATTTAAATTTAGCAGTTTTTTCTGTCTATTTTTTTTATCTTTTGTAAATGACACATGACTTAATAATAAGAACAATGCTGGTTATAGCTACTACTATATCTATATTATCTATATATATATTACAAAATTATATGAATACTTAATGTTTAACTCTTAAGTAAGCTTACAAACTGATTAAAAAGAGCCTTTATAAAAACCATTGTTGTATAGTCATCAAATTATTTTCAAACTTACGTAGAATACCCATAAATGGTATTATTCTTCATGTAGGCTTCAAATATTTTACCAGACTGGCACTCCTTTTGGCATGTTTCTCTGAAAAGAAATAATGAAAGATTGCAAAAGATGTGTTGAATTGTTTAATTGAAGCACAATACACCTTATAAAACTTTATAATAAAAATTTAATACATTATTTTATTGAAATAAAAGAGAACATAGATGCATTTTAAATACTAAATATATTACCATTTTGTTATAAATTATATCAAAATAGCTCATTTAAAAAAACAGGCATACAATTTAAATACTTTTGTAATTTCAACAAATAAAATGACATAAATTTTTAGTTTTTAAAGACATATAATTTAAAGAACTATATAATTTTAAAAATCCATATATACTCTGAAGCATTTAAACAAGCAAACATCTTCGGGACATATTAATAAAAAAGAATATTAAATTCTGAGGACATCATCCAGAACAAGGATATTGAACGCTGTTTCTGAACTAGAATACATTGAAGAAAAACAGAAGTTATTTATTGAAAAAGCATTTGAGAGCTACCTGCTTAAGAAAGAACAAAACTGGTAAATACAATTGTTAGATGCAGGAAAACGATGAAAACCCCATGCAACTAACCATTTAAGATACCCAGAACAGATCTTAAAACTAGGTTGTAGATGAAAACGATGAAACTAAAACTATTAAGGAATAAAATCTTATACAACAGATTACAAGAAATGTTTACTTTAATTTTAATTTGTAAACAAATGGCATACTTTGTTTTCAGTCTGATGCAAATTACAGCTAATAAATAAATATCTTATTGTAGCTGTGAGAAAAGTGAAGTACTATTTACTTAATTAAAAAATCTTTGGTAAATTCAATCATCCATATCAGTTCATACACTGTTGGTCAGAAGTACTGTCACATTCAAAAATCAGATTTTATTGCACAGTCTTTTAAAAAGATTACATTAATAAAATGCACTCAAAAAATTCTAAAAATAGTATAATTATTAAGTTAAAAAGAATTGAATAAAATAAAAATTATATTAATTACACAGCATTAATTATTCTGATGTACAAGTGGAGTTTTATTTCTGATAACAATATTTGCTCATAATATTGCAAAATTAAATAACCCAAAGAGAGGGGGAATTGCACACAGAAATGCATTACAGCATACTTTTATGCACTGAAATTATGCTTAATCACGTCACCATTTACAAGACAGATTCTTCGATTTGAATGGTGTCATCAGTAGCTTTGAATACAATACAACAAATGTGTGCATGTATTACACAATTATTTGCTACTTACGTTGTCCATTGGCCTTTTGATATTATTTGAATTATTAAAATTGTTTAAAGCTACAGATAATGCTTTTCAAATTCAGAAGTCTGATTCAGGATTAGTGTTGAAATGGGCATTTTACAGGCATAAAATCAACTAATTTTTTGAACAAATTAACATCTATTTTATGTAGTTATACTTTCATTTCACAATGATTTTGCTATGTTGACTTCTTGGTCTTTACCGAAAAAGAAAATACGAATTTGTGCCTATTAAGAATGTCCTGATAATCAAGTTTCCTATTTCTAGTATCTTATAATTAGAACATAGGGTATTAAAATAACAGCCAAGACTAAAAATTCTTGATAAAAAATAAAATAAAAGCTTATTTTTGCCCTACATCATATATATACTTGTACATAGAGCAATATGATAATTAATATTTAAACCTTAATAAACCTTAATCAGAGCTAAGTTAGCTCTGATTACTAAAAATGATTCGCCAGTGAGGGAAATATTCTACCGTTAAATCTTACTTTATGTACAATATAAACATTTAATGTATAATTTTTAGAAGTTCAATAAGAAATTTAATGTAAATATGTACAAAGATCTTGTTTCCTCCCTTTCAATTATTATTTATACTATCTTTCTACTATTTTGTAAATTTAATAACTAGCAAATCTTCTAGCTGTTACTACAAAAATGTGGTTTTTAGATTCAAAGGCATATTATACCCCAATTACGTGGAAGAATTCAGTAAATTTTCGTTTAGAAGGTCGTCCTAAGATTTCAGTAAGTTTGCATTTTCTTCTTCTTTTTAAAATTTTTGTTTGTAAGATTAATAGATTTACAGTTTTTAGCCATTAAGGCTCAGATTTGATTTTATTATTTAAAGAAATGTCTCTGAAAAGTTTTTTGTTTTCTTGGTATTAAAAGTTTAGTTCAGCATAATCAGGAAACACCCAATTTTTGAGTGATGTTTTAATGGCAATTTGGTTTAAAGTATACTTGTTTTGCTTTTTATCGTATTTGCTTTTGAATTTTTTATTTACATATAATGGTTTTAGACAAATTTGGTTCTTTTGGAATGATCATTTTACATAATGTAAAGTTTTATCGTCGTTTTTTGGGGGCAGAATGTTGTGTTTTTTTCTTTTTTTCCAAGTGTTCTGAAGGTGTGTAGGGAAAATTCTGGTACATTTGAGATCCAATTTCCTAGTTTTATATGAATTTTGATGTCTTAAATGAAAGTTTAATTGACTCATTTTTTCGGTTTTTGATCTCAAATGAACCAGGAGAATGAAACATGTTTTTGAAACATATTAATCAACTTTTAAGAAGCTTTAACTCATTTTACCCAATGAGTTCTGACTTGGAGTTTCAGTAAAAGATGATTAATTTTTATATTTTTATCATCTTGCATGTTTTTTTCCTTTTGCATTTTTTATTTTTCAAGTTTGTACTACTATGAATTCTTATTTTAATTTTGATTTGTTTAGCTTCTGAGTTAAACCTCTTATACATGGTTGCAATTATTAATATTCTTGAGGAATTGCCTTGCTTTGACTCCATTTCACTTTTAACTTTTGATGCTTTAAGCTTATACTATATACGGCTAACAGTGTTAGAATTTGGTGAAATATTCATAATTAGGCCTAACTTAAGAAGTGCCATTCTGCAATGGCTATCAGTTCCCCCCCCCTTATACTGATTACTATTCATGAACACTTAAATAAATGGTAAACTGTTTGATTTAAAAATAAACTGTACACTTTTTTATTATAGATACTTCTATATCATTAATAACTCACTGTGCTTAAAGAGTGTATGAAATAAATGGATAAATCCTCTGAAGTCTTCTGATAAAATGTCAGTAGGATATTAGATGCTAAGTTAGCTCTGATTACTAAAAATGATTCACCAGTGAGGGAAATATTCTACCGTTAAATCTTACTTTATGTACAATATAAACATTTAATGTATAATTTTTAGAAGTTCAATTTAAAAGCTGTTCTTATATTAAAAAAAAATACTTTAACATTTTTCTTTTGTGCAGGTAGGTGTATTTTGGAAAAATATACCTTTTATATTTTTTCTAACATGAGACTACAAATTGCTAATATTTAAGATCTGGGCTTCAGAGGAAAAACGATTTTCATATAGGCTAACATTAGATATTATTATACCTCCACCTACAGTCTGCTACTTTAAAACAGGCATTTCAGAGCCATTCTACTCCATCTGATTTACCTTGTTACCATGATAACAACAGCTAAGCAGATGATTAAGGTCCCTTGTTTTTCTCGCATTTCATTTTCATATTGCAAGTTTCACTTCGTGAAAAGCACATGAATAAAAGGCTCACTTAAACTATAGTCTCAAATGAGATGGAGAAATTAAATGCTGTGCTATGATGATGACACATGTTATAATTGCAAATGACAGGTGGGAAAGTGAAAAGACCTTAAAGTTTCTATTTAAAAGTAACAGATTATAAACATTTATATGTGCAAAATGCTAGTTACTTACTTAAACTGAAATGGCAATTTTCTGCAAGCATCTATCAACAAGATATTTACAGCAGGTTTAGTATCTTGCATATACTTTAGTATATACTCTGAGCAAATTGATTCATCTAATAAAGACTCAAAACTACAATCAGTTGGCTGAAGATAAGTCTGTCCACATGATTCAAATCCATGTCCAGCATAGTAAAACAAAACTAAAAATTTAAAAAGATAAAATGGTATGGTATGGTATAATCAGAATTTTTTTTAAGTAGTTTTGATGAGTTCCAAATAAAATTAACTTATTAGTTGCTTTACATAGAAATAAAAGCCTTTAAAATTTTGATTCAAATTATTGCAACTGCATACAACTGCATTAGGGTTAAAAAACAATGTATTTTAATAAAATATTTTGTTATTTATGGGACAAAATTTAGCTTTCCAATTGACAATTCCTCTACTTTCTTGTATATTTTTCTTCCTTCATGTATTCCCTTCCAGTTTTTTTAGCATCTGGTTTAGAAACTTCTCATTTAAGGTATAAATATACAAGGTATAGATGAAGAGCAAACTGCGATGCATAAATAAAAAGGAATGTACTGAAAGTAACTGTAATTGAACTGCTTAATTATATAATTTAAAAACACCAGTACATTTATTCATAAGTAATCAGCAACTTCTTCCTTTAACACTCTGCCCTTCAGAAATGTTATGCATTATATAATTTCTTTCTCTCAATTTTCAAGAAATAAAATTAGTAAAACTGGAAGTGGGCACATGTGGGTAAATTTGAAAATATATTTAAGCAAAAAGATATGTGACACATTTTCGCATAAATGTTTAAAAGACCATCATGTAATTATTAACTGTCTGAATTTTGATATAATATTAATAAATTAGAAAAATTAACAGAAAAATATTTTTAAAAACAAGCATTAACAAAAAACCAATTTTAATAGCACTGCACTTGAATATGTAAATTCTAAATGCAAGTAATAATCACTGAATACTTATACGAAATTATTTGGTTGCATAATTTCCAATACAAAAATAACAAAAAAAAAAATATAGCATTGCAAAAATTAACAAAATATGACACACACAGACTTAAAAAGTATAAATATGATTTAAAAAATCATGGCTGATGAAACTGCTCAGCAGAATATTACTATAACTTTCAATATGTGAGTGTCACATATTTAATTTCAATTTGAACAGCATTATTATGAAGTAAATCTGCAAATATATTGGTACTTGACAAAAAAAAAAAAAAAAAAAAAAACTTAATATCTTTGCCAAACTTGTAAACTACTCAATACTGTTGAATTTTTATGAGCAAATAACTTCCTATTGTGAACTTTTTATTATGCAACATTTAAAATGTGTGTGCTCTGTCATGTGTTTTGACCTATGTAAGTGGTAAGCAATATTAGCATGCTTTTTCTAAATCTTATATAGGCAACTTGTTCAACAGTATAAAGAATTTGTGGAATTTTACAGCAGATATTTGTTTTCTTGTAATTTCTTGTATAGTTATGGATTTTTGAGACTCGCTTAATAATACTTATTTGGATCTATTTTCAAGCTCTTCTTTATTATCCATTCAAAAAATTTAAGCCATTTATAACTTTTGCATGACAGCATACTGCCAAACATTTAAAAATATGACAACTCCCTTCATATGAAGTTGTATATCAAGAAAGATAGCATTTATGAGAGTGTGACATCCACAAATGTAGATAAACCATGACAATAGAAAATTGAGGATGTTATAACTGTATAACATATTATATACAACAGCCATATGATTAATATACCTCTGACACAAGGTGCTAATATCAAGTTTTGAACACAGTGGCATAGCATGGGGGAAGGACAAAATTTCCCAATAATAATAATAATATCTTGTTATCTGAAGAAAAAACTGAACCATTTCTTTCCAGATTTTTGTCACACCAGAATTCACTGACTAAAATCAGCATGGAACTTTTTTTTGTATGATGGAACTGAGGAATTTCCTTTTTTAAAGCGAGTGTAGACATCTCACTTGATCTAACAACTTGCAACACTGTCTGTACTAACCAATTGCCTTGTAGTAACAACCTGTGTTTTATTCTGTGCTTGCATTATTCATGACTAATATTCAGTAAGAATTAATTCTTTCATACAAAGAATAGGCCACCCAGATGGTATAGTGGTTAGAGAAGCCTGACTGTGATACCAAAGGACCCAAGTTCAAATCCCAGAGAAGGCATGGATGTAAAATTGTCTGTCCCTTCATAGGAGGTAATAGTGGCCGCCTATTAGGTGCTTTCACAATAAAATGGCCACCACTTCTGGCCTCAGTAATGGCCAATGCCGTTATAGGCAAGTGCCTGCCATTGGAAAATATATATATATAGAGTTCAATATTATCTAATAACACCTGCAACATCAGTTGTTCAATTCACATTGACTCAATTAATATGCTACAATTTAAGATTTTCTTTAAGTGCATGCTGTGATTTGTGATTGTTAAATTATTGAACTTTAAATAAAATTATATGTAACTGTAAATCGATGGTCTATATGTTTGACTCTTGGTATACATACAATAGTGCGAGTCTTACAATATATATATATTTTTTTTTGTTTTTTTGTTTTGTTTTGTTTTGTTTACCTGCTAGTTAGACGTATTTACTTTATATTACATGGTAAATTTTATAAGTTATAACCAAAATCAATGTACCTACACTAATTAGAATAGGATAAAATGATAATTCAATGCATAGTATATCTGAATGGTGAATATTATTCATAATTACCATTAACACCCATATTTTAATAAAAATAAAAAAATTAATTTTTTAACGAAAATAATGGGTCAGTTATGTAACTATGCAATTTAAAACCATAAATTTGTTACTAGTTTACTATACTAATTACATAATTTACATGTGTGTAAGTTTGGAAACCCTAGTTTGTAATGTAAATACAGGACAGGGAAAAGTGGACAGAACACCAGAATTTTGTATATGCTTACACAGGTATTGCTCCATCGCACTACTGTACAAATGTAAATACAATCATTCATGGACAATCAAAATTAATTATTCATTTGCTTGCAGCCATAGAGGGCTGAAGGGGTGATGAATTTGGCCTATTCCCCGGGTGGCTGAAACTTGCACTACACCAATTTGCACAATTACAGATGATGAATGAAACTGTAGCAGATCCAAATAATTATCTAACATAAAATATGTACATTTGAGACAGAGGCAGAAAAACAAAAATATTAGTGATTAAGTAATTGTCCTGATTGAGGACCCAAAAAATACTGTTGGAGTGTCCCAAAAAAGTCAAACTGTGTCATTTGCTGAAGGAGGAAAAATGGTATCAGTTAGCATATTAAATATTGACATTTTCTGTATAGTTCCATTTCCAAGAATAAGTTACTTGACAAAAATAAGTTCACCATATATTTTTGAAAAATATGAAATGAGCTTACCATACGAATTTGGTTTTAACATTTCACAGAATGTATGGAAAGCATTCTTCATTTCAGTGTAATTCAAATTCCTGAATGCAAAAATTTTAAAGTCCATTGAGGAAAGCAGTTTAGCTAGGTCGGCAACATCAGGAGCAGGTTTCTTCAACTCTTCTAAGTTATCATAAGTATCATTTGCAATCATAAAGGCAACTTTTTCTTCAGCTAAAAGATTACAAGAATAATGATCAAATGAAATCATATGCAGCATGAAAGTCACACACATTAAAAAAAAAAAAAAAAGGAAAGGAATATTCTAACATTTTTATCATCCGGTAATGGCAAAAGTTCAGCAATGTTATCACTGATAGCTGCAAATTATGTTGCTTTACTTCTTCCCCCCCCCAAAAAAAAAGCATGAAAGAAGCTTATCATTAGCTTGTTACTAAAAATGGAGTCTATCTTACTATAATATTGAATAGCTGTGAATGTTTTTCCTAAAGTAAATATCATAAAACTAATGTGCACTAAAACTTGATAATTTTTTAAACTGCAGCTCTAATATAACAATGCCATATAAAAAACAGACACTTGAATCATTATATGCAAGTGTTTTTAGATGATAAAATTTTAAGGTTACAATAATAATTTTATTAAAATTTTTCTTGTTATATAATAAAATATATCTGGTAGAATTCAGATTTTACAGTTGCACCAGACGCTGCTTTTGGGGGGGGGAGGCGGTTAATGCTTTTGATAAATTTACTGTTTATTAGTCTACTCTTGGTGTCATTCCTGTTGACTACACCATTCCTGTTTATTATTATTATTCATTCCTGTTAATTATTATTATTACATTCTCTTAAACAATGAAAAATTATAACTATATGTGCTTATGTACATGTCTGTTCTTGTGTTTTGATTTAAAAATATGTTGATCATAGTATATCCTCCAGTCGTATAGCTTTTCAGATTCATCCACAAAGCAAGGTTGATATCTTGAAGTTAGTTGAGAAATTATTTTGTTTCCGAAGAATCAAAGTTGATGTTGAAATCTCTGGTCAATATAGTTTTACATTTCTACTCATATTCTAGCGAGGACTTTCTTGTGTATGTAAATTACAGCTATTTGAGCACAGCTGCATGTTGTTTTAAATAATTTCATATGTTTATTGATAAACTTGTCTTTCCATATCAATCGTGCGGATTTGCTCTTCCTTCAGAACTGTTGATTCATTCTGTATATTATTTAATTATATAATTAATTATACATTAATATAATTAATTAATATTATACAATTAATTATGAATTATTATATATTTAATTATATAATTAAATACATAATAATATATTTATATAGAGGAAGAGAATATATATATTATAACTAGGGATTTGAAAAGTGATACACTGCAAAAGTGATGATCGAAAGTAATAGCCTCTTTGGTGATAAAATAAATGCAATCAAGATGGTAAAAAATTAATATGACTACTGAAAAGCTGCCATAGCTTTTGATTGGTCAAAAGCATACAGCACCAAGAAAATGATAGAGTTTTCAAGTGATAGTAAAAGCAAGTAAAAAGCCTGGTTAAAGTTAAAACTTAAGTGAAAATAAAAACAAAAATTGAAAATGAAAAATTATTTAGGAAAGTTATGTCTAGCAATGATTTTTTGGCATGATCATTGAAAAACAATAGTTACTTTTTTTTTTGGTTATTTGTCCAATATCTGTATGATTAATTTATAAAAGAAAATATCTGTGCATTCTCATCTTAATGAAAGTTTTGCACAAAAGTTTGGGAAAAAATATCAGAATATATCAATCTTCATTATTCATATTTCAGATTATTATGTAAATGAAAAATATTAAACATGTTTTAAAATATTAACAAATAGTAATTTCTTGAAATGCATCAAATATTTCTAAATAGAGAAGCATAAAATTACAGCAATACAAAACAGATAAGGAGTAGAAAATATTTCAATATAAGTGTGATTTTATTTGAATGTCTCAGGATTTTGTGATTTCTTTTATAAAAGAAATTAATGTGATTAATTTATAAAAGAAAATATCTGTGCATTCTCATCTTAATGAAAGTTTTGCACAAAAGTTTGGGAAAAAATATCAGAATATATCAATCTTCATTATTCATATTTCAGATTATTATGTAAATGAAAAATATTAAACATGTTTTAAAATATTAGCAAATAGTAATTTCTTGAAATGCATCAAATATTTCTAAATAGAGAAGCATAAAATTACAGCAATACAAAACAGATAAGGAGTAGAAAATATTTCAATATAAGTGTGATTTTATTTGAATGTCTCAGGATTTTGTGATTTCTTTTATACTTTTTATAAGTGTATGTTTTCATCTCTTAATATACATTGTTTCCCAGAAATTTATATTTAAGCTCGTAACCACCTAGGTTTTTATAATATTCAAGTTAAGAAACAAACAAATATATTTAAGAAGCATCTTTACAGGTTCAAGAATTCTATCAATTTTACATGCTTTATGATATTATTCACAATAAGTAATTAAAGATTCTGGTTCAGAAAGTTTTTATATTACATGTGATTTCTTGGTAGAAAGAATTAAAATGATTCCTAAGGCTTGCTTTGTACTGGCATGTTGATAATAATAAACAATAAATGCACCTGCAATTATTACTTATTCTGTTTAAAAATCTGTTCTCAAATCAAATATAATTCTGGGAAATTCTGGAAATCATATATCAAATTTCTGGAAATCAAATATAATTCTGGTTTCTTGATACAAGATTTTTATTCTGAACTTTCAGAAAAAACTGAGAAAATTAACTACAGCTCTTTATAGTATATCTTCAGTTAGAGAAAAACTTTATTTATGAATTTTGATATTTATGAAGTAATTTTTAGCCGTTTATTCTCTTTACTAAAGCAATAATACACATAATTTTTATATACTTCTGCATATTTTTCAGATAACTAAAGATGCTTGAAAGCTATATAGTTTCTTATACCTGCAACTTCTAAACATCTTCATTTAACTGAGAAATATTTTAAATTGCTTGGAAATTAACTATATGATTAATAACATAATGATAACTTTCATTAGGTACAGAAATGCTCAGAAAACAAGGGGGGAGGGGGACTGCCAACTTACCAAAATATGGAGTCGTTTCATCTGCATCTTGAAGTTCTACAACAACAGTTTCCGAAAATGTTTCATGATATTCATTAAAAATTTTACAGAAAAACTGCCATTTCATATCACCATTTTGATCAGGATACAAATAATTCAGTTCTAGTTTTGATGAAGTCTGCCCTAAAAATAACAATTAAATATATATATGTATATTTACAAAGAAAATAAATGTTAGCATCTTTAAAATTATACGTAAGTCATATAATTTATGCACTGTTACATATTGTCCAAGATCCATAAAAATATTAATAATGCAATAAAAAATAATCTACAATGTGTGAAAATGTAAATATAAAAAATCCTCAATTTTTTATGATGAATGTAAAAATTGAGTCAAGTTGCTTTGAAAAACTAATTTATCAAAAGTACAAGCCTTTTTGACTTCCTCTGTGAAGCTATGAAGAGCATTATTTTTTTTTTTATCTGAAGTTTAAAAAATATATATATATGTAAGAAAAATAAAGTATATGTAAAAGATTAAATTAGCTGCGTAAATTAATTTCCCTTCTGTATACTAAAAATAGTAACCTCTATTTGCACTGCATCATTTCCAGAAAAATCCAATTCTGATGATGTATACTGGTTATCATAAAATAAGGAAAAATCACGTAAATAGCGATAACTCCCTCAAAAATAAGCCAAGCCGTGTAAAATTTGAATATGTTGCCAAGTAAGAGTAGCTGAGTTAAACTCCAATATGCAAATTAGTGGCGCTGCACTCAGAATGTGTCATCTGCGAGAAGCATAAAAGTCCATGTTTGAGAGCAAGCCCACATATTTCACTGTGATAATGACATCAGAAATCTGAGATAGCCAATTCGTAACAATGATCTCTAGGCATCATTTGCCTGCAAAACTACAACAGAAAGCCATTGGGAGAGTAGAGGCAGGACAAAATCAAACAGAAGTGGCCAGATGGCTAAATGCGAGTCCTTCTATGGTTCATAGACTTTGGAGGTAATTTCAAATCACAGATTCGGCACCTAGGAGGTTCAGCGAAGGACGGCCAACTGCTACGACGAGTGCCGATGACCGATATTTGACATTATGTGTACTCAGGAATAGAACCGCTACTCCGACTCTTCTTAGATCCTCCCTTGCTGCAGCCACCGGAAAGTTGGTGTCAACATCAACTGTGCATAGAAGGCTTCACAAAGGTGGTCTGTGTGCGAGACGAACAACTATTTGAGTGCCGCTCAAGTCACGCCATAGGAGGGACCAATTGCAGTGGGCATGACATTTCCACTGGACACCTGAGCAATGAAGGATATTCTCTTTAAGGATGAGTTCAGGTTTTGTCTAGATTGTGATAGTAGGTGTTATTTGATATGGAGAGAACCTGGAGCCCTTTATCATCCGTCAAACATCCGTGAAAGAGATGCATACGGAAGAGACAGTGTCTGTGTTTGGCGTGGCATCTCTTTGAGTGGACGAACAGACCTCCGTGTTTTTCCAAGGAGAACCGTGAATGCTCATGTTTATAGAGATGACATCCTTGATGCTTATGTGTGGCCATATGCCGGGGCAATATGTGATGCTTTCCTGTTACAGGACAACAATGCAAAACCACACAGAGCTCACATCATATATGGTTATCTTCAACAGGAAACACTTATGTGCATGGAGTGGCCAGCTCGATCCCCAGACTTGAATTCTATCGAGCATGTTTGGGATGCTTTAGGAAGACATTTAGCTGCTCTCAATCCGCCCCCTTAGACCTTTGCCACGCTTGCAACTGCTTTGCAAGAGCAATGGCTCTCGCTTCCTATGGAACTGATAGACCGCATAATTGAAAGCATCACACATCGCTGAATGTGCTGTATTGCTTCTAGAGGCGATTATATTCCATATTGAAGGTACTTTTACTATAGAAAACTGACATCTTTGATTTGTTCATTTTATACATGTGCTAATTTCTACACTACCATAATTGTTTGGTAATTTCTTTTTATGTTATTTGATACCTTATTATGTGTTGTATATTGTGGGTAAGTTTCACAAAATTCTACATGTAACTTTTTCAGTAATCGCAATTTTTGTAATTTTTCCTTAATTTATGATAACCAGTGTAAATGGAACTGAAACTCAAAATTTAACCAATCACAGATTAGCTGTACTTTGAGCACTTGTCTTGTATAAATAGCTAATAACTGCGTAGTCTCTCTCTTTTGCCTCTTCGACTGCGTGCTGACAGCTTGTCGCTCAGCCTCTGCTAGCTATTCGTCTTTATATAAAATGTAATTGCATATCTAAAATTATGGGGCACATTTAGCCCCCCTAGTCTTCTACAGTTATCCATTAAGAAATTCGTCATTCAAGAATAAATGATATTTAACTGTCAAGCTGGTCATGCTTCTACAAATTCCATGCAATCACCCACTACACCGTAATGTCCAGTCATCTACGCAACAGTTTTTTGGCCATGACTAAACGTGAATTGTTTTTTATCTTCCGCCAACAGAACAATTATCAGAAGAGTCGACAAGGATTGGACCTGTACCGCGTCCATAATTTTTTTCTGCATACCTAATGAAACGAATTCTGTTGCAAGTTTGTGCCATGCATATTTTTAATTTCTGCGTTGATAATCTCTTGCTCGTGTTCTGCCAGCATCTACGAAAAGGATATATATATATATATTTCTGTTTTGACGAAACGTGATACGGAATTAGCTGGATTCGAAAACCATTATGTATTTCCCCTGAAGAGTCAATAATGAGATTCGAATTGGGCTAATTTACCGCTTTTTTGTATTTTTTGTATTCTTGCTTATATAACAATTGGATTTTTATTCAAATGTTTAAAGCTTGTCTTAACTTTAATCAACATATTACTTCCAATTTGATTTGAGTTTTAAATACGCTTATTATTTGTAAGTATTCTAGTGATAACTTCATTTATTTTGTATTTACACTTTTCATTGGACATTTTAACTTATGTTAAAAAATTTTCACCGGAGCCACAGTATCACAATGACTTTTAAGCAGAAGCATGAAGAATTTTTTTACCTTGTTTTCTAATTTTTGCAGCTCAATGCGCAAAATTCCTGACCACAAAGATCTTTTTTAGTTTGTTCTCCTTTCTTAAAATATATATATACTGCATGATCATCTATGTTAAGTGGTTTGCAAATAATCAGTGCTTTAAGCTCAATAGCAGTTCTGATCACTATATGACCTTATGTTTATCCAAATGACTTTCTTTCGGTCAGTGTGTATTTAATTACCATTATTTCAGTGAAGCAAATCTACTGCTGGTTCAGTAATTTTAAATTTTGTGTGAACAGTTTTAGTTAAAATTCCTGCAATTTAATTTTATTGTTTTACAACAAAAACGTAGTACAAAGAATGAAAACACAAGTATTCTGAAATCTTCATTTAATGGTTTCGCATTTATTAATTTTGTTGGCGTATTTTAATTGTATTTTCTGCTAACAGAGTTATGTTTAAATGTTTCATTACTTCGAAATTATTAGATAAAATTTTATTTTGAAAATGATTTATGTTAAACTTATTTCTTTACTATGCAGTAAACGATTTTTAATTGAGTACTCCTTTAAAATTTAGGTACCTAATGTTTATATATATATATATATGTACTAGCAGCTTCGCTGCCAGCCTTTGTCTGGCTTTTAAATGTACAGGAAAAATGGCCGAAGGGAATACCAAACGTTAAATTTAAAAACTGCGTAGAATTTTTCTCTGCAGAACAACTTCATAAAACAAAAGTTATTACATATAACAAAATTACAATGAAATAAGCAATATCCTTTAATACAAACATTAATTATCATAATAAATAAATTAAGCGACTTCCCTTTGCAACATCTTAAGAACTCAAATGGTATAAAGGAGGTTAAGATATAAAAATGACAATGAAATATGCTAATCTCTTAAAAACAGTAACATAAGAAATACGATGAAAAATTGTTGCCAAACCCATATTTCTAAAAGAATGAAACTATTCAAAATAATGCAACTTCATCAAAAATCTATCAACAACAATAAGAAAGGAAAATTGTTGCCCAAAACGCATTGTTAAAGATGTGAGAAGTGTACTCGGAAGCTTCATTTAAAAAATTCTTTAAAAATACAAAATATTATCATTTTTCCAAAATTCTTTTTGCAAAAGCAGTCGCAAGGATAAAAGTTTCAAGTGTCCAAAAATCAAAGAAAAATAAACTGTACATTTTTAAAAATAGACTATTTTAGAAAAAATCCCGTTGAAAAGGTGTTAAGCTCCCTTTGTTAAATAAATTTGTATTTAATCGATTTTTATTGAAACACAAAACTTATTTTAAGTCCATAAAATAGCTAAGTACCCACATTTTATGACGATGTGCAAATGGAGTCTGTAGAGTAAAATCTTGCTTTCCTATAGCCCATTATGTCTCAAAATGACGCGATTTCGTCATAAAACATAAAATTAAAAAAATTCGAATTTCGAAAAAACGCTTCGAGGTGCACTGGCTCTTGTCTATATGCACTTATGTACCAAATTTTGTAGCTGTGGGTCCATTAGTTTACGCGCAGTACGAACGAAAAACACGCACACACAGACAGACTCTTTCTTTTATTATATGTAGAGATATAAAGTCTGAAAGCTGGAATCGTTGGGTTTAATTTATTTAATTATGGCAAACTACTCAAGGACTATCTGTCTAAGGGAAAGGATGCCTTCATACAGACTTTTTAAGGGTAAACTGACTCATATACATGAGAATCTTTGGGACTTCAATGATTCTAGATTTTGGAAATTTCTAAATTTTTTATCATCAATTTAACTCTACTAATATGAGATGTAGAAGTTATAAAATTTTAAAAATTAAAAAAGTTGTTTATGGAAAAATGAAGCATTTAATGACTATAAGAAAATCAAAATTTACAAAAAAAAAAAAAAAAAAAAAAAGACCTCAACTTTTTTTTTTTTTTTTTTGTTTGTTTGTTTTATTAAACATTTCTCTCGGTGTAATTTGTCAAGCTGTTCCATTGCTTGTGTTAATACTTTCTATTTGATTTTATAGACAGACATAATTTCTTGCCCTTCTCACAAAGTTCCATACTTCCAAGTCCAGTAACTGCCATGTCCAAAATCCTCCCCCACCAAACTGTCAGTCAAAATTCTTTCATTCTAAAAAAACTCTGTCATTTTTTAAACTATCGGCAGTGATATTTTCTCGATTTATAATCATATTACAGATTTCATCATCCAAGAGTTGAGTGCTGGTCAGGACAACGTGATCGCAATGAAAAACTTCTGTTATATGTTTTATTTATCTGCATGTTCCTTCCCTTATTCCCTTAACTATTAAATTTCGCCTCCTATAGCATTCAAAATCTATGCCAAAATAAGGTTGTTATTTTGACAAACTTTGAAATTGCATTTTCTTCAGCTCAAATTGTGCTAATGCTGCTCTTTAGCAGCATGGCTTCGCTTAGCAAGTATAAATTGTGCTTTCGCTTTGCAGATCCTGCTACAGCATCAGAATTACAGTCTTCAACATAACTGAAAATTTATACTTTAATTTCAACAGTTATAACAACCTTCAAAAATAATAAGCTGAATTTAGAGCAATTTGCTAAGTTAATGGAACTTCCATTCCTTCCAAATCTTTCTCCCTTCTTGCTGTTTCATCAACAAAATAAAACCAATATTAACTACAGCCCACTCAAACAAATGTGTCTTGGGGTCTCATTTATCGTGTATTCAGATAAACATTAACAGCCATACCAAGCATTTAAGGGACATACCCACAACTATTTAAGCCATCCGAGAGATGAAAGTGTGGTTGTGGTTAATGTTTACCAATGTACTGTTAATGGCCACCATGTGATTCCCTAGCCAGAAGGTGTTTAAAAATGATATACAGGAGTCTCAATCAGGAGAAAAATTGCTCTTACAACACCTCCTTTTTCTAGACTACTGTATTCTCCATTCCTGAGTTTTATTTAAAAAAATTGCAGGTGGTTCAGAGGTCCAGATATTAAATTCCAGAAAAGATTCCGGATAATGATGTCCAGATTTGAGATTTTGTACTGTGTATATAAAACTCAGTACTGTATACACAAAACTCAAGTTTTTGATGTTGCACATTTTATATATTAAATAAAACTCATAATTATTTTGAAATAAACTTGCTATTCTGAACTCCTCAATGAATTCAGGTTTAAACAGACATAAAATAAAGTACAACTTATTACCATCAATAGCATCTCCATTTCTGTACCACTGGTAATTTACAGGATATGCACTACTAACTTCACAATTCAAACACAGAATCATGCCTTGAGCTACCTTTCCATTAACATATGGTTGCTTTACAACTTTAATTGCTAGGAGAAAAAATAATAATTAAATAAGGTATTATGCATAATAAACGAGAAGGCAATATATTTCAGAAAATTTGCAAAACAAATTATTAAATTTTTTAAGAAAAAGTTTTAATATTAAAGAGGAAGAAAAGAAATAAAGTGCAGTTAATAAAAATACTGTTAGAAGATAAGCTCTTCCACTTTTTTAGCTTTATTTAGTTTCCTAAAAAAAATAGCTGCAGCTTTCTAAAATATTATCAGGAGTTCATTTTTTAAGCTTCTTTTAATTTCCTTAAAAAGAAAGATATAGCTTTCTAAAATTCAGGTATTATTAAATGTATTGAAATATATACGAGAACAGTTGAAATAATCCCTCCAAGTAAATGTGAGATTCATGATGAAATTAGCAAATATAATAACTCAAAATATATATGTTTCATCTCAGTATTTCCATTTTGTGAAATAGAAACCATAAAGTAATATTAAACTCACAATAAAGCTAAATACATTTTCATAATGTAATTTAATAATAAATAGACAGTGATTAAATAACAGCATCTTGTTCTTATATTCATAATCAAAACCAGACTGAAGCATAGCTTAATTAATGTGACACTGAAATTTACATAATCAAAATTTAATAATCTGCAATCAGCCAGACCACATACATCCTTTATCGGAAAAATTCCAGGACAAAGGTAAAAAATAGAAAATTGCACTTAATCAAGTAATGATCCTAGCTGCTATCAAAAGCAAAGCCCTTGGCTATCTATACACAACTTCCAACGTTTTTGAAAGTCTTGGAAGCAAGCAGGGAAACCTTCAACTGGGATGCTTGAAAGTTCATTTGTCACAACCCGGTGGATGTCTGCAATAATCTTGAGGAAACTTTCTTTTCAGTCACCTTTTCACTTACGGAAACAAGAAAGAAATCACAATAAACTTTGACACAAATGTGGAATCACGTCTGGCTTTATCTTATAATTTAGCAGAAATTCTTCATCTTTCTGTTCATCTGTTAGTGAGTGAGAGATAATTCTTGAATTAAGTTCCCATTTCCCTAATTATCTTCCCGTAAAATCCTATGACACACATTATGATTCAAATTCAGTTCTTCTGGTATCATATGCACAGTTACAGAATGGTCTTCTTGTAATAACTGCCTAATATGTTCCCCATTTGCATTGATATGTGCTACAGACGAGCGACCAGCTCTGGGAATGTCTTGCACTGAATCCCTGCCTACACGAAACCTTTTGTGCCATTCGAAAACACGACTTCTTGAAAGTGCCTCGCCTACATACCCTTGCTTAATCATGTTCTATACTTCACTAAGAGTTTTTCTGAGCTTAACACAGAACTTAATGTTCACTCTTTGCTCACAATCAGCATCCATTGAGTCACCTTAACAAATGCGACAACAGCTTGTTGCTAAGCGCAGCCCTGCCACCTAGTAGGTTTGCATGGAAACACATCCAAGGTCATGTCAAGTAAGAATACATACCAGGTGACATAAAAACATTTGTTCCATTTTAGTACTGCAAAATCAGAAATAAAAAAAAATTGTCCTCGAACGTTTCTGACAAAGGATGTATATACATCAAAGAATATTTTTACTGACACTTTTAAATAATAATGTGTAAGTGTATCTTAACCACTTCACTGTTTTTATCAAGAGAGACTTGTTGATTTGATATGTGTGTGTGTGTGTGTGATTATGGCAAAGCCTCAAGGGCTATCTGCCTAAGAGGAGGGATGCCTTCGTGGAGGACTTTCTAAGGGAAACTGGCTCGTATACACGTTACACATGGGGAAAACCACGAAAACACCCATGCAGCCAGCCCGTTCGCGGGATTCGAACCTCGGACGAACTACCAGTGTTCAGCGACTTTACCGCTCGGCCGCTGGTGGGCCCTTGTTGATTTGAAAATTGTCATTAGATTTGAAAATAGTCATTACACCAACATCATAACCATCAGTGCATCCAGATGATAGTGGTCTTTCATGAAAGTGGTGACCTTTGAGTGGTAATGTTCAATACCCATAGCTACCAACCTTCGATCTTAAAAATAAAGAGTTTTTCACACTTTACACACTTTATGGCAACATCATTTTTAAGGAATTCCAAACTCACTTAAATTCACTTTATGATGCATGGTTCATGTTACTGACATATTTGTAATTCTGATGTAAAATATATTAGCATTTAATTATATATTCTAAATTTTCATTCTTTGACCAATTTCAATTTTTAATTTTCTTACACTTTTGGACTAAAAAAATCCTAAATAGTGACAAAAAGCTCTTATTTATCAAAATACTTTTCAATATGATGAAAATAAAATTAACAATTAATGTATATAGTATTTCAGCAGATACACTTAGTAATGTACCATATATTAAAGTAAACAAAATTAAAGACAAATATTAATGGATTAAACATGGCTTGAATCTTCATCTAAAAATCTAAAAATGTCTACAGTAGATAAAATAACTCAGATCAAATAAAATTTAAAAAGATCAATAAAACATAATAAAAAAAACTTAATTTAGATGAAATAAAATTTAAAGAAAAATTATTCTGAAAATCATTAAGATGGGAGAATGGAATTGCCTAATTTAAATTGCATTAATTAAATAAATTTTATTTATTGCTGGGAAATATTTTGCTTCGTAAAGGCTAAATATTAAAAAAATGGGAGATTCAGCTATCTACCAAAAGAGATAGGATGAAAATCCTAGAGAACTTGTAGTTATGAATACCAACGTTTGTTTATGTTCTCAGAAATACTTGTCATTTTTAAAGGTGTCCATCTATGAAGGTAAGCTACCATGAGAAATTTTCTGTGTTGGTTTTTAGACTGAAAACTTATTTGAGGATACTGTGGCTAGATTCAAAATTGGTTACATGACAAATAAAAAATAACTGTTAAACTAAATTAATTTCAAGCAAATATCAATTTAAAATATTCATGTATCATGACAGAAATAATAAAGAAGTAATAAAATATCATGACAGAATAAAAAAAATAGCTGTCACAAAAATTTGCTCTCACCATTTTTGTCATCTCTTGGAATTTCAGTAGAATCAAACTGACAATCACTTTTCTCAGGAATGATCTTGAAGAAAAAATAAACATATGATTTTGAAGAATTTAAAAAAAATTCAAAATTAATGACTATAAATTAAATTTTTAGGACTTTTAAACAACTTAGAAAAGTTGCAGTGTAGAATTTTATAAAAGTTGCATTAAATGAAATTCCTAATTCAAGGCACTGTTAAATGAAAATCATCCAGCAAATGATGTAGCTTCACATCGGACGTTTGGTTTATGTTTAATCCGCTATGAAAAATGGATTACCTCAAAAAAATAAGTAAAATTTTACTGACTCATAAAGAAAAAACTTATCAACTTTATCATATCAATCAAAAGAAATGATTAATAAATATATATTAAAATCATATTAACATTTAGTTATCATTACCAGCAATTACTAAATTTGTTGTTCATTCTTTTCTAGTCTCTCTAAAGTGTTCAGAAATTTGAATGACTAATGGTATTTCTTAACAGCAAATCATTTTAGCAATGATTTTTCAACATCTCCGTGCTTTATCTTTCTCAACTCTTCCTTTGCATCCAAATTTTCTCCACGAACGAAAATTATACAATTTGATTCTTTCATGTGATACCAATTATAGATTTGGTTTACTATATTTCTGGCAGATATTGATTTGGTTGTCTCCTTTTTGTATTTTTTTTAATAATATTCACCTTATCCTCAATGCAGAAGCTTTATATTTACAGCTCGTCATGCAGATGAATTTTTGGCACAGGAAGAGAGACAGCAAAGAGTTTGTTAAAAAAATATGCAATATAATTTCATCACTTATGTTATTTAATATCCAGTGAAATTTCCAGTCATTTCTTAAGACGTATGGTTACAATGTAATGATTCAATAACCCTATTAAAGAATACCCTATATCCTGAAAAGATTTAAAGAATGCAAAACTCCTCTTCAGAAGATAGAACCTGGACAGCATTTATACTCAGTCGAAACAAATTGATTAAAATAAAAAACTATTTCATTCCCTAAAAGAAGAATCAACCATAAAGGCACAAAGTCATCAGATTCACTACTTAATCTTTCTTTAAATTCAGGCTGAATGCACAATCTAAAAACGCAGCTGACAGGCCAAATATTTTTTTAAAACAAAATGAAAATTTTTCATTAAAAAAATATTTTGACTGAATTTTAAATTTCTCTTACTAAATATTTAGCAAAACATACATGATCAATGATCAATGATCATAATAACTCAAAGGAAAAAAATACAAATTTATATTTATTTTCTATTTGAAATCTAAAGTTTGGTTTCTGAAAGATATTTCTGTCAGTTACACTTTGTAATTCAAATTGATAACACTAAATAATATTAATATTTGATACTGACATTTATTTCAAATCATTCTAACATGTTTAGTTAATAAAAAATAACTTACTATAATCTAAATAAAATTAAAATATCCTAAGTTTTCACAGAAAACTTAAAAATCAATGATGACAAACTAATCTCTAGCTTATTTATTAAATTTTTCTTCGATATATGAATTAAAATACATATGCTTATATATAAATAATTATACATTTTATATGTAAATAGAAAATTTTTGCATACTGTTTGTGTATTGGAGAAGAATTACTAGAAATTATCTCTTGCTCATCAGCCAGTCGGGTTCTTTTTTTTTATTAAATTTTAATTGTGAAAAAAAGCTGTATACATATAAATGCATTCCTATACAAAGCAGTTATTCTTATGCAGAAATTCATAACCAAGCCTAATAATTTTGGATAAATACGTAAAAAAGTTAATAAAAGCTGTATCTTCAAATCTCTGAATAAGATTTATATGCTATTGTAAATAAATTAGCTGAATTTGTATACTTTGTGGGTTATAAATGTTTGTTTTTTAATTGTAATGAAAACAATGTAATAAAGACTGGCTGAGGCCATCGATGCACATGATATGGTGACCTAAGATAGGCTTATTGTATCCTCGTTGTTGTAGAGTTGGGTGTTCCACCTATCTCACATAGATTTTGTTTAGAACATGTAGAAAAGTGGGATGAAATTAAACAACAGACCAATTATTTAGCTTAGTATTACATAAAAATCTAATTATCAAATTTGGTTGATTTTTGTAATATTACATCAACAGATGCAGTGCAGAATTTGGGAAATGTTTCATTAGATTACCTCAAAAGAAAATCATTCAGATAATATCATGCATTTTCTTTTTTTCTTCTGATGATAAAACAAGCTAATGTTTTACCATTTCAGACAGCATTAAACTGCATGATCATTTATATATATAAAAGATATCTCAAATGCATATTAAAATATTCTCTTTTATCCTAATAGACTTATAATGGCATTAAAATTCTCTCTTTGAAATTCTTTCAAAAGAGTTTTGATGTGTGTTTGAATGCATAGTTTTAGGTAAATTCTTTTAAAATACATAAATAAAAATGATTATGACTAGGTCTATCTGAAGATAAATAACATAAAAAGGTTACAAAATTATTCTTAAATGCTTGTTAACTGAAGTTCAAAGCAAAACTTTTAAGAACAAAATATAACATTTAATTAAATACCTACATTTTTTTTTTCGATCAAAAATTAAATACTGAAAGAATAATACTTACAAAATGTGATGAATTTGGCACTTGCAATGTTGATGCTTCACAACTCTTAATAGATGTTTCTGCAAAAAATACATATTCTCATACATGTATGTTCCTGCACATATAAAAGATTGTAATGTGATTATATTTTATTGATTTTTATCAATAATTTTAGTTCATATAATGCTTTAATGATTTAGTTTAGAAACTCAGTAATTTTTTTAACAGAAAATTTAAATTAGGATTAAATACTAGGTATTATTATGAATTTGCAAAACTACCAGTAAATTTCTTGAAACATTTCTAATCTTCATTTGTTGTTTTTAAAGGAAGAGTCCCTTTTATAATTACCATGGGGATCAAAATGAATTCCAATTATTCATTAGTTATGAACTGAATTAACAAAAATTATATTAATAATTAAACAAGAATTACATTGATGATTTCTAAATTACAGTTTCAATTCACCTGGAAAAATGCCAGAAAAATGGCCCTTAAGATTAATTCAGTTATCTCCTCAAGAAAGAGCCTGGCTGAATCAATCTCAAATTCAACCTTTATTTTCGGATTTACGCTTTTGCAACTAATTATTGGCAACTTTGATTTTATTCCATTTTATTGTTAAGGATTCTAAATGACATTAAAAAAATAACTGTATAACATTTTTAAAGATGATTTTAACTTTTTGTTGCACCTGTGGAAAATTAAGCAAATTTAAGATTTTATGAAAGCTTTAAATTGTCTTACATATACACACATATATATATACATATATATACAGAGAGAGAGAGAGAAATAATCTGTAATTAAAAAGTTTATATCCTTAAAAAACCATATTTAACTTACGACTCAAACTATGCTAAAGCACACATGAATTAAAAGCACATATGGAAAAAATGACTTAAATATTGAACTTATGTAGAAGGCGAGAAATTTTGTAATTGAGAGTGTTTAAATAATTATTAGGTACGTGTCAGTGAAATATCACTGTCGGCTTAGTGTCCTGTTGACTAAATGTATTGATAGTTAAATGTCCTGTAGCTAAATGTCCTGATGGCTAACTTTCTGTGTCGGTTAAATGTCCTGGTCGGCTAACTGGTGTCGGTTAAGTGTTTCATCAGCTAAGTGTCATGGACCCATTGCACAAATGATGCAGTTGATGGATCAGGAAAAACTTCTGTTCAAAACTGAAGCCAAATATAGAAAAAAACTGTCTTTTAAAACTGTCTAATAAACTTGGACAGGAGGCAGAGGCTTCTTTTGGACTACTTACCAGACATGATTACCTGGCTGTGTCATTTTGGCATTCTCACTAATGCTGCCTGTCCCTTGTGTGAAAAAACGAACCTAAGGACTAACATCACCTACATGTTTGCTGAGCTCTCCATGGAGATACTGATGCTTTTAGATATTGGGAGGCTATAAAATTCCTGGGATGCTAACTCTTGAATATTTTGATGATGTTTCTACTACTTGTATTTATTCCTGCTTTTCCCCTTACTACTTGTTTTTATTTTGTTACTACTGGTTTTTATTCTTGTTCATGTGTTCCACTATTGGAAATAAAAAAGTAGTCTAAAAACTGTTTGCATCAACTTGGGTTTAGGAAAGTATGAAAGTAATTGATTATAAAGTAAACAACTACAAAAACATTGAAGAACAAACATATGAAAAACTTTGTAAGTTGCTGTACTGGTATTATGAAGATCTTTTCCATTTTCCTTCTCTCCCAATAATGGAAAACAGCTTTAACTAAATTTAAGCAATAGCTCTAAACAATAAAACTGTTCTCACATCTCTTATGTCCTGCATAGAAAGCATTTAAAAAAATGATTTCTTTTACAAATGCATAGTATATAACAATGGTGAACAGAAACTGCCTTTTTTGTTTTGTGAATGCATTTATTTTAAAATAGTTAAGATATTTGAAGTAATAAATGTAAATGAACAAAACAAAGGATAATTTTAAACACAGAAATTAAAAAGTTGCAGTATGATAACACGATCCTTTTAAATACCTTATTTCTTGCTATGTTCTTAGTTTTAATAATAAATGATTAAAAGAAAATTCAGAACAACTCATTCAATGCAAATGGTTTAAAAATGTTATAATTTGAGATTAAGATTGAAAATATAAATACAGAGAGTATTTACACATTTTAAAAACATTTTGGGGGATTGTTTAATTAATATTTAGAATATATTTTTAAATCTGACAACCTTTTTTGATACTAAGTCACAATGATTTTCATGATAGTACCATGATTTTCCCGATACACCATGATTTCCATGATAGAAAGGCTTTTCATAAAATTTCCATAGGTACTGATTTCCATTCCTCTTCCAGTGCTATATAGAGTCCATCGTTCATGGTGGGTTTGCACACATAAAGAGCTCTTTTCAAGAGATCAAAGACACAATAGTCCATAAGAGAAACATCATGGGACTTTGCAGGAATACATTGAAAAGGTATATATGTAACATCTGTATCAGTGTTCATTTTTTCAAGGAATGGAGTTGTACTTTGCAAAGAATTACTTGCCGCCTTGTCTTGAAAAAGTTTTACTCTTTGAAAGTCACTCGAATAAAGAAATGGAATTTCTTCTGTAAGATCAGAAAAAAAGAAAAGAAAAAAAAAAAAAAACTTTCTCTTGATAGCACACCAAGTTGATTTTAACCTTTTTTTCACTCTATTTATTTTTAATTTCTCACTGTGAGAGAATCCTGCAACAATCATAAACTGAAACCGTCTTTGCAATGAAGGAACCAGGTGTGCACATTTTTTGCTCTTCATTTTCAAAAAAAATGAAATCGCCTTTTTTGCTGCAGTCATTTAGGTACACCAATGCTTTATCTAGAGTCACAGTGTCTTTTCATTTACCTCCTGCTAAATAGATTTCATGCAGGATTCCATAAATTTTTTCGACTTGGGCCGTATGCCTCAACAAAAGCTGGTGAATGTTATGATTTTTAGCTTTTTTTAAAGTTGTAAAACCTGGTTTACTATTTTATTGTTTTTGTAACTACAGATGCATTTTAACACTTTGCAACTCAGTTTTCTGTCAGCCGATTTTTTTCTTGTTACCAATGATTTAACTTTAAAAAAATTAGAGACAGTATGTACACTGCGCAAAAAAAAAAAAAAAAAAAAAAAAGTTGACACAAAATCAGACCTTTTTCTGAAAAGACATGTCAGTATTTTTTACATATTTCAATTCGATGACTTAAATGATGCCAAACTGCCAAGTTTTGTAAAAATCGCAAATCGCACAATTAGTTTTAAACAAACTAGCTCTCAAAATTTTAGCTCCCCAATGTTAATTGAGTTTGGTACATATTTATTAATCTCTCTTTTTTATTAAATTAAATAATTTTTTTTTTCAAAAAAAAGTTTTGAATTATAATCTATAAAATGTTTACCATTATCTTAAAGTAGACGTATTTCTAAGCATACCTGCAAAAATTTACAGTTTTTTATTTAAAATTTCCGAAGATATACATGAATTTATATATTGGTGTGTTTTGAAATTTTGCATATTTGTTGAAAGCAATAAAACATCAAATGTGGTTTAGACAATTTGTTAAAATTATTTGAAAGTAGGAAAAATGTGACTTTTTCTCCACTCGTGTACAATGCAAAAAGGTACAAAAGAGTTGCCTTTTTTTCCGCTCCCGCATAATGGAAGGGAAAGGAAAATAGGTTGCCATATATTAAGAAGTTTGCCAAGTGAATTATTTTTGGCGTAACTGAAAAAATTGCGCCAAAATAAATTTTTGAATTTCTCTGTATATTTCACACTAAATTTTAAAAAATTTAATATCTAGGCATAATTTGAGTCATAGAATCAAAATATGGAAAAGAAAATTGGTATGTTATTTCAGAAAAAGTCAGATTTTGTGTCAAAATACCTATATTAGAACAATGCTATATATAAATCTAATATATATTCTAAGGTGCACTTTCGAGACATGAAAAACGCTATTTAAATTTTGTCAATCAGCCCAATAGAATGAGAGATATAGAACTGTCTCCCCCCTTTTTTTTGACATAGTGTACCTTTTTCGGGTATACTTTTAGAATCTTCTTATCTTATAGAAGCAATGATTGGCAATTTTCCCCTTTCCAATTAACAATGTTTCTTATTTTGTACTTAATTTTAATACCATGTATTTCACAGTGTTTTTGAATTATGGCATAGGATATCTGTTTTCAGAAAGAACATACACATATTTTGCAATCCATAGCTTGTTTTTAAGCCATATTTTGCAAGAAGAATAATGGCCTTTTTTTTTTTTTAATTCTTTATTGAAATCATTTAAAAATGCATAAACAACCTCTGTATTATGAGAATTTCATTTAAACAGGAAAAATATTTTTTTTATAGAATAATTCATGTTTTCATTATATTTGTCTTGTTCAACTCTTTGCTTGAAATTTAACTACAAAAATATATGACAGATAAAATAATCAAGGCAAATTGTCCTTCCTTCCTAAAAAGTTTCATACCATGCTAGCACACAAATTTATCAATTCCAGAAAATATCAAATACTAATATTATATATATTAGCTATGCAGATTTAACACATGGATATAATACAGTACCATTATCAGTTAAATACTAAAATATATAACTTTCAATCATATTTTTCTAATCTTCATATAAATGTATCACAAATACTGAAGGGCTTTTAAATAATAATCAGAAAAAATCCCTAAAATATAAAGGTTCTGCATACCATTTGAAAACACAACAATTTCTGCTGGCTCAGAGACTATGTAGGAATAATCATTTATATTTGGATTGTGACTGACAACTTTACATCTATAAATTCCACTGTCTTTCAACCTAAGGATAAGATATATTTTTAAGAATATATACAGTGATATAAATTAAATAAAATATGCACACATATATGAGCAAAAGACTAATTACTGAACTAAGTAAGGATCAGAAACATTTTGACATACATATTTTCCTGTTAAATATAGATAGATATACACAGTTCAGTCACATTAATGTGACTACCACCTACTTTCAATGCCGATGTGAAATAACCAATCACAGAAGGCAGGTGGCAGCACATTGTCCAGGAGCATATATAAAGAATGTCCGAGAAAATCAGAAAACATTGCAAGTGTCGGCGTAATGCAGAAATGGAGCAATTTACCTGAAGCCCAAAAGGGCATGATTATTGACTTTTGGGCCAAGGTGGAAGCATTTCTGAAGTGGCTAATTTTGTAAATTGTCCGTGTACTGCTGTGTTAAAAGTAGGCCACGCATGGCAAAATGGAACTATAAAAAATCAGTTATATGACAAATGTGGTGCCCCACGAGCCATAGATGACAGAGGTAAACAGCAGCTGTGGAGATGCATTTGAGTGAATAAACATGCAATCAGTGAGCAACTGACCACCCTGATGAACCAAGGAGCTACCAATAGTGTATCCTTAATGATGGTTCAGCGAATGTTGTCGCATATGGGCCTCTGCAGAGATGCCTGGTTACGCTGACTACAATTCATCGCGACAAAGGCTGGAATTTGCACACAAGTACCGTAACTGGACATACACTGAATGGCTTTGGGTGGTGACAGGTGGCTTTTTTGATGACTCATGTTTTATGCTGCATCAGACAGATGGACATTGGCATATACGATATGAGAGGTCAGAAAGCAAACACACTGCAACAATAGTCGGAGGGGTCCAAGCTTAAGGTGGGAGCATTATGGTCTAGAGGATGTTTTGTGGCATTCTCTGGGTGCACTCATTACTGAGGATGGCTCAATGGATCAAGAGAAATACACATCTGTCCTTGCACACCCATGCCCATCCCTACGTGTAAATTGATTTTCCTCAGAATGATGGCATCTACCAGAAGGACAATGTGAAGTGTCATACAGCTCACAGTATGCGTGGTTCGAAGAGCATCACAATGAGTTTACTGAACTCCTCTGGCCAGCAAATTTCCCAGACTTAAACCCAATCGAGAATCTGTGGTACCACCTCGACTGCGTTGTTAGCACCATGGATCCTAAACCGCATAACCTATCACAGTTGGTTACTGCACTGGAGTTGGCATGGCTCAACATCCCAGTGAACAGCTTCAAGAACCTAACTGACTCTCTTCCTGCACATCTCACAGAGGTTCACTCAGTGAAAGATGGTTATTCTGGCTTTTGACGGGTGGTCAAATTAATGCGACTAGGACTGTAATTTTGTAGCTACCATTAACTGGTGTACATATTCAAAGTACAGAATCTGGGGTTTGACAAAGTGATGCAATAAAACACTTCACAGAACCAAGCAACACTGCTGAGATTCATATTTAAGCAAATTTACATAGCACTAAGTTCATACAGAAGCTGACTATTTTGTTGATATTTTAAATGTCATTTTGGCTGCCTGAATGACTAATGCAACTTTTAATGCATCTGACTGTTAGTTAATCTCAAAGCCTGAGTTAAAGTTTTAGATATGTTGTGATTGCAATTTGTATTTGTTGATTATATAATTAAATTTATTTCACCAAAATTCTGCAAGAATGACTGGCACAAGTTTGACAGAGTTGTCTCCAAGTTTTATGGTAACAAGAGCCAACTTTCATAATCAACAGGAAAATCATACATTCAAAATTTTCTTCACTACTGGGTTATATTCATGACATGATAGTAAAGTTCATAATCAGAATTGAAAAAAAGGAGAGCGAGATCAACATATTTGTTTCTTTTAACCATTTTACATCACACAATATATAAGGATAATATTAAAAAAGTAGGAACATTTTCAAACTTTAGTAATATTTCACCATAAGTATGTGATGCAACTTATTTTGCAAGAGACAGAATATATCATTCCTCAAGTTATTCAACAGCCAACAGAAATAAATTGCTCTACTGCCTTGGTTGGAAACTTCTTCACAGCTTGCTCTAAAATGGCCCAAAAACATTCAATGAAATTTACATCTGGCAGCTAGGATAGCCATCACAAACATTCTAACATCATGTTCCATACACTACAGCATGGATTTGGATTATTTTATTATGGCAAAGAACTCAACAACTATCTGTCAAGGGATTCCTTCATGGAAGATGTCCTAAAGCAAATTGACTCGTATTCAGTTTACACAAGACAAAAACTACCCACACAGTTCAATAAACAGTAGCAGCATCCTACTGAAATCCAGATGGTTACATAACAAATGAGTCAATATTGAAATGAAAATGGTCACCTATATTAAACAGATAATGAGTAGTTTATATAATCACTGTTCCTTCCAATATATGCAAATGAACCATAATTACTACACAACTGCCACAACTTTTCACAAATGTCAACAAATATTGTCACTGGTTATTTGCTGAACCTCATAGATATTTTCTCCTTTTGAAGAAATTTATGACACTATATGACATCCCTCTACTGCTGTGCAGTCCTGTGCTCTCTGCAGTATTGGATACAATGTTATTTCTGTGCACTGCCATGAGTGATCAAAAGCTTGTGCAAGGCAACCTGAATTTGAAATTCTTTTCTGTGTAGTTTATATTGTACATTGAGAATTTCTACCAATCGCTAAACTGTTAAAAAGAATTTTTTAGAAAAAACTGTTACAACCCTTTTTATTCTTTTGTAGCATCTGCAAGAAGCACTTCATAGAAAACAACATAACTGTGCTGAGATAACATATGAACTTGCCTTGTAACAATATATTTCCTCACAGTGCTAAATGATATAATATGACTAATAGCTGAAATGGCACTTCTCATTTGTTTTATTTAAGGTGAGAAAGATAAGGTATTGTTTCCTAAAGCGTCAGCAGTCGTTTTTTTTTTAAACCCCACACATGCAGAGAATCATCACATGAACTGACTAGTGTTAGCTGTAAAAGTATCAATCACTGTCAAAACTTTGGCAGTTTTCAAGAAGGTATATGTTAGCGTTTCGAAAGCGATCTGACTTGTAACAGTAATTGTTCGCTTTAGTCGGGGATTACGTTATCAAATTTTAATTTTGTGAAAAACTGCAAATCATGACAATAAAAGAAATGAATTATAAATGTTTAATTTTTTTCTGTGTTCATAAACCTGCATTTTTATGAATTGTCAAAACACTTTTTTGTTTTTAATACCCTTCCTTTTAATTCGAAAGCGATCTACATGCGTGGTTCGAAGAGCATCACAATGAGTTTACTGAACTCCTCTGGCCAGCAAATTTCCCGGACTTAAACCCAATCAAGAATCTGTGGGATCACCTCGACTCCGTTGTTAGCACCATGGATCTTAAACCGCATAACCTATCACAGTTGGTTACTGCACTGGAGTTGGCATGGCTCAACATCCCAGTGAACAGCTTCAAGAACCTAACTGACTCTCTTCCTGCACATCTCACAGAGGTTCACTCAGTGAAAGATGGTTACTCTGGCTTTTGACAGGTGGTCAAATTAATGCGACTAGAACTGTGTAATTTTGTAGCTACCATTAACTGGTGTACATATTCAAAGTACAGAATCTGGGGTTTGACAAAGTGATGCAAGAAAACACTTCACAGAACAAGCAACACTGCTGAGATTCATATTTAAGCAAATTTACATAGCACTAAGTTCATTCAGAAGCTGACTATTTTGTTGATATTTTAAATGTCATTTTGGCTACCTGAATAACTAATGAAACTTTTAATGCATCTGACTGTTAGTTAATCTCAAAGCCTGAGTTAAAGTTTTAGAAATGCTGTGATTGCAATTTGTATTTGTTGATTATATAATTAAATTTATTTCACCAAAATTCTGCGAGAATGACTGGCACAAGTTTGACAGAGTTGCTTCAAGTTTTATGGTAACAAGAGCCAACTTTCATAATCAACAGGAAAATCATACATACAAAATTTTCTTCACTACTGGGTTATATTCATGACATGATAGTAAAGTTCATAATCAGAATTGAAAAAAAAGGAGAGCGAGATCAACATATATTTGTTTCTTTTAACCATTTTACATCACACAATATATAAGGATAATATTAAAAAGTAGGAACATTTTCAAACTTTAGTAATATTTCACCATAAGTATGTGATGCAAACTTATTTTGCAAGAGACAGAATATATCATTCCTCAAGTTATTCAACAGCCAACAGAAATAAATTGCTAACTCTACTGCCTGGTTGGATTGGAAACTTCTTCACAGCTTGCTCTAAAATGGCCCAAAAACATTCAATGAAATTTACATCTGGCAGCTAGGATAGCCATCACAAACATTCTAACATCATGTTCCATACACTACAGCATGGATTTGGATTATTTTATTATGGCAAAGAACTCAACAACTATCTGTCAAGGGATTCCTTCATGGAAGATGTCCTAAAGCAAATTGACTCGTATTCAGTTTACACAAGACAAAAACTACCCACACAGTTCAATAAACAGTAGCAGCATCCTACTGAAATCCAGATGGTTACATAACAAATGAGTCAATATTGAAATGAAAATGGTCACCTATATAAAAACAGATAATGAGTAGTTTATATATAATCACTGTTCCCTTCCAATATATGCAAATGAACCATAATTACTAACACAACTGCCACAACTTTTCACAAATGTCAACAAATATTGTCACTGGTTATTTTGCTGAACCTCATAGATATTTTCTCCTTTTGAAGAAATTTATGACACTATATGACATCCCTCTACTGCTGTGCAGTCCTGTGCTCTCTGCAGTATTGGATACAATGTTATTTCTGTGCACTGCCATGAGTGATCAAAAGCTTGTGCAAGGCAACCTGAATTTGAAATTCTTTTCTGTGTAGTTTATATTGTACATTGAGAATTTCTACCAATCGCTAAACTGTTAAAAAGAATTTTTTAGAAAAAACTGTTACAACCCTTTTTATTCTTTTGTAGCATCTGCAAGAAGCACTTCATAGAAAACAACATAACTGTGCTGAGATAACATATGAACTTGCCTTGTAACAATATATTTCCTCACAGTGCTAAATGATATAATATGACTAATAGCTGAAATGGCACTTCTCATTTGTTTTATTTAAGGTGAGAAAGATAAGGTATTGTTTCCTAAAGCGTCAGTAGTCGTTTTTTTTTAAACCTCACACATGCAGAGAATCATCACATAGAACTGACTAGTGTTAGGCTGTAAAAGTATCAATTCACTGTCAAAACTTTGCCCTTTTGGATTTTTCAAGAAGGTATATGTTAGCGTTTCGAAAAGCGATCCTGACTTGTAACAAGTAATTGTTCGCTTTAGTCGGGGATTTTACGTTATCAAAATTTTAATTTTGTGGAAAAACTGCAAATCAGGGACAATAAAAGAAAATGAATTATAAATGTTTAATTTTTTTCTGTGTTCATAAACCTGCATTTTTATGAATTGTCAAAACATTTTTTTGCTTCTAATACCCTTCCTTTTAATTATTTAATTTACCTCTTATTGTTTGCCTAGAGGAGAAGGAATATTTTCTCACTGTAACAATATTATTTTCAATATATTTTCCTTATTTTTTTTAATAAAGTAAAAACAAAATATCTTCGGCATCAAAACGTGAAAAGTAAAAAAAAAAGGGGGTGGGGAATCCCATGATTTGAACTCTTTCAAAAAACTCATTTTTATTTCAGAACAATTATTGAAAATATATACTGAAGTAAATGTTTTTGTGAACTGTTATAGTAGTTTACAGTATCTTAAATCAATGCGCACAGCTAAAAATAAAAACTATCTCAAATTTCTGTGTTTCTGCAGTCATTGTAAGATACCTGTTTAAGTATTTATATTATGTTAAAAGAAATTATTTGTAAATTAGCTGATGCTAAATTATTTTAAAGTTATTTATGGGTTCCGTGCAAATTACATTTACTTTTGCAGAAAAATTTTGTTTCACGAATTTTTTGCATACATAAAGCTTTTGGTTGAAGGTTTTTCAGTATTTTCCAGTTGCAGCTGAATTTGAGGATTTTATTTATGGCTCTCCCACTGTAACACCTTTCTCTAATGATCGCTGTTTCCCCTCTACAAATTAAGCGCAACAGGAGGTTGGGGGAGACAACAGTGCAGAATATTCCGTACTCAACAATTTCGAGGAGGAAAATGTAAGGCAAAAAATATTGCTCGAAACAGCTTTGGATCCATCAAGAGCTGACACAATATTCCATTTGTAAAAATTTGAACAGCCATCTTTCAATACAGAATAATCCATTGGTAACACTGAGAGGATTAAGATCATCCTATGCAAATAAATTTGCTAAAACTAAAATAGTTCTCACATTATCAAAAAACTATACTTCTTCATGTGAAGTATGTTAATGAAATATCTCCACAATTTAAAATTACTTTATGGTACTCCACACTTTTAAACTACTTTTTAACTTCACTTTAATTCATTATAGGCATTTAATGCACAGTACGATCGTTACACGCACCTTGTAACACCACATTCACAACCCACAACGATGCTTCCCTCAATTCCCTCTATTCAATCAGTAGAGGGTTGATACAGTGCCCTCTATGGGATATCTCAACAACATGGTTTTGATATGTTGAAATTTAAAACTTTCATTAAGAAGATTAACATTTTAATTCCTTCCAAAAAATCTAACTTTACATTTATGAAGTTCTACTCATATATCATTCACATTGAAACTGATATCTAAATAAACGATCAACCTAAAATGGTGATTCTCAGCAAGAGATACACATAAGCTCGGGAATTAAAACACTAAATAATGACAAAAAGAGGCCAACATGTCAACCATATAAGAAATATGAAATTAATATATACTTGACTGAGGCTATAGTAAGATCTGGATCCTGCTGTAAATATAATTCTTCATCATCTTTAAACCAATGATATTCAGGAGGAGGATAAGATGTAGCTTTACAAGTAATCAGAAGTTTTGCACCCTCTCGTAATTCTAATCTAGTCGGGGGTTGTTCAACAATTTCTAATGGTTCTGAAACAATACAAAACAAAAAATAATAAGACAATAAACTCTAAAAAAATTGAATAACTAAGTGAAAAATATTTTTTTAGTTGTCTGATAGTATTAAAAAGAAAGACTAATATAAGGTAAGAAATAAAATAAGAGAAAGATGAAGGCTTTTTAAGCAAATCAAACTCTTCATGTTACAACCCTCTAAACTTCTGTATGAAGCAATGATAGTCTGATTCTATATAATATGCATTTGACTCTCATATTTGAATTTTTTGTCAAAAATATTTTTTTATAAATAATGTATATAAATTTCACATATTTACTTAGTTGGTTCTGAAAAAAATCAAGTTAGATTAAGTAAAGATATTTGAATGAGAAAGCATACAAGATCTATCTGCCTAAATAGAAGGATATCTCCATAGAGAACATTTTAAGGGAAACTGCTTCATATGGAAAAACTATGAAAATCAACCATGCAGCCATCTTATTCACCAGGGTTGAACTACCAGTATTCAGCACTCTTAACTGCTTGGCTGCTGCTGAGGCACAGTAAAATATCAGAAATATACAGGTAGCTAAATAATCAAAAGTATGGATTACGTTTGCATTTACGCTATCCATGAACAAAAACATGCCTTTGTCATTTTTGCCACAGGTTCCAAAACAATAAAAGGATCAAGCCACCCAGGTCAGCGGTTAATCAATCTGGCCATTAATAAATTAAAGACATTTAGGTAAGTATTTAATAACTTTAAAAAGCACAGGCATTCTTTTTCATCTCTTTATTTTTTCCCCCAATACATTACATTCAGTACATTCATATAGCAAGTTAGAAGTCTTATGGAAGATGAAATTTTGAAAATCAACAACATAACTGTATTATGAGTATTGCAGATTATTTTTCTTGATTTTCTCTTTGAATGATTTAAAGTAATAATAAAAAAGCATATGGAATTAATTAAATAGCTAAAGGATTTACATCTCTCCAACACGTATCTAGATTTGCAAAATTCTACCTAGTTTCCGTGAATTACAAACATAGTTTTTCTTAAAAGTCATTATGTTTTTTATGAAATCCATCAAAAAAATTCAAAATCAGAAAGAAAAATTATTTCTAATTCAGTAATCAGAAATAAGTTTCCCCATGGAATAAATAACACTTTGCATTAATTAGCTTTGAGACAATAATTTAAAATTAAGATCCTAATTTCACAAATGCTTAATAACAGTTATTCTCTTTTTGCAACAGAAATTAGATTTGAATTTTACTCCCTTTGATTCCCATCTTACTTTATGGTACGGGTTTTTATAAATAATGACAATTAAGTTGAAAAACTAATGCCTCTGTCCTCAGCTCCTTATTATAATTATGATACATTTTTTTATGAATTGCAGAAAAGATACATGCATGGATGAAAAATGCTATGCATGTTTCATTTACAGCAGCATTTCTTAAATTGAGGGTCATGGGACCTGCAGCAGGGGGTCGCCAAAAAATTTAGCAGTTAACTTGTAATAATAATATAATTTATTATAATAATTATACAATTATAATAATTTAACAGTTATAAAAATTTTACAATTAAATATTTTTACACAGTGTATCTGAAAATAGATAAAGATAAGACAATACAGACAAACAGAAAAGGAAAATGTTTTGACGCATTCTTTTTATAACAGAAACGGTCATTTTACTTGCTTTGCACGTGACACTGTCATTCCATCTGTTACTTATTTAAAATATTCACATTGTTCTATGTCTTAAAATTAGAAATTAAAGTTAATGACCTAAAACTGCAATAGTATATTACAGTGCACATGGAAAATTGACAGTTTCACACACGCGTGTGTCGGGTTTGTGCAATGCTTATGGGGTCTCGCAAAATTTTTGTTATGGGGTCCTGGGGGTCGCGAAAGAATCTCAATGATAAAAAAGGGTCGCGACTGAAAAAAGTTTAAGAAACCCTGATTTACAGCATAGATTTCTAAACTTTTTTTTCTTTCTACACTGCATTTCTTTATCATGCTTAAATATCTAATGCGATTCAAAGGCTTAATTTCCTGAAATACAGGTTTAAAAAAAAATCATAAGAATGTCACTAGGATTACCTAGAAATTTAATGAAGCTATTTTTAATAAAACTATCTCTTTTAATTATTTTGCTTTTGTAATATTATTCCTCATTGAAAACAGTTAAAAATAAAACAATTTTACTGTTAACTTGAAATTTTAAAGGGGGGAAAACTAGAAATTTTTTAACCTTTATTCTGGAGTTGGGAGACAATATAAACCCTCACTGTTATTTCGTGAGAAATGCTTTCCTTATCAAGCTGCCTGATGGCATGCTGTAAAGCTGAAAAATTTCTTGTGGTGATGGTTGGTTGATTGGTGTCATGTCCTTTGAGAAGTTGAATGGATCCATGCATGGAAAATCACAGCTTTTGCCAGTTCCACAATCTTTTCATTATATAGCTCACATACGTGTGGAAACCTGGCTCTAAATTTAGATTCATGCAACATTTCTTATTTTTACAATCACAGATGAAAAACATTCTCATATAGACATGCTTTTGAGATAATTATCATAAACATGATGGCATTATCAGCAATTTGAAGAAATTCATTCATTTTTTGCAATTTAAAATGTATCAATTGTTAAAGAATGTTAAAAAGAGGAGGAGGGAAGTGAATACTAATAATATATAATTTAGTTAATAAGTTCTGGCAATAGTGAGTGCTGTTGTCATCAGGATATCACACTTTGTGATGCTGTTGTTTCAAAAATGTAGTTCAACTCAGATATGTATTATTAAATGCACTAATTAATGGAATTACTAAATGTAGTAATTCCAATTAAAATTTATTATTTTTATTCTGCTATAAGTTTTCTTTTTTTAGTTCTAGGAACAACTTTCAGATTATGGGTAAAGCAAGCTCTAATACTGCATCAAGTGTTTTGAATTTATAAGAATAAAACAGAATTCCTTGAACCTAATCTTGGAGGTATTTTGTTTTTGGCCTGACGATTGAAAGTGGTTTAAAAATCAAAGGATGGAACTATCTAAAATCCAAGTAAAGGCAAGAAGTAAATGGCAAGAAGCCAACCATATGGTTATACATATATGATGGTTTGGTAACATCAATGGATCTATAAGAATCTGAAAAATTTCTTAGAGAATTGAAGTTAAGATTCCGAATCACAACTAAACTAGCAGTATACTTTCTTGAACTTGAAGATGGAAGTATCAGAATTAGTCAGCAAGCTTATGCACAAAAAAATTCTTCAAAAATTTGGGATGGAAGATTGCAGACTACTGTCAACTCCTATCCTGAAGGAAAGATTAAAAGTAAAAGGATGTTAAGCCAAACATAGAAATTTTCCGCTATAAAGAAGCTGTAGGAGCTTTAAAGTATCTCATGTTAGGTACAAGACCAGATGTAGCTTAATGTGACGGCATTCTTTCATGTTATGTTAAAAGTACGTCAAAAGATGACTAAGATCAAAGTGAAATGCGTATTCAGATACACAACAGGTTCTCTTACTAAAGGTGTTACATACAAAAATAAATGCAAAACCAAGGGTACTAGAATGCTATAATGATGCAAATTTTGGAGGATGTCCAGAAACAGGAAAACTAAAAGAGGAATAGTGGTGGAACTATATCATGCATTAGCCAAAGTCTGTTGTTGCAACTTCAGTAAATGAAGCAGAGGTAATTGCAGTTAGTAAAGGTTCTAGAAGTAATTTCGTTAAAATGGTCATTTAGCGATATTACTAAGTTCCAATAATTCAAGTAGATAACACCGCTGCAGTGACACTATAGCAAAATTCCGAGTTTCATCGACATACAAAACACATCGCTATTAAGCACGTTTTCATACAATAGAGAGTTCTATAAAAACAAATCATCGTACAGCAGATACCTACAAAGGAACAAGCTGCTGACATAATGACTAAACCTTTTTTTAAACTGAGATTGTTGGTTCTTTATGACTGATAAGATGGAACTCTGTGACTTCTCTTCTAGTTTATTACTGTTCCTTTTTTTTTTTTTTAATTTTTTTTATTGACAAGGGGAAGCGTTAAAGTATGTTAAAAAAAGGGGGAAAGCAAATAATAATAATAATGTATAACTCAGTTAACAAGTTCTGGCAACAGTGAGTATTATTGCCATTAGGAAACTGTGCTTTGTGATGCTGTACTTCCACAGATGTAGTTAAGTTATTTCAGTTCAAACGTACTATTTTTGCTCTGCTATAAATTTCTTTTCTTTTCTTTTTTTTTTTTTAGTTCTAGGAACACTTTTTCATCATAATATAGTTCAATAATTTCTAATTTGCTTTCATCAAAAAGATATCTGGGACACTAGAGTTTTCCACTGCAGAACCCAGTTTCTTTCAGACCTTGTCAAAAATATATCTCTTCATTTCAAAGTTACTTCTATTCATTTCACTTAAGACTTAAAAGCACTTATATTACATAACTATGCTCCCTGCACAGCAAGCAAAAGTTGGTATGAAAAAATTAAAAGGCAAGAAACATCACCGATAAAATATTGAAAACCAGATTGTGTTTATTCTGCAGAAATCCTGTTTTAAATATGCAGATGATTATTCACCAAGATTATGAAATTTATCCTATTTTATCCAAGAATACTTACATTCTGGTTAAAAACACTACTAAGATTTTGTGGAATTCCTCTTTCTTCTACAATATCTTTTTCAACTTTTATAACTGCTTCATCATCATTTTTTTTTTTTTTTTAATAATCCAGAACTTAACACAAGCTATAAAGATGAATTTAGGACTGTCTGAGACAATCCTTGCCTTCTATTTGATAATCTTACTGATGTCATTCAGAATAAATTTTTTAAAAATGAAAAGGACAAGAATTATGTATTAAAAACTCATCTACGATAAATACTTTTTTTATCTGGTTTTGAAATAAGAAAGATTCTGCTTGTTTAATATGAAGATTGCTGCTCTGATTGGTAATGTTATATTTAAAAAAACTAAAATAACCTCACTGAAGATCTGAAATCTAGAAACTGATTACAGTTAAACATAAATATAAACTCATCAACTTAGTAAAATAAACTATATTGACTTAAAATTCACTCTTTAAGTCAATATCATTGACATTCAACTCTTCTCTGGTGCCTTTTTATAACCAAAACATACATTTCTAAATAAAAATAAAAGTGCAATTCATTTTGAAAATTCAAAAAAAATTTTCCCCTCTTCAAAAATGCTAAAACTTTCCAATTTTTCTGAAAACTTGTAAATCTCACATGAAAGTCACTACATAATAAATCTTAAACTCTAAAGATAGCCACAAACTCATTTAATTGAAATGCAAACTCTTCAGGACACCATGAAAGGAAAACTCGCACATGGAATAATTCAATCACCAAACTTGAGAATAAACCACCACTTTACATGGATCTCCGCGGCCCCAAGCCAGCTCACTCAGACAAGCTTACAGCAAGGCAAACCACCCCTTGTCCTTTCTATTTTATCTCCTTGAAATTTTAGGCAGATATAAATTCTACTTTCATACAACCTTCAACAAAATCTCAGTTCCCATGTACATCAAAATACTATAGGCTGAAAGTAAACATAATATATTAAATTCTGACAAATGCAGGATGAATTTACTCTTTCATTTCCCTCCAAACAAATCAAAACACAGCTGCTGATGACAGGCTGACATATATATCCCCATCAATGAGTCATTATACGCATATGAAAAAAATTCAAGCCCTGTTAGTTTCCGAAAACAAACTATCCTTTTAACTCATGTTGAACAAAAACTCACTGCTTCACCATCCGGTTACTAACAAAGCCCCCTACAGATTCTCTCACTTCAAAAAATGCAATTTACTTTGCAAGCAAAATTTCCCTGTTCCAAAAGCTGAGCCACAAGGTAACTGCTCTTTTTTCATTGTAATTTCTATTCACAACCCGTTCAGAAATTCTGTTTCGGGAACACTGACAAAGTAATTTAACACCTGCTCCTGTTCAAATGTTCACAAAAAAACACTCCCTGATCTTTGTGATAAAACTAACAATAAGAACTGATAATGTAATGAAAACTTTTAAATTGCTCTTGTTAGTCCAGTTCAAACCCTTTCAATTAAATAAAAACCTTAATTCAAATACATTAGAATAATTAAAATTTGCAACACAACAGTGCAGTGGTTAGTGTTACAGGCTATTGTATTGTTGAACTTAAAAGACTTGTATGTTAGTAAGTAATTATACAGTGCCTTTGCAGCATGGCCACACCTAAAATACATGACAAACCAAAAGCCCTCTCAATTTGCTTTGATGGTAGAGGAAGAAAGAGGAGGTCTTTTAACCCATCTTCTGGGATTTTCAAAATGGAACACAGCTGGGCACTGGGCAAAGTCATACTGTCATCTACAAGCTACCCAAAGCCCATGCTAATGACACACTGAATTCTGCCCTTCTTGTCACAACAAAACTCATAGACTTGACCTGAAGTCATACTCAGAGAAGTGATATAAATCACAACTCTGAAGACTTTTCTTCAACTCATTCAGCCTTTAGAAGACATCAGCCAAAAAAGACTAATTTGAACTTCCATTAATCTGCTTATTTCTAATAAAATCTAACACTAAACTTACACTTGTAATCAGAAAGGAAAACTCAAATTTGTTTTAATCAGTTCATGTAAGATAACAGGCAAATTTGCTTTGGAAAAATGCCTAATCTTGATGTGGGAGTTTAAAAATTTTTATATTTTTTTACCTATCCCCCTTCCCCCAACTGCAAATAATCTGGAATTCTGATTATGAAATTAACTTTCTTCCCTATTTCTTTCTGCATCACTTTCACATCATTTGGATGTATCCTGTCAATTTCAGTTACAATGTAAAAACTATTATGAATTTTGGACATAGTGCGAACTTTATCTGAATTGCTGAAATGAGTTGAACTACATCTGAAATGTTGAAATGTGAAATACGTTTTCATGACTAACAGCAAAGTAAAGTGTAAGTTCTCCCTGTTTTCTGGCAGAAGAAAATCCTAAAGAAAGTTTTCAGAAGCATATTTTATTACTTTGCACTGATATTTCAGTTGATGAGTGGGATTTCAGCAAGAAAGATTTAGATTAGATTTGTTCAGACACTCTTTAATAAGCATTACATTCACCAGTAATAGTCTCACTTCTAGATTTTAACTGTTCAAAAAAAGATAAGCTTCAAGCTCTATAAAGGTACAAAATGAAAATTCAACTGACAAGAAAAACATAAATAGCATAAATTACAACATTATTATCTGCTTCTGATAATGAAATCCAGTTGAAAGACTATAATATGAACCATTCAACTAAATTAACTAAAAAATTATTGAAGAGGGTTACATGCTCTAAACTGGCATAGCTAAAATTCGTATTTTATATACACCTAAAATCATTTTTCTGTTATTTTTTTTATTATGTTCTTTTAAAACCTGTAAAGTCCTAACTTTCTTTGAAAATGTAAAGGAATGATAAAATGCAAAATTATTTTTGGGGGGTGGGAAAGAAAACACTTATTTGTCCATGTTCAGAAAATCTCTCAAATAGCCCAAGAAATTACAAAGTTTACAGATTGGAAAACCATTGATTTATGATAATTAAATTAAAAGGCATACCAGATTTCAGTGAAGTAAATTTAAATAAAACTTTCACCATAAAACAATGCAATTATTTTTTTCCAAAATTTCAGTTTCACTAATTCATTAAATTTAATTATTCTAAAATGAAGAAATTATAATAATGAAATTTCTTCTACAATGAAACACCAAGAAAACATTTTTACCTGGCTGTTTTAAAATAACTAAAGCTTTTTCTAAATTTATTGCTTCAAATAATTCTATTAGATGATACACACAAACTCCTCTGGATCCTAAGTGAAGAAGTAAGTACTCAGCAGGAGTCTTATTCATTTTAAAGGCTTCCACATCCATTGTAAACAAAAATTCAGACCTGAAATATCATAAAAACACAGTTATTTTTCATCTTAAATAATTAGAATAACAGGTCAAAGAAAAAGTATTAAAAAAATTAAATGCAGAGGAAAGAAAACCCTTTGTATTTCTATCATTTCTATTCATCCATATAAACTTTAGCATACCTATGTGTTGCATCATCTAACATGAATAATAATACTTCCTTTACCAATTTGTAACTTTCATATTTATTGTAAGTAACTGTCATATTTACATTTAATTATACTATATAATACCATTGAAATAATATAATCACGTAATACATTTAAATAATATATTTACATAATGTATTTAAATAAGATAATTATAATACATTTAGATAATATTATTATATAATACATTTAAATAAAGTAGTTATATAATGCATTTAAATAAAGTAATTACACTCATGTCCATAAATTAAGGATAATGCAAAATCAGGCAAAGGAAGAGTTAGAAGCAAAACAAATGTGACTTATTTGTAAAGCTTATATATTAAAAGAGCAAAAAAAAGATGCTATATGTCGATTTATTTTCTATGTCGATTTATTTTCTATTCTTTATTATATTATTTTATATTTTTATTTATTTTCTATTTTATGCTATATGTCGATTTTCTCCCTGGAGCAAATTACAAAAAAAGCCTATTTACAAAAAACCAATATTACATGGTTGGTATGATTGTTAATACATTGTATGTCTCCCAGATGATGCAATACAGTCCGTACAACGCCTAGGCATGCTGAGTATCAAATTATCGATGTGATCTTGGGAAATATTACACCACTCAAAAAGCAATGCTCTCCGAAGTTCTGGTAGACACGTAAGAGGAGGTTGACGGGCTGCAACTTGTCGGCAAAGCATGTCCCACACGTACTCTACTGGATTCAAGTCCGGTGAGAATGCTGGCCAGTCCATATGGGTGATATCCTCCGACTGAAGGCATTCGCTTACGATGTTTGCACGGTGAGGACGGGCGTTGTCATCCATAAGCGAAACAAACGTACATGTTGTTCCAGAATTGTCCATGTTGTTCCAATAGATTTGGCTTATCATGGTTCCAATCTGAACATGCAGGTAAGTTCTGTAACCCAGAATAATTCCATCCCAAACAAACACTCCTGAACCACCATAACGGTGTCGTTCAATGAAGTTTTCTTGGTGGTAACGGGTACCTGGAGCTCTCCATATGAAAGTAGGGCGAGAATCAGACTGCAAGCTAAACCTAGACTCGTCGGAAAACATCACACAAGCCCATTGTTGCGGTGTCCACAATGCATGCTCTCTACTCCAGGCTAACCGCAGGCAACAGTGAGTTGCAGTAAGTGGAACGCATCTGACAGGTCTACGACCATATAGAACAATCTGCCCTAAGCGTCTGTACACGGTCTGCCTTGAAATTGTCGTATCAGTGGCTGAAAAGAGCTGACGAGACAGGTCTGAGGCTGTGCTCCGCCTCTTTCTTTTGGCAATAACTGTCAAATACCGGTCCTCATTCGGCGTTGTAACTCTGGGGTGACCTGTGCTGTAATGTCTACTCACATTACCATCATCTTGGAATCGTTGCCAAAGTCTGGAGATGACACTCTGGGCAATTCCAAGTTCGTCTGATACTTCCAGTTGGGTATGCCCACATTCCAGACGGCCGATAATTCTACCACGTAAAAAATAATCCAAATGCGTCCTTTGTGTCATAACTATTCAGTTATCACTGAAATGCTTATAAAGTGCCTGCGAACAATTTTACTTCTTTGCCTGTATTCCATATATATCACTCTCTTACACTCTCATCATTGTGACATACCATCGGTGTCATCTGGTTACTTCCTGAAACTTGCATATGATTCTTAAGATGTGTGTAGTGATTTTACAGGTGATATATTTATTTTAGAGTTCGATTTCCGCGTGACTCCGAATTATCCTTAATTTATGGACATGAGTGTATATACTACATTTAAATATGTTATTTATTCAAAGTTAGTATAATTTTAAGTTTCTAATATTTTTAAATTATTAAAGCTTATACAGACATCAGATATTTCAGGGATAGTCAAGTTATATTAACCTCTTCACTCCCAGTGTATCATATATGAGGCTCAGTTTCCCTTGATGAGTGCACCGCATCAAATGTGATATGGGAGCGAAGTATAAATGACAGCCAAACTGTAACATATTTGATATGCTGAAATGGAACATTTTTATTTCAAATTTTAAATGCATATAAATTATGTCATAATACTGTGAAAACTCCCCCCCCCCAATGGTAGGCTCAAGCCATTCAAAGGCATTGGCCACTACTAAGGACATAAGGAAAGGTCTCTTTATTACGGAGGCACCTAAAAGGTGGGTCATTGTTGCCTCCTGTGAAGGGATGGACAAATTACATCCACACCTTCTCTGGGATTCAAAGCCCAGACCTTTCATTATGGCAGTCAGAGTCACTAACCACTTTCTTGACTTGGCGGCAATGCTGCAAAAACTTAATAGAATCTCGAGTGTTAGCATGTTGTGATGAATATTATTTAACCTTTTATTCCATGAAAGTAAGATGCACAACATTAACAATGCCTGTTCTTAATTTAGAAACATTTCATGCAATGCAAGCAACTTAAAATGTTTTTAGATAAATATGGCAATAGGATATAATAAGCACGGCCATTTAAATTCTGAAGTTTTTTTACTTCATTACTGTACAGAAATGATTTAAAATATGAGAATATAATAATTATTACTAAAACTGCAATTTAACTTATTCTAAATTTTGATTTTAAGTATTAGGACTTTACTTCTTCTTCATAAGCTCCACAGCCTGTTACAGGCCAAGGCTGTCTCTCTAAGTTTCTTCCACTGACCCCATTCGGCGCAATAGCCTTCCATCGGTTAACTCCACAATTAAGCTTAAATCTTGCTCGACATCATTTATCCATCTAGTGGGTGGTCTTCCTTTTCATCTTATTCGCTCAATTCTCAAAAAGGTTACCTTTTTGGTTAGAAATGCATCATCGTATCTAAACACATGGCCCAGCCATCTGATACGAGATACATTTATGATTCTCAAACTATCAGTTTCACCATATTTCCAATATTTTCCATATAGTTCATGATTATAGAGAATCCTCCTCATGCCATTTTGTTGTATCGGTCTAAAGATTTTTATTAGGATTTTTCTTTCAAAAGTTGATATCAGGTCTGCTCTGTTAAGTATCCAACATTCACTTCCGTAAATGGCAACAGGCCTTAATAAAAGTTTTATATAAATTTAATTTAGTTTTTACGTTGATTATTAGGACTAATAATAAGAAATAACATTTCAATGATATATGCAAGAATGCAAAATTTAGATAAAAAGAAGGTGTTATAGAAATTATTTTTTGCATGTTAGGCTTAATTCCAGAATGTGCTTGGAGGCACAATAACGTTCAGCACTCCAAAGTCACAGATACACTGAGGACTTCAGTTCACATAATATTGAGAGCAAAGAAGTTAACACTGGCAGATGGAAATGTTTTTATGATTATTATACACGAAATATTTACTATCAAACAGTTTCACTTGAACTTTTTTATTATTTTTAAAAGTTTTGGCATGAATAATTCAAATACGAGTACAAATAAAACGATAATAAATAAAATTGTAATTTCAGATACACATAATTAAGGCCCATTTTCAAATTTTGCTTACACATGCTGTCCCAGAAGAGAAGGGAAAAAATTCAAGATAAATTATATTTAAAGTTTAATTCGAGCAATACATTGCATAAAGATGACTATAAATATATTTCTACAATTTAAAATATTAAAACACAATCAAAATTTTCTAGGTATAAATCTTTAAAAAAAAAAAAATTTGATTTGGCAAAAATGCCTGTTTCTTTCAAGTTTATGTTATTCAACCTCTTTGCTTAGTAACCTAATTTATTTTTTTTTTTAAATAAAGAAGTTTAATTATTTTAAATATGAACTATTAGTGTGTTATATTCATGATAAAAATTACAGAAGTTTTTTCCTTTAACAAATCAATAGAAAAATAATTTATCTTCCACTTCATGTTCAAGTCTGTTACCTTGAAATTATTTTACCTTTAATTAGTTTGTAAATTTTTCTGAAAGAGACAGTACATATTCAGTGACATCGATAAACTAGACAAACTAAGTTTAACAACTTTGAGTATGTACTGCCCCCTTTAGGCAGATTTACAAACTAATTGGGGGAAAAATAATCTCAAGGTAATGGACTTCACATGAAGTGAAAGATAAATTATTTTTATTGATTTGCTAAATTTTTATCTAAAAATTTTCATGTGACTTTTTTATATTTTAAATTGTAGAAATATATTTATAATCATTTTATGCAATGCATTTCTCAAATTAAACTTTAAATATTAATTTATCTCGATTTTTTTTTTCTTTCTTTTCTTCTGGGACAGCATATGTAAGCAAAATTTGGAAATGGTCTTTAATTAATTGCAATTTCTACATCAGCATCATTTATTAATTAAGATTTCTCAATAAGTGCTTAATATGTTTTGGGATTATTATGTTGAATTTTTATAAATAAAGTAAAACCTTTCTGTCAAACAAATGAAGTGACTAGGAAGATTACAAAATAAGAACAAAAATAATATTTACATGATTAAATAATAAACACATTTTCTTGATTATAATCACATTACAGCATATTAAAACCAACTTACAAATAAGGACCTTATCCTAATTTTGGAGCAATGAAAATATTAAATTTTTGCATACTACTTTAAGTTTTACATAATACTACATGCGAGGAGGTAAACAGTATTTACACAAGCAGACTTCAGGTTTCCATAAAAAAAAAAAAAAAAAAAAAAAAAAATTGTGTTGCTAAGAGGTGACCTTCTAAGAGTCAGACTGCAATGAATTTATATAACCCATTCTTAACACTGACATTTACTGCCCTTACAACTGCTTGTTATTATTTGGAAGAGCAACTGTGCTCTTCATCATACTAAATATCAGTTTGGAATAGTCCCTTGGCTACACTTTGTCAACAGAAAATAAGGGAAAGTCAAACCTACCTATTTGATGGTAGCTTAACAAAAAACTTGTTGCTTCATCATCTGGTCACTAAAAAAGCCCCTCACAGAGTCTCTTAAACACAAAAGCCGAGCGGCAAGATAACTTTAAACTGTTCTTTTTTTCATTGTAACTCCTATTCCCAGCCTGCTAAGAAAATCCATTTGGAATACACTTACCAAGCAATTTACACCCCCCTGCTTCCAGTAACGTAATTCCCTGCTCCCTAACAGCTTCACCCAGAAATTCCAACCATTAAAAATAATATCACAAAGAAATGAATCTTAATATTTTCATTTAAAATTAAAAACATTAAATCAAAATTAATTTAAATTTGTGATACAACACAGCTGGCTGTATAAATATATCAAAATACAAAGAAAGGTAGCATGAAATCTATTTACAAAATTTATTTTCATATTTATCTATTACAAAAACAATAGAGAAGTGTTTTCTAAAAATGCATACCTAAAAAACCCAGGAGGAAACGCTGCCAAGAAATCCTCCCTAGTGCTTTTAACATCCAAAATGCTTCTAATTTTATAAAAAGTAGGATAATCTAAGTCCAGAATATTGAGATCTAAGTCCATGATGTTCTTTGATGTCTAGAAAATCATTTTGATAAAAAGACAAATTTTAAAATAAATTTATACATTTTAAATATTTACAACTTTTACGCAAATGAACAAAAGCAATGTAAAACACACAATATATATATATATATATATATAATTAAGAAAAAAGATAGATAATTACGAAAAACCCACAAATGGTAACTAGGAAAATTTATTTTTTATTACATAAAATAATCAATTTATGTCTAGAGTTGCAGCTAAACTGCAGTTTGTGGCATGCATGCTTTTATTTTACTGTGACCATCATAGATATAACTTTGAGCATGGAAACCTAAAATTGTACAGCAATTCTAAAAATTTACTAATAGCTCTGTCTGGGCACAAAATTCTGATCTTTTTCCTGTGTTATAAGTATTCATGAGTTGCCATACAGTTCTTCAACAGTTCAACTCCATACAGTTCTGGAAGGTATCATGTAAAGTTATGGCTAGTAAATTATGGATGAGGCTGCAAGCCCTAAATTTTGTTGTGACGGATCAAAGAATAGGAAAGTTGCAATTCAGACGCATGCTTATGTTTTACTAAACCCTTGTTGCAATGTGAGGCTTTGGGATCCTAGTGATAAATTTTGTCATTTTACTCAAATAGGCAGAAACATATGCTGTTGCCATTCTATGTAACCTGAGAAAGGACCCTTTTCTTGACTCATTAAGTGTCATAGTCTGGTGCGGAAGTGTTTCATGTTGACAATTATGTCGGCACTTACACTTTCACAAGCATGATCTTCAGCATGTGCAAGCACTCGACTAGGAACCTTTGATTGTACTGCAAAGCTAAAAAAAAGTACTCAAAACTCTGTTGCCGACATTCACATTTCTTTCGTACTGCAAACACTGGTTGGTACCTCAGATCTATCATTCCTGAAATTAACTAATATAATTTAATATAGAAAAGCAAAAATGAAAAATATTTTAATGTATTCACAGGTAGAGGAACCTCATTTTCATACCAAGAGGCAGTCTGTATTGGGATTTTTACAAATGCAGAACCAATTTTCCCCAAAAGAAATAACTTAAACCCTATTTGTTCTAGAGCCAAACAGAATGTTTACTTAAATTTTTTATAATATTTAATATACAAAATAATACATAAAAATTATAAATGCAAGTTCATGAGATACTAAAAAGGAAAATTAATTACTTCACTAGAATTGAGGCAAAGAGATGAAATTAAATGGAAGATAAGTTGGGGATGGAACATTATTTAATTTGGAAGAGAAGTCATCTTCCTCAAAATCAACAGCTAGTCCTTATATTAACTTCTCTTTTCTTCTGCTTCTTTGCACTAGAAAACATTTGATATTTAGTACTAATCAATAAAAAATCTGTTTATCATTATCTGCTTTTTATAGTTTCCTGATTTTTTTTCCTTAAAATAATCAACTAAATAGGATGATGCTCTATCGACTATAACAATGGTAGAAAACCATTTTCTTATCAGGCTCTATACTTTCTCTCAGTGATAACAAAGCTTTCTAATTTCTATACTGGAAATACTCTATATTACTAATTTTAACTTGAAAGAAGTTCCTTAGTTGCTTCTAGCCATTCTCTGTGTAATTAATGAAGTTCTTGAATGGCCAGTTCATTTTTGTGATCTTTCATATTCTTACCATCTAATAGTTTTTCCAATGATTGAAAGCACTGACTGCACAGGAATGTTCCAATGTATTATATAACAGCAGTCCTTTATCCTCATAAAGTCTCCCACAAACAAATATCTCCCCTTGCACAGATATCCTTGTTCCATAGTAAATTTAATTTATCAGTACTTCCATACTTTTTTTTTTTGATATGCTAAGAGTTAGGTGATTTCATTATGGCAGAAAACATGAAGGCTATCTGATCAAGGAACAAGATGTATTCATGGAGGAAACTGGCTCGAATTAACATTAAAAATGAAGAAAACCACAAAGCTAGCTTGCTCGCTTGGATTCAAACCAAGTGGAACTGGTAGTGGAACTACCAGTATTAAGCTATCTTAATCATATGACCTCTGACTTCCATATTGTTATACTGTTAATTCCAAATTAGACAACTTTTTTACAAACCAATTTTGCTAGAATTCTACATTCAATTCCCCATGATAATCTTTTTTTTTTTAAAAAAAAAAAAGCTTTGATTAATTCAGAAATAAATCCATCCTCATTATCAGCATGAAAAATGCAGTGAAGCTTTTCCAAGAGAGCAACTAAACCTATTACAAGGCCATTCAAAAAGATTCATCACATTTTATTGTTATATTATTCTACAAAAGTTTAGTTTTGTAATGTCCAAAATTTACCTAGGTTTCAGAAGCCTTACCCTGTGCACACTATATTTTTTAATTTCTTAGATACCTGAGCCTTGCAGCATTCAATATCATCACATTCAATCAAAACTGACTGGCATTTTCATTTTTACATGTAAACTCTAAATCATTCATCATTTGTCCTGCTACACAAATGGACGTATCTAGCAAATCAACTTCATAATTTTTAACTTTTGCCATTTGTTGTGCATTATAAATTTTGTTCCATAAAAATAAACTATGAATGTCTCTTCATACTCTTGTTAAAGTTAGCTCATAATGTAGTAATTTCACAACATATTACTGTTTATTATCATCAACAACCTTTGTAAAATTTACGTTAAACTAATTATTATAAACCAGACTAACATATCTGATCACTTAATATACTAATAAAGTGAATTTATTTATCATTTCATTTTGTAATATAAAATAATATGAACTTGTTACTTACTTGTAAGCTACTTTATATAAAGATATTCAATTCAATCCTTCTCTGTCAGTTACTTTATTCTACAGACATTAAAAAAAAAAAAAAAAAAAAAAAAAAATTAAAAAATGCATGAATTACATAACCTCTTACTATTATTAAAACATACAAAATTTACAAATATTTTTGATGTATTCATATTAAATTTTATACCACTTAAGTGAAGAAAAATTCTCAGTTTTTTATTGCAGTACAAGAAACAAATAAGAATTGATCCAAATATTTCACTGTTAGCAATTTTGCAGAAGTTCTAAAAATTTAAATAAATCTCTCATTGCAATAAATGAATTTGAATAAATAGATGGTAGATCAGCAATTACCAGAAATAACTGGGATCACAGCCCATAGGAAAAAGCAAACATTGTCCCCCCCCTGTCAGTCAAATACATATTTAGTGTAATGTAAATGTTCTCAACTGGAAGGGGATTCTTCCCCAAGGGAAAAATTTTGCAGTTTTGAGAGGGATTTCTCTAAAATCAGATTGGTAAACACAAACTGTAACTCAGATTCACAGCAAGGATTAGTGAAGGTTCAGCAGAAATCAAAAGGAGTACAGATAGGCAGGAAAAAAATTTAGTGAATTTAGTGAAACACCGAGCAACAAAATCTAGAAATGGCAAAACTTTTAAAATTGAGAACAGACACTGGAAGCAGAATTTAGGATCCATAGAGCTTGTGTCAATGTTGGGAAATGCCTAGTGCTAAGCCCTGTTAATGCATTAAGGCAGTCAGTCAGTCTTCAATTTCTTTATTAATGAAAAAATTCCTTTCTATAATACCTGTCCATGATAAGATTAGAAGCATTTTTGATATTTTCTAAGCTTGTATCTAGTGAAAAGTAGAAAAAATAAAGGGAAGATAAAAATATTAAGAAAATGATTCTAGTATCAGAAGTAAAACATTCAACTATTTTTCTTCCAGATTATTCTCCAAAAAGTAAGAATTTACGTGTTAATACCATGGAGACATTTTCATTTTGTCGCATTTTTCTGGAATCTTCTAGAACCGTAAATCTATAAAGCTTGCCTTCAAATCTTTCTAAACTTTCCAAGCTTCAATGTCTAAAATCCTAAAAATTACCCCTACCAATTCTGTAACAAGAAAAAAAAATAAATAAATAAATAAATAAAATAAAATAAATATTTTGAAAAAATGGAGGGAAAAGTGTAAAATTACAAGGTAACCAAAAAAGTTCCTGCAGTTTCTGATATGACATTAGAAGAGTGATTTCGAACATTGTAGCCTTGTGATCACGGCTAGCTGTAATGTTGTTAAACAAAACCGGTAAAATTTAACCCAGACAAACTTTAACACTTAACAAAAGGAATTTAATTAAACACAAACAGTACATAAAGAAAGTTACATGACAAAACTAACAAGAAGTAACACAAAGAAATATTACTCAAATAAAAATAAAAAGTACACGTTCATAGTCCTCTGCCGAAACTTGAACTAACTAGTTCGGGCGTAGGTGTTTTTGAATAGTGTCCGATAAGGTGGCGCTGCAGTACATGGGGCTGTTTGCTAGTGTTCGTTACAACATAAAAATAGTCGCCACACTTGGCAATGAAGTGGTTAGGATGGGAGTCTGGAGATTGACCAAGAGTATAAAAGCACATCGCATGGTACACTCACACAGGGACTGATTGAAATGGATGCATCAAAGGCGCTCGTTTGGAGTTGTTTGTTGTATGATTATAAAGTGGGCCTGTCAACAACAGATTTAAGTCACTGAATTTTCCAGGCCTTTGGGGATGATGCTGTTGACGAACAAACCGCTAGGCAGAAGTTCAGGTTAGGGGATATGCCTCTTAGTGATGCACCATGCAGCAGTTGGTCACAAGCCCTGGATGATGAGACCCTGAGAACAGCCATAAAGAGTGACAGTAGCCAAACATATGGTGATCTTGGTGCACACTTCCAGGTACTGATGAAATGATCAGACTCCATTTGCATTGCATACAAAAGGCATACAAGCTGAACAAGTAACCTGAACAGCATGTTGCTGCCTGTTTGTCACTGCTTACTCGGCACCACAATGCATCCATATTTGATTGAGTACTCACCAGCGATGAAAAGTAGGTCTAGTATGACATACCCAGGCATTGGTTGTCACCACGGGGTACTGTACCTCACACTGCAAGACCTTCTCTCCACCCATGCAAGATCATGCTCTGCATCTGGTGGACTAGTCACCAAGTGGTGCACTATGAGCTCCTGCCAGTGGGCCAAACCATCACAGCAGGCATGTACTCGCAGCAGTTGGAACGTGTGCATCCGGCATTGATGTATAAAGATCCAGCATTGGTAAATACTAAGGGTGTACTCCTCCTCCATGACAATGCAAGGCCGCATGTGGCTCAGGAGGCTGGGGACACAGTCCAATGACTCAGCTGGGAGACACTACCCCATCCACCACACTCCCCAGACCTCGTGCCAATAGACTACTACCTTTTCCATTCCCTGGGCAACCATCCTCGTGGGAAATCCTTCAACAACCAGCCAGACCTCGAAAAGGCCCTCACGGACTTCTTTGCAGCCAAGACTCTGGAGTTTTACCGCGATGACATCGCACAGCTAGCCACTCATTGGCAAAAGGCACTGGATGCCAATGGTGATTACTTTGAGGATTAACGGCGATTATTATTGTTTTATGACGTTTTCTTTCTGACTGTCCAAAACGGCAAGAAGTCTTTTGATTACCTTGTAATTTTATAGAAAAAACTGATGCATATTATGAGAATTCTAAACATTCTGAGAAATGGGAAAAACTTTTACCATGAAAAAATTAAAAAGACATTTTTAATTAATTACATAACTATTTTGCTTTTGATACGAACTGTTTCGGAAATTGTGCTTTATAGCATTATACCTTGCTTATTTTTCAGATTCAAAATATTGTATAAGTGGCCAAAATGGAACTTTATAATATGACAGCGAAAAATAAAACTATTTTAATGTTACTTCTTAACTATAATCCCAATATATTATCATTATTATAATGAAATTTATCAATGTTACAATGTTCTAAAAAAAATTGTCGAAAAATTCCCAGATCTCGGAATTAAAAATTTTCTATGGAAAATGATCTTAAAAACCACCAAAATGTTGACAAGTCGCCAAATTTAGAACTGTTTAATAAAAAAATTCCCATCTCCAAAAGCGAAAAGTTGTTTGAGAACTCTTCATTAGAAAAAATGAGATAATTTTGAAATATTTATGTTTCACTTCTTGCTCAGAAACTCGAGTATCCCACCATTTATATTGGAAATAGGAACAAATTATAACCCATTCAACCATCCAAAAAATAACCATATTTGTCTGTGAATCGCCAAAAATATGCCTCCCAAATCCTAATTCACACTAAAAATGGCAGTCGTAAAAACAGACAGAAATTTCAGATGATTAAAATTAAGGACCTTCTGCCGAGTTTGGCCGAAATTAAGGACTTTTAAGGACCAAAAATCAATTTAAAAAAAACTTCAGGATTTTTAAGGACTTTCAAGAACCATACGAACTCTGGTTAATCAAACTGCACTTTGCGAAGCTGCCGATGGGCTCACCAGGTGCAGACCAAACCCCTTTCCTCCTGTGTTGTTGAAGTAAATTCACTTTTCATTGCAAGCGACGATTTGGTGCAGAATTTTGTCCTTGTAGTGCTTAGATGGTATAAGAAGAATTTATTTTTTTTATGCTGTTTCATTGTTTGATTTAAAATGTAGTTCATTGAGATTATATATTTTTTGTTTGGCTCTAGTGGAGAATTGGGTGCTTCTTTGATTTTTTAAATGAAAATAGATCAATCACCATATAAATTCTACTAGTACGAGTCAGGGCTTCTTAGACATTTGTTCCCCCATTTAGTGCTGCCCCCAAAACGTTTGATAGTTTAGACATGACCACCCATGACGGGAGGCAATGAAATTAATCGAATGTTTCAATGTGAAGTGAACATATACTGCAGCTTTCAACTCAGATGATTTGTAACGTTTCCAGCAGTTCGAGAATATCATTGTTCCATCTGCTATATTATTCTCTACCGTGTCCAGTCTTACAGCAAAGCAATCTGAAATAGCAATTATGAAGTATTATCAAATCTTTCAACATCCACTATTATGCAAGTAATACACAAGTTATGTTTTCCTTTTTTATGAACAAACTTTCATCGATCACTGATCTTAGTTTTAGGACACGACATCAAACTTCTTTGAAATAATTGTTCTAGTCAATTGTCATGTCATGATTTAACTAAACCTATGATTTATAAAAATAAATGGAAGTCAGCTCTCAAATCACAAATAAATAAATAGTAGATAGGTGAGAAATGGAATGCGCAAATTCTCAAGTCATGTTCCTTTTCGGATGCTCCTCTCTTCGTGACTGAAGATTGCAGAATCATTTAGCCTTCGGCAAATATTTGATTTTCACCCGATGCTTATTTGATCCCAGTCTCTCTTTACGTTTAAGACCTTTATCTTGAAAGAAAATAATTGCTCAGCAAATCCCAAAACCAATGAATTTGAAAGAAGTGAAATGAATCAACAAATACTTTGGTCCTCATATATAAATTAACAGTTAAATAATTCAAATTTATTAAAATTTCAAATATTAAGGATAGCATTTTTTTCCATTATGCACCTGCCACATTTTTTGGCACATGGTAGGATGTGAATTATTGACTGTCATGTGCTATCTATAAACTATTCTTATAGCCAGAAACTGTCTACAGTTAACAAACTGACAACATATGTGGCAGGTACATAATCTAGTTAATTACAGCAAAGCAACTGAGAACCGTTCATCTGAATAGAGATGTTCAGAATTTTCTAAGCGAGAACAATTGCTTTAAGGAAGTGGAAAATCAAGGCACCTTTTCACACTACGGGGTGTTCTTACAATCAAATAATTTAATCAATCATGTCCTTTTTGAGGTAGTTCTAAAACAAACGATAATTTTTTATTAGGAATTTAATGTCGCCTAAGAGTATGTGTTGTGTTATGCATTTCATAATTACATACAAAGTATGATTCTAAATCTAATCTGCATATTATTATGATTTTAGTGATAAAAAATATCCTTACTTGATACGCGTGAAAAGTAATTCCAAGAACATTCTTAGAAGTTCTGTTCGTACATCCATATACAACATAAGATCCCATACTTCAGGAATTTAAAAATCTCCCACACACGACTCACAGCTGCTGGGAGTTATAACTCCCTTCAACTTCCGCCGAGGATTCACTGTTTATAATATCTTTCTCTTCCATTTTAACATCCTTTACTTCAGCCCTTGCCACATAGATACTGCCAAATTTCTTTGTATTAATAATTAATTTCTTTGAATAAAATCATTATTAGTCCTGTAGTATTGCATATCGAAAAAGGTTTTGTTAAGATTTATTTTAAATTTTAAGTCACAGCAAATATTTATTTAACTTAAATTTGCAATGGAAAATTTCGATATAGCTGTGGAATAATCATTTATTGTTTGTGATGCTATTTCAAAACAGTTTCTGTACGTTTTGGTGACAATCGAAACACAACAAAACTATATAGTGGGGTCAAGGTGGTGAGTTAGCTTTTGTCACAACCACAACTAGAATCTTTTATAGCAACATGTTAAAAGTAGTAACTCAGTACCATAATGGAGTTTGCTCTCGCAAATAACCCGCAATGTGTAAATACCGCCAAAAATAGCGACAAAAGTTCAAACCTGGTAATCCAGAGGATTTGCATGTTCGGAGATAGCAACCATTCCCCTTACGTTGTTTTTGGCAAAGCTGTATGTAACTTTTCCTTAACATGGGTGTTCGTAATTTTGCATGTTGTAGCTTCATACTTATTGTTCTCCTTTTCAAGTGTAATTTATTCTTATTACCTACTATCCTTTCTAAATTTTTTAAATAGGAGCAGGTCGAAATATTTTCGCTCAATTAAGAGAGACCACGGAGTCTTTATACTCCGTGTCTGAGACAGATGCTTGTCTGTAATGGTGTGTTTCGGAAGGCATTGCCTTCATCGAAAAGAAGCGAAGATCCTAATGCCGCTGATTAAGAAACACGTGACAAAAGGAACAAATATTTTGACTGATGAATAGCGGACATATTCATTCTTGGGCAGGCAAGGATATTATGTGCATCAGACTGTTAATCATTCCCCAAATTTCGTTAATCCGGAAACTGGTGCACATATCCAGTCTAAAGAATGAAACAGGTGACATCTGAAAGTAAACTTACAAAGAAGTAGTTTACAGCAAAGAACCTTGGTTTACAGCATAGGTTTTTGAAAAGAAGGGAGTCCTTTTCAGAGCCATAAAAATCTGAAAATAGAAATGAAGTATTGCTAGATATAAGTATGAAAATTTTTAAAACTCTTTTAATAAATATATTTCAATAATAATACTAACATTTACTTTATTTTTTTATGCTAATTTTTACCAAGGAGGTTAGAATAGAATTCTAACCTCCTTGATTTTTACATACTGTAGTGTCGCTTCAGTTCTGTCAAGTTTCTAATTAAGTTTAGTTAAAGAGGAATGGCAACACACTTTCTAGTATCCGCAAAGCAGATTCTTTGCCGCAAAGAACGAAGTAAAGAAAGTTCGGTACTATATCACGCGATTCCACATGAATGTAAAATGTAAATAAATTTATAAATAAGTATCTATAACTTTGTAAGGAATAAAACAAATATTGCTTCTAATGCAGTCAGAAGTGTTATTTTCCTACATTTCCATACGAGACACTTCACATACCATCATGCTTTTCTACCAACCTGAATTGTATTAAATACCATGTTGAACCAGCTAATTTTTAACTGTACATGCTTAATATTATTAACTGAAATTAATTATACTGAGTATCATGCTTAACAAATATATAGCAAATTTAACTTACATGTGGTAAGTATGTTCAATCAGCTTAATTCTTAACTAAATATAAATTACATATGCTTAGTAACACGCTGTGCAATAAATATTACGTTTAACATCTGAATTTGACGTATATGCTTTTATTATTTGACTTCATGTTTTATTTCTAAGCGGGGTTAGGAAGCGTAATCGTATATCATTAAAATCGCCGAGATTGGCGACAGTCCTTTTCTTGTCGCTAACGTGTTCTCAGCGAAAGCGGCAGCGTTTTTTTTGCGGAAGTGCCTCTCGCGATGTAATTCTTATTTCATAACTTAATGAAGTATTTGTGATAAAAGAATCTAGATTCTTTGTTGTGATACACTTATTGACGAATGTAAAGAATTATTCTGAGAATTTTTCCTTTCTATTTGATTTGTTTTTATATTGTTTCAACTAAAAAAATAGCTTCGCTACTTTTCTGTGAAAAACTGATGAATATATTATTATTAAAATTCGTGAAACAGATTTCTATAATAAATATGGAGAAGTGAGATTGTTAATTTGTAATCTCTGTGGATGATGCTGTAATGACAATTGTAAGTTTTACTTTGTTTTTAAATCTTTCACATTTTTAAAAACTTTTCTTTATTGATCTAAGTAGGAATTTATTTATTTTTTTCTTTTTTTATACTATTACTTGTTTCTGTTTTCAAATTGCATAGTTGACTTGACCAACCAGTATTTTTAAATGATATTCTCTTTAACAGTACACTGCAGTTGTTAATAATATTAAAAAAAATGAAATTCCTTCAAGAATAAGAAGTATTTTGCTTATAACTTTGACATGCAAAATATTAAAAATAATTATTAAATTTTTGCCATTTATTTATTTTTTATCAATAAAATATTAATTGTTATTGATTTTATGTAGTGTAATTATACAATTCCGGGTAAAGAAGAGAAGCAGATTTTGGTAAAAGTATATTTACGGGTATCCCTTGACGAAAATTGGCAATTTTTGGTGGTACTTGGATACCGAGTTTGTGCAATTCTTTGACTTGTTATTTTGGCTTTTGAAGTGGTGATTTTTGGTGCAAAAATCCAAAATAACAAGACGAGGAATTGCACAAACTCGGTATCCATGTACACATTGACCTAATTTCACTTAAAAAAAATCATAGAATTGCAAAAACTAAGCATTGCGTACTGTGCAATGCCTAGTTTTTGCAATTCTTGACTTTATACATGTACACGTCCACCTATTTTCACTTAAAGAAATATCAGAGAATTGCACAAACTTGGCATTGCACATTCCCTTGACTTTGTCCATGTGCACATCGAAACATTTTCAATTAAAAAGTCAAAGGAGCATCCAATTCTAGGTAAAAGTATATTTATGAAACATTCAACTACTCTGGTTACCATAAATGAAACAACTTGGCGATAAATGAAACAACAACTTCACAATAATACAAGGGGTGTCCTTTAGCCTACTCTAACTCAGTTGTTTTTTAAGTGAAATTGGTTTAAAATGAATCTGAACCTTATGGAATTGTGGCTAATCTTTGGAATATGGTAACAGGTAGTTTGGCGACATTTTGGTAAGGCAATAAAGGTTACTATCTAGGACTTTAGCAGTGTACATGGATATAGTCAAGAGTTTGCACAATGCCATTTTTGTGCAATTCTGGGATGTTTTTTTAAGTGTAAATAGGTCGATGTGTGTACATGGATGATACCGTGTAAGCGCAGTTCTTAAAAACGCGACAAGAAGTGGGCGATTCTGCACTTTGTCCCAATTTTGCACCTAATCTTCGTCATGATTAAGCACTTTTATTCCATAAAAGTTCTAGCATAAGCATAATTCGGCTAGCAGATTGTTGGGAAAGAGTAAAAAAAAAAAGCCTTTACTTCATGAAAACAAAATGGCGTCCAAACAAAAACTAGCAGGTTGCTGTAGCAGGGTTGGTCGCCAAAAAATCGCCAAGTTACCATAATCCAAAGATTAACCGGAATTGTTATTGATGAGTTAATAGAAATATATTATATATTTTCTTCTTAAAAAATTCTTTATTGATATTTTCTTTTTTGAAAATAAACAAAAAAAAAAAAAAAAATTTACTAAATATATGTTTCAGATATTTCACATTTTTAAAAATTTGCAGTTTTTCCCCTGTTTCTTGGGTATGTGATATACTATCAACAGGAATCTTTCATAATTCCTATGATAATAATAATAAAAAAAAAATCCATCTTTTTAATCATCTCTAAAACCTGTACTACTGATTGTATCTGAGTTGATGAAAAACTATTATCCTCAACAGGGCTGACTCCATAGACATCAAGCAATCCAAGGTGACAAAATTTGGAGAGTATTTACAAAGTTTTTATCAAAAGCTGTTGTTGCTAATGCTCACTTGTCTGACCTATAGTCAGCCTAAGCCCATGAAATTCCTCGTGGCAAGGAGCGCAAGTTTATGCCTATCATTGGCAACAGCCCTGAGTACCTTGCAGGTGACAGTGCGATTTAACTGAGTTCCACCCCAATTTTGATGGAGAGCAACCACTGGGGGGATGTGTCCGAGGGTCTACCACCAACCTCTCGAGAGGATTTTTGGATTGCAGCATATTTATGCCCCCATGCCACATGGGCACTATACATTTACAAAGATCCATTCCTTCTCCGGGATTTGAATCTGGGCTTTTCAGTATGGCAGTCGGCGACAGCCGGCTTTTATCACAAGTGGTAAATAAATACAACAATCCCGTGCAGAATACATAGGTCCCATGCAGAATACATACATATTTTTGAGGTCCACAAATTAACTTTATTTGAAAAAAGTAGGTTAGCTATAGTTCAGATTAAGAAAGTATGTATAATTCATACAAATCTAAATATGGTATTTAAATGGGGAAATTGTATAAAATTTTCATTGAAAGGATTTTTCTTACTGCTTAATGGTACAGTTATTTTTTTTAAATAGCTAGAGATTTTTGCATAGGACAGTGTCTGATGCAACTCATTAAACATGTTATGGTAAGGTGTGTAAAGTTTTTCAATGCCTGTCGTAAAGTTTTATTTTTGTCAATCTCCATTACAAAATCAGACCCATGCCTTTTTAGCAGTCATTTAACTTCTAGTACACTAAAGGCTCTTTATCTTCTTTTATGTCACTGCTTTTACTGTCAGCTGGTGTCATAAAATCATCCATTTCTTCATTTGTCATTTCACGACCATCATTCTTGACTAATTTTTTCATTTCTCCTTCTCCCATGTCTGAAAAATCCTTTGCTGCCTATTTCTTTTGCAGTTTGTATGATTTCCGTGGCTTTGGCTTCATTTTCATTTAAAATCCATCACTACTTCTGCCAGCACAGATGCTAGCAAGTATTCATTGTTGATGAATTCACTGATGCAAGTTTAATCATTTCTGTGGAGTGTTTTAGGTTGAGTTGCTTCCAAAATGAGATTAGTGTTCTGTGCTTTCCTTCATGTAGTGCTTAATTTGCTGAAATGGTAAAAGTTTACAATTGGGTGCCCCTTGTTTTTTGGTGATTATTTTTTGATGCCAGGATCAGTGCCAGGAAGGCACAGTTTTAAGATGGCCCTTACACAAAACCAAAATAAGAAGTCAAAGAATTGCAAACTCGGTGTCCATGTACACATCGATCTATTGTTACTTTAAAAAAAAAAATAAATAAATAAATCAGAGAATTCCACAAACTTGACATTGCACACTGCCCTGACTTTATCCATGTACACATGGATTTTTTCATTAAAAAAAAAATCAGGAGGCTAAAACTAAGTTAAAACTATCATGGTAACCAGAATGGGGTTTCATCACCAAAATTGAACAAAATTTGACGCCAGCTGAAGGGGCACCCAATTCTACACTAGAGTTGCAGAGATATTGACCATGTCTGACATAATAGGCTTTGAATTTTTTATGATTTCTTGGTCGATTGGTTGGATTAATAAAATGCTGTTCGGTGGAAGGAATAAAATCTCTACAGTTTGGATGCACTGTTGTGAAGGCTTCAATACCATGTCCTAGAGCATTATTGAAAATTAGTTGCAATTTAAGAAGAAATTTAAAGCTTGGGTTTTGCTATCCTAAGTAATGTTTGACTTCTTTAATGAATTTTTAAACCAGTCATTAGAGAGACTATCACAACAGGGCCAACGTATCATATGTAAGTAAACTTTTTGAATTGAAAAATTAAATGAAGACAATTAAGGTAATATGTGTATACAAAATATCTTTCCACAAGTCTTAATTTGGCAGAGGTTTACTGTTAACTGTGAAATCCATAATGCCCCAGATGGTCCTTCATTCAAACGACCACAACTGGCCGAAATTGTGATGTTCTTTTTCTTTCCTTCCCCTAACGTATGCAGTAGCCGGTGCAGTTTTTCCAAATGCATTGTGTCAGTTTCTTGCAGACAGCTTGTCCGAAAAGGATTTATTTGTGGTTTTTAATCTTTATTTGTTAGGAAGTAGAAAGGATGTCATTTTCCTCTTTGTGCATTAATGGATGGGGAGAAGAGAAAACTGCTGTGAATCCTCGAAAGGCATTTCGGATGCTTTGCTATTTCAAGCATAAAGGTTAGCGAAGGCTTCGATTTTCCAAGAATTAATGATTCACTTCAAGATATTAATGTGGGACACCAATTAGGGCAGTGAAAATGCTGGAGTCTAATCTTCAGTTATCTCAAGTAAACCTTAATTGCTATATCTGAAAGTTTATATAATCTACAACATATTCAAATGCAACTTGTTCATAAACAATTTTAAATTAATTCAAAGGATAAACTTTATAATTAGAATCCATTTGATTATCAAGTACATTTTTCTGGACTTTCTTTAAAAAATTTTGTTGGAAATCGCAGAATTGGGAGCAACGTATATAAAATAGCAATATTCTTATAAATTTCTCTCTCCTTGTTTTTGCTGACAAATGGTAATTGTGCAAGCACATTAGCTCAGTCTGGGTATTAAAAATATGAGCTGTAACTGAAAATATGTATACTTATTACAGGTTCATTTTACATTTTAATTGAGTATTTACCTCGAAAATTGATCGATAAATATTTATATGAACATTTTTAGCCAGAAAGGGGCCAGTTAACCGGTGTAAACTGGAATTTTGCATTGTTTAACTATAAACGGTGTATCACTTTCTAAATTGTTGCCACCAAATATTATCGCACTGTATTATTTTTAAAGAAATTAAATAATGAAGAATCTGTATGTATGTATGTTCTTTGCACTGTGAAAAAACGAGGATACCTGCAACCTTTAAATTTTAAATAACGTAGTCTTCCACCTGAACATGTGTACCTGGAAGGCCAAACTTTGAATTTCGTATTTGTGTTTTGTAAAACTTTAAAGAATTTTTTACTAACAAACTCAACAATTTCAAAGAAATCAGTGACATCACTATCCTAAATAAAACATTCTTATCTCCATTGCACGAGACAATTGCATTCAGAAAAATGCAAGATATTTATCTTTCAATTTTTATTAACAAACTCATTGTGTGAAAACAGTGCGTTTCTGCTACCAGAAATAAAATACTTTTAGCCAGCATGGTGCCATTCAGTAAAGCCTAAGATATTTTCAAATTTAATCTGAAAGCTTATTGAGTAATAAACTAAGCAATTTAAAAACAATAATCATGATTCTTAATATTTTTTCTAATTTTTAATGTGATTGATTTGATTAAGTGTGCATTAAAATCATTAGGTATATGATTAGAAATATTCATCCTTTTCGTAAAGTAATGCTAGCTGGACTCATTAAAACCATCATATAAATTTTTTTATGATTTTTATGACTATTTTTGGCAGCTAGTCTTTAAAGAAATAATATCGCAAATATGAAAATATGTATAGCAACTTCTAACACTCTATTAGGAATTCTAAAGATGTGCTGTTTTTAAATATTTTGTGATTTTGCCATTGATTTGAATTTTATGTGGCATAAGTGAGAGAAACATGATATTTAATGAATAAGATGAACACATAAAAAGTTAATAAAAAGGACATTTTTTTTTTTTTTTTTTGTTTGCCATCTTACTGAAAAACTAATTATTGATATAATAAATTCAGAAAAGACTGAAAAAATATATATAAAATGTGTGCCAACACTTAACATTGCATCGGAAATTCTAAATACAATGCAGTTTTTAAAAATTTTGTTATTTTGTTATTTTGTTGTTGAACTGTGTATGGCATAAGTGTGAAGAAAATGATGCCTACTAATAAAGCTTTAAAAAGACAAATAAATAAATAAATAAATAAATTTAGGAGTGAATGTAAAAGCAGACTGTGAGATCCGCAAGAGAACGAAAAACCTTAGCAAACCCTTTTAGGCAATCATTAAAATCTGAAACCTTTCAGAGTTTTTTAAAAATTAAATTAAATTTTATTTTGTCACAGTAGAAATTTTATAGCAGTCGCTTTTTTTAAAATAAGGTACTTTATAAGCAGTCGCTTTTTTTAAAATAAGGTATCATTCATCAGGAAACTGTCACCAAGCAGTGCCATTATTGTCTTTTACAAAACAAAAACTAGAAAACTTTTCAAAATTACAGGACTGAGGTGCACATTGAAAACAGTTCTTTCCTTTTAAAATGGCCACTGCTCTTAGTCACCAAAATTGGTAAATCCAATTGCTCAGTCTGAAAGTGCAAATTTCATATGTTGCCAAAGGCTTAGATGTTGGCCCCCTTAACAGAGAAGTACTGGCGTATTCATATGCGAAATAATTTATTCTCCATCAGTTAATGATGGATTTTTTAAATATTAATCTAATTATAACAGGTTAATTTGATTCATTCTATATGTATTCATTGTGTACCCTCTACTGCAAAGAGACATGATTATCAGTATATATATAATTGCAATAAAAGCATTTTTGATTTATCTACAGGTAAAAGCAGATAATTATGGAATGTGTGCCAAAGTTATTCCCAATGTGGCATGAATTGGGTTATAAAAGTATCATGAAACATAAGAATTTTAGGTTTGCCAATAGTAAACTACCTGATTATGGAGGAATGGGCATAGACATGATTTTAGATGGAGCTGAAATAAAATGGAATGTTTTAAAGCATACTGTTGATCAAACAGGCTTTAAAGCAAATCTTTGTGCTCTACCTTTCATCCCAGCAAATAAAGGTATAGTTCTGTTTCTTTATAATTTTTTTTTTTTTTTTTATTATTTGTTTATTTTTCATATGCCATATATAAATCAAATTTTAGCAGTTATTTTTTGGGGGGGAGGTTACTGAAGTTTGATGTTAGCTTATATGTGTTTGTTTGAGTGAGTGAGTGTGTGTGTGTGTAACAGTGTCGGATTTACATATAAGCTGAACAAGTTATAGCTTAAAAGCCCCCACTTTCTTATGGCCTCCCAAAAAATTGTAGCATATCTCATATAAAAAAAAATGGATTATATCCTTCATAAAAATACCCCATATGTCAAATAGCCTAGGTTCACATCAAATCTAAATCCAGTCCTGGTGTGTAAGCTAAAAATATTTAAAGCAAACTTCTAATTTTAGTTGGCAATTGCCCCTTTCATTCTTCATTTTGATTTGGGTATTTCAGTTTTCTGACCTGAAAATAGTAACTATTTATAATATATGAATCTAAACTGCATCATTTCAAAATAAATCCATATAATAAAATCCTACATATTGCTGTAAGGCAGATATCTTTTAACTGCTCGCCTAATATGATTTCAGTTAAGACAACCTTTTGATACTCATCCAAACTTCTTCTGAAGGTTTCAACACTTTTCTCGCTTGCCTCCAGTTAACATGTAGTGCATATAATCCATTGTAACATAAACTTAAAAAATTGATGCCGTAGCCTTAAAAAGTGTGTAGGGCATAGATTACACTCATGATGATGTGTGAATCAGGATGCATCTCAAGGATTGTACAGAAATAAAATATATTGCATCTACAGCTACATTTGTCTGCAAGTTCTATCCTTCTACTATGCAATTACCATTATGTATGCCAACACCATGCACAACCATGTGCCATGATTAAAATTATTTGTGTCTTCCATTTTGCATTCCTAATCTGATATAAATTCAAAATTATATTAATATAATTATCTAATTTTGAATTTATATATTGAGAATTCATTTGATCACAAAAATGAATACAGTACAAATTCCATAATCCGGACTCGTCGGGACTTTGGCGATTCTGGATGATAGATCATCAATTTAAATCTGTTAAGATGGCATGCAGAAATTATACAATTAAAAATATGAAATCGTAATTTATGAAATAAAGAGCAATTATGATCTAAAGGGTATCAAAATTTACAAAAAAAAAGGGTTAATATTTATTTGTTTACCTTATTAAACATTTCTTTCAATGTAAGTTGTTTAAGTTGCTTCATTTTTTGTGCTAATATTTTTCTCTTTAATTCTATAAACAGACATAATTTCTTATTCAGTTACAAAGTTCCACTGTTCAAGTTCTGTAGTTGCTGTGTCGAGAATACCGACTAACTTGTCAATCGAAATTTTTTCATTTTCAATAACCTCTCTGTCACTTTCTATCATAAGCGCACATGGGTAAACGCTTTACGCGCATGTGTAGCGGATGAGCACAGTAAACATGCATGCGTAAGTTTGTGGCTTTGAGGTGTGGATTATAGATCATTCCAGATAAGGGACATCCGGATTACAGACTTTGTACTGTAATGGAAAAGCATATTTTCATTTTGTTAATCTTAAACATACATTAATCAAATTTCTCTTATGGAATTTTCTAGTAGTTCTCACAAGTCTCTTTCTGCTACAGTCAAATCCAGGTAAATAATATTATCCCCTGTTTTAGAATTACATTGTCTTTATCTACCTCATAGATAATGAAATCTTTGATTCCATCCTGGCTGGCATAGTTGATACAACATTTTTGGAACAACTGGCCTTTTGTTTTTTATCTGGTTGGTCTAAGGCAGACAAACAGTTTTTCAAACTTTTAGCAACATACAGTTGGATTTATAAAGCAATTTTAAATTTGGTTTATAAATGGGTTTTCAATTTTGATAGAATTTTTACAGCAAAATCGTACTTATCATCTTGTACACAGATTATCTTACGTTTGGAAATATGTATGGTAACATATTTTTATAAGTAAAAAAAAAAAAAAAAAGCTACATAAAATAAAGTTCACTCTTTCATAAATACTAAGGAATTGAAAATTGTATGAGAATAAAATTTAATTATTCATCATATTAGGATAGTAATTGCTGCCTTATGTCTAAAATTCATTGCCTATTCTTGTTGGATTTAAACCATTTTATTTTAAGCACATAATAGTAAATTTAATTTAACAGAGAAAAAGTATAATTTAATTGAATTAAAATTTCATAAAAAATTAAGAAATTTGGTTATATTTTTATGACTAAAATATTATAATAAACAAAACACATTTCAATAATTATTGTAACAATTTATGTATCGATATCACATTTTATGCAGCCTCCCTAAAAAAATTTAAGCTATGCAAATAAATAAAATTTATCTTTGATAAAGGATGTGATTACCTTTGATCTTCATATAAGTTCTGCAGTGATATTCCATGAATTCAAGTAATTAAATGTACTAGAGGGTCATAATGGCATTCTTCTAATAGAACAATCTTCAGTTTCATGAGACTTTTGTCTGGAGCTGGGGGTACAGGAGCATTCCAAACATTTTCATAAAAGAGATCAGGCAAATTTATCGTCCTCTCCATTCAAGCAGTACATTGACTCTCTATATACTAATCTGTGAGAATTGTTCTGTATGGATATGAATATTGGCCATAAGAATAAACAGTGGACCAGTTGCAGTAAGGGCTTTTTCCAATATCTTTCAGTTATGACAGAACTTCCAATAAAGATCTGCAGGATGGTGTAGTAGGTGAAAGAAAATCTGGTCTAAAATCATTACACTGCCAGCATTGGAGGTCAGTGATGTTACTGGGCTTGCTTTTTTTTTTTTTTTTTCTCCCAGATTCTTATATCCTTATGAATGATTTTCAGCCCCAATCTGATCTTATCCATATAACCAGTGCATTAAACCATTCAGCTGCTTTATTGTTTGTCATTCAGCTTCTTTCCAGTTCTTTAGATTCCGCAAACAGTGGAACAGTATGAATAACAGTGGATAACTGTGCTCTTTTGGATTTCCCATTTGAAGAGTCTTAAACTTGTGATATCCATGCATGCAGTCCTTTCATATATAGTTTTTGCCATGCACTACTCACAGATAAGCCTTCTAATTATTATAGTAACCTTTGCCCTTAAGAAGCTGATATGGTAGTTCCTGATTTCTCTTACGTGTGGAATACACATACTGATCATAATAAAATGCAATAATAATTGGAACAGATCTCTGGATAATTGACCCACTTGTTTGAAATTATGAAGTTGTCAACATCAAGGAAAACAAGAATATCTTTAATAAACTCTCCTGCGTCAAATCAGTATCTAGAATGATTCATTCATCTTTTTTGAAATAATTGATCTTATCTAGTTAAGAATTAATGAGAATCATCTTTCAAAAATTTTGTGTCACTCTGGGAATTTAATATTTGGCTGTCAGTTTATTTGAATTACAAAGTGTAACAAACAAAAATATTGTAAGCTGCAAACATTAGATTTCACGTAGTGAATAAATTGTATATTTTTTCACTGTGATATTATTGCTCTTATTTATGCATGTTTTGATAAATGTTTAGTAAGCAAAATTTAAAATTTATTTAAAATATTTTTTCTTTCGTTAAATTTTTTTTTCAATTTGCAGAGAAAAGGGGGGAATTTGGCCTGTCAGGTCGTGCATGTGGCTCACATGTGGTTTGAGATCACTGATATAGGTAATTGCATAAATAAATAAAAAAAAGGCAAATCAAAAAGAAATCATGGTGTCTTCTTTTTTATGTATCAAACTTTTACTATTTGCTTTACTGTTATTATTATTATACTTTTCCAATATAATTCTTTCTTAAAGAATTAGTATTCTAAGAGGAAAATCTTTAAAGCCAAAGTTAGTTTTCCTATTAATTTCAGTTTCAGTTATTTTGTGACTAAATTTGATTACCCAAGAAGTTTGAGGAAAGGTAATAATTATAAAGCACAGTGTAACCGAAATATTGTTTTATTGTGAGAAGAGTTTTATATTTTATTTTTTATTTTTGTGTAGTTGAAACATTGGATGACCCTTGTTTGGAACCTGTCAAAGAAAAAAAAGCTAATATTAAAAAGTTTTGTATCAAGTTAGAATCTTTAAGAAAAAGTGTAAATTCGGTAAGTTGATTTGCATTCTTTTGTGTATCATGTGTTTCCTTTTTACTATTTATTGTTTATTGCTAGAATTTATAAAAAATTTTCAAATCGCATTTTATGTTTTATATTTTAAAATTATTTTGATGAATATGATCATGTTTTCCTTCTTTTCCATGTATCTCTTCTAAAGCAGATTGTTTTCATATATTGAAGATTATTAAATTTAATTTCTAGAATGGATGTCTTATGTAAAAGTGAAGAACATAATTGGAAAAGGCCTAATTGCTTGATAGGCCATTAGATCGAAAGTAAAAATAAAATAAATACAAAATTGAAAAGATTATTAATATTACGGGTAGAAGATCATTAGATCCTCTTTACCCCCAGTAAATTCGAATTTCCTATTAATACTTATCAATACAAAATACATATATATAGTAGCTCTTTAAAAAGTTTCATATATAATAATCTTATTATCATGCACAAATTAATTTCTTTTGTAATATTTAGTAGATAAATGAAGCTAGATAAGGCCAATACAAAACACCTATAAAGTTCTAATATTTCTTTAAAAAAAAAAAATTACGGCATTTAAAAATTCTATGCTTTCTTCCTGTATCAAGTTATTAAAAAAAATCATTCTCATTCTTTATTGCAATAAAATTTTGCCAGTCTTCAAACTGATTATAGTATCTCAGCAAGTACTTATATCGAAGTTCTAAGAGCTCACAAATAGTTTTTAAATGTTTGACCTAAACATAACAGAGGGAAAAGTAATTTAAAATTTTCAGTATTATAGAATCAATGTCACAAATAAACGAGTAACATTCATGATACAAACAGTCATGTAGGGTAAGGCAATATTTTTATTTGCTCTCTGATAAAAAAAACATTTTCCATATATGTAGTCTATAAAAGCAAATTATGTGGACCCAAAATTATATTTCCTGATTTAGGCATATGTAGCTTATAGCAATTTATAGGGTGCTTAAGTATTAACACAGTCACCAAATCTTCAGACTGCCACAGGATCTCAAATTAGCTGTTCTACTGCTGCGCATATGCTTAATGAGGTTGGAGTGTATGTGAGGAAATTGATGGTTTGTGTCTCACTCATTCCAGTTTCTAGAGGAGCCCATTTAAACTGGTGCCATTGTCATGTTCAAAGGAGGCAAGGTGATTGGGCTCGAGTATTGTTTACTGACAAGCCCAGATATAGTCTGAACAGTGATTCTAAACTTGTTTTGATTTGGAGAGAGGAAGGAATATGCAACATTCCTATTCTTGATGATGAAATATCCCATTTCCGAGACCATGGTTTAATGGTTTTGGGAGAAATCATGACAGATGTCCGCACTGAGCTGTATATCTCTCAAGGAGATTCTGTAACTTCTCAGATGTGTATGGACAAGGAATTGGAACACCAAGTTAGACTGTTTAGGTGTGTTGTTGGCCCATAGTTTTTGATAACAGATGACAACGTTTGGCCTCATCGAGCATATGTGGTGTCAAAGTACTTGCAAATAGAAGATATCACTCTAATGGACTGGCCACCTTACTCAACTGACTCGAACACAGTTGAGCATGTGTGGAATGCTATAGAGTGCTGAATTTCAGTGCACTAAATTTCTACTTATACCCTCAAGGAGCTGAAAAGTGCACTTTTAGAAGAGTGGCATGCAATTCCATAAGACTTGATCAACACTTTAGTAAAGTCTATAATATCAAGATGTGAGGTATGCATATCTGTCTGAGGTGACCATTTACCATATGAAAGAAAATTTGTTTGCATAAGAGGTGATTTAATTTTTCTATGATTTTGAATTTTCCATAAATATGGTTTTAATTTCAATATGCATGTATGCTATATCCATAATTTGTATATACAATAGAACTCCAATTATCCGAATCAGTTGAGACCGCACAGAGTTTTTCATAAGAAAGGATTTAGCTTCTGAATGGATCTTAGCTTTTTCACAAAGAATTAGACCTAAAATTGGGTTTCCTTTCAAACTTTGCTACAAAAACCACTTGAAAACATCATCTTCTAAACTTTTGATTATTGCTGCCTTCATTGATTTTCTTGAAGAACTTCCATCTTTGTTTTCAAGCAGTGACACAAAGTTTAAAAGTGTAGGTTTGCTCCTACTAATGCCTGAAATCATTGATTGTCCAACACCACACATCTCAGCCAACTGTTTACCCATAACTAATTTTCTGATTTCTCTATAATTTTTAGTTTATCTGCTAATGATAACAGAACATGTTTTCTTTTAGAAGCCGTGGTGAACAACAAAACAAACTCACAAACAAAACAATACACCAACACGAAAGTGTACTATCACAGTACTGTAGCAGGTCAATGCCACACTGATTGGTTAGTAATAAAAACAAACAGTAACAGGTCAGCCACCTGGCAATGGACAACAGTACTGTAGTCAATAATAGAATTGCTCTATGAGATGGTGATTCATCATTCAAATAATGTTTGCGCTGCACCTACACTAGATTTGTGGAAGGAGGGACAACAACACATGTAGACAGAATCATTATTTTGCAAATTGAAGTAAGTCACCATCTTTATTTTTTTCTTAAATTCTGATAGCGATTCAGATAATCAGCAATATGGATAGCCGGACTTCGGATAATTGGAGTTGTTCTGTACTTGTATTACTTGTAGCTATTAATTTTCTGACTGAGTGGTTTGTTTCTTCAAGTTTTCAGTGGAATGATTGTTTATATTATTAGTACCAGTTTGGCGAGATCTCTGCCAGCTTTCATGGTTGACGGGAAAATACATAAATACCTTTTCTATTTATTGTTTAATTTATAATGCTTAAATTTATAGAAAAAAATTATCTTAGTATTATTGTAAAAATTTATAAATTATTTTTTTGTTTCAGAGAGGCAAAGAAAGGTATAAAGATGAAATTCTTTCTTTATATAAAAAGATTAAGAAAATGTCTAATTTAGGTCAGTTTGAAAAAATTTTGATACCAGAATATATTGTGCAACTTGCAAATGAAATTCCTGAGCAAGTCTTTTGTCCAGTAAGATATGATTTATTTAATAGCAGTTTTGATAATAATTATATATATATATATAATCACTAATGTATAATGTAACAGCCTTTTGACAAATGCGTACCATCTAAGCAAAAATTGAAACTTTTAGTACCACCACTCCAAAGTACTACTACTACCACCACCACTCTTGAACAAAACTCAGATAGCATAAATTTATGAGTGTTAGAGAAAAAACTCAATCAGGATGTTGGGGTTTTAATTTTTGGAATTAATAGTTAAAAATACTTTGTTTCTTTGCATACCACCTATTTTTCTCTTGCGTATCACCAGTTGAGAACCCCTGCTGTAGGGATTTTTTTCCATATATACCGGGTGGCCATAATTAAACTGACAGTGCTCACAGTGTTCTGTAGCGCGATCTATTTGCGAGAATGAGGCCGCATTTTGTAGGAAGATTAAACAAGATGGGGGACAAAGGATTCCGCAAAAAAAAAAAAAAAAAAAAAAAAAAAATTAGTTCCAAAAGTCTCCGCTAGGGGAATATTTGTCGCTGTGTAATAGAAAATAGAGTGTTAACAAATGCAAATCAATACGGAAGTTACCTTTTATTTTGCATTCAAATGAGGTTCAATGTGGCTGCCATTGTTGTGGACCACATTGCATTCTGTGCACAGTATGCACAACAGCAGAAAGTAACATGTCTGCAGGAATCTCCCGTACAGTCTGTGATATGTTATCTTTCAACGTAGCCAGGTCCTGGACCACTCCTTGATAGATCTAGGACTTAAGGTAACCCCATAGCCAGAAGTCGCATGGGGTAAGATCAAGCTACCAAGGTGGCCATGCAGTTGGTAGCAACTAATGGCTATTTCTGTTGTGAATTTCTGTCGTAGCATCTGTTGCACCCGTACAGCAACGTGTGGAGAGGCTCCATCTTGCATGAAAATGATTTCCCCCAGGCATTGTCTTTGCTGAAGTGCCGGAATGACAAAGCTGTTCGAAATGTGGCGATATTTCTCTCTGGTAACAGAACAGGTTTTCTGGTCCTGTTGGGGTAATGTTCTCATAGAAGAATGAACCTACGATAAATTCCACTGTGAACCCACACCAACAGTTACCTTTGGTGAACGTAAGGGAATTGCTGTGACTGCATGTGGTAATTCTTTCAGTCTTTCAGAGAGTGAAAGAAAGGTATAAAGATGAAATTTTTTCTTTATATAAAAAGATTAAGAAAATGTCTAATTTAGGTCAGTTTGAAAAAATTCTGATACCAGAATATATTGTGCAGCTTGCAAATGAAATTCCTGAGCAAGTCTTTTGTCCAGTAAGATATGATTTATTTAATAGCAGTTTTGATAATAATTATATATATATATAATCACTAATGTATAATGTAACAGCCTTTTGACAAATGCATACCATCTAAGCAAAAATTGAAACTTTTAGTACCACCACTCCAAAGTACTACTACCACCACCACCACTCTTGAACAAAACTCAGATAGCATAAATTTATGAGTGTTAGAGAAAAAACTCAATCAGGATGTTGGGGAAAAAACTCAATCAGGATGTTGGGGAAAAAACTCAATCAGGAACAAAACTCAGATAGCATAAATTTATGAGTGTTAGAGAAAAAACTCAATCAGGATGTTACCTTTGGTGAACATAAGGGAATTGCTGTGACTGCATGTGGTAATTTTTCATCCCAAATTCGGCAGTTCTGGGTATTCACAGTTCCATTCAGGTAAAAGTGGGCCTCGTCTCCCCATAAGATTTTCCACGGCCAAGCATAATCCACCTCCATTCTGGCAAGAAAGGTGAGAGCAAAAGTCAATCGCTTATCATGGTCAGGGTACAGTAACTCCTGTACACGGCTGATCTTGTACGTATAGAACTTGATAATCTTTCGTAAGATTTTGCATACCGTACTGTAAGGCATATCCATATTTCGAGCTACTCCACGAGCGCTAGAGGTGGCAGCAATATTGTCTGGTCCTCTGTCGAGAATCGCCGTTTCAACTGCTTCGATTGTATCCTGTGGAACAGGTTTTCGTTCTCTGCCTGACTGAACCTTCAGAGAACCTGTTTTCTCAAACGTCACAACTATTGCTTTTAGCCCATTAACTGACACAGGACCATTACCTTTACACATTTTTTGTTTGTTCTAAAAGCACGAAGAGCGGTTGACCCGTTGCACTGGTTGAGGTAAAAGAATTTGACCAGTAACGCACGCTCGACTAAAGAAGGAGACATTGCACATAAACTTTCAATCCGATTGACGTAACACATTGCCTTTTAAAACCCAAGTAGCTGGCACTGTGCGAATGGTTGTAACGTGAAATTTGAATAAAGAACTTTTCTTCTGCTCAGCGTACGTGATATTGCAGATCACGAGACTTTATCGGTATTTATGTAGATTTTACGCTTTTTTAAAAGTGTTGCCATATTGCACTTGAACTAAATCAGAAAATGTGCATAATAAAAGGTAATTTTATTCCGTATTAATTTACATTTGTTAACACTCTATTTTCTATTACACAGCGCCAAATATTCCCCTAGCAGTGACTTTAAAACTAATTTGTTTTTTCGTGGAATCCTTCTTCTCCCATCTTGTTTAATCTTCCTACAAAATGTGGCATCATTCTCGCAAATAGATCGAGCTACAGAACACTGTGAGCACTGTCAGTTTAATTATGGCCACCTGATATATATACATGCATGTAATCACTAATGTGTATTACGGTAGGAATTTTGATAACCAGCCTTGCCAGACCTGAGTTTAAACGACTCTTCATGTCCAATGAAGTAGCTCAAGCTTTGTTGTAATATGTGTGTTTCTAGTGTGCAGTTTTTTACTTCCTTGTATGAAGGAAGCATTGTAATCACAAAAATTTTCAGGTCTCATATTTTAACGAAAATATCCATTTTGACTGCTATCAAATGCAATTTAACAGTGTTTTTGCATGACATCTTTATGCAAGGACAGAATAAAGGACTCTTTTCCCCAAAACGGGTTGCAAAAGGGATTTAAAATGGATTCAGAAGAGATTTTTTTTTTTGTGATGTCTGTACATAGGTACGTATCTATCTCGCATAACTCAAAAACGAGTAGCCTCAGAATGTTGAAATTTTGTATATAGGGCTGTTATAACATGTAGTTGTGCACCTTCTGTTTCAGTTGCAATCGTCTGCACCAGAATTTTATATGTGTAAGATAAAAAAGTGGTAAATCAAAATTATAATTTAAACTAATGGTAACTTTTTAATTCTCCCTCTCTGTTTTAAAAATCGTAATAACTTCTCTGGATTGCATCATTTCTAGTTCATTCCATTTTGCGTAGCCTGCGCAGTGCTAATATTGTAATAATTTGGAACTGAAACTTTTAATTCAAACCAAAACCTTTCTGTTTGCGAGCTTCAATATTGAATAAATGCGCCACTTTCAGCTTGAGCTTCTGTGCTGCTTGGTCGTTGTTTCGCTGTGTTCGTTTCATGTCGCAATAATATCAAAAATGTGAATTTTCTTGAGTAAGCATGATTGGAGTGTCAGGTGAACTGTGGCCACGGGTGTCAATTGCAAATAAAACTGTTATTAAAACTGCCTTGGCTGCCAAGTTTCTTAGATGTTGCGAACTCAACATGTTAGCATATTACGCAATCAGAGTTAATATATGATCTATCCTGTATATCTATTATGCATTAACACTGCTCTGTCTTTTTCTTGTTTATTATTACATACATGCATATATATATATATATATATATTATACCCACTATGTTACTGAACCCTGTATGCTGAGTTTTTTTTTTATTATTCTTATATATTGGTAAATTCTACATTTTTTTTTTTTTTTTTTTGCTTTAAAAATGATTGTGTTGTTTTTACCTTCCACTTAAGGGTTTTATGCCTCTTCATAAATTGAATTTAATTACGTTTAATCTGTATGCAATAGTTGTAGAATTATCAACAATTTAAAATTTGTTCAAGTGCAGCTAAGCCTAACTCTTTTACATTTGAAGCCATATTTGTTTACATTTGAAGCTAAGCAGAATAGTGAATTAAGTCAGTTTCTGCATCTTTAGTGTTTTTTTTTTTTTTTTTTTTTTTTTTTTTTTTTTTTTTGCTGAGTGGGACAAAAAGTAAACTTTCAGTTTTGTGCACCGAACATTCTGCCTTCTCGCTGGCAAATTGCTTGTTTTTGCATAGAAACTCTAATTTTAGAAAAAAATGTTTTTATTTGTTTTAACTTTTATTTGGTGTTTTATATTTTTCAATTTTAAATAAAGATATTTTGAGGTTTTATATATGTTTGGCTTGTCACAAAGTGAGAACTGAATTAATTAAAGGAGAAGTACAGTATAAAGTCTTTAATCCAGATGTCCATAATCTGGAATGATCTATAATCTGGACCTCAAAGCTACAAACCTTCTGCGCATAATACCTTTACGCATGCCCATAATATGTTTACTCATGCGCATTTAATGTATAACGGACGGTATAAGCTAGGCTAAATTTATCTAATTATCTCTTTCAGTTAATTTTGCAGATCGCATTGTCAGCGCGCAATGAACTGGAAGTTGATCTGTCAGCACAATCCTTATCTTCAGGGTAGATGTTTTTATTTTATTTGCCTTATAACTCCTTACTAAATGTAGTGTTTCATCTCGATGTACTCCGACATGATTTAAATAAATTTTCTCATCATTATAAATATCACGAATACACATCAAATAGTTTTGTGGTTACAATTTTCTAAATTCGACTATGCGTAAATGTATGCTTTATGCATGCACGTGTTGAAAGAAATATTTAATAAAGTAGACAAATAAATATTAAGCTTTTTTTTGTAAATTTTGATGCCCTTTAGATCATAATTGCTCTTTATTTCATAAATTACGGTTCCATATTTTTAATTGTATAATTTCTGCATGCCATCTTACCAGATTTAAATTGATGATCTATAATCCGGAAAGAGCCCTAATCTGGAATCACCGAAGTCCCGACGAGTCCGGATTAAAGACTTT